ATAGGTACATGCGGATCCCCCCGTACATCATTTACCAGACTGTTGGGACAAGTGCTGTGACCAAGCAAGCACTTAGGCCGGCACAACTGGCCATTGTCACAAACCATGTGAGGCTGAGTGGACCTAAGCTAGGCCCAGGACCGGTTCAAATAATCGTCACTGCTGTCAGCAGTGAGCGGGAATCGACCTGGGGTCGCTGGGTTCGTAGCGCAGCTTGTTAACCGCTGGCACTGCCGCTCCCCACTGACACACACGCAGCAGCTTGCAAACTATAATGCGATGCAGCAGTCGTTTCTCGGTAGCTAAATGCGTCATCTCAGTAATACAGGCACACAGTTCAGCTGCGTGCACACGATCGCACAGCGGGAGTTTACGACCGAATGCCACACACGCCACTGCTATTGCATTCCAACCCTCTGCGCGTGTTTTAATATCCAGCGCCGCGTGTAATGGGGTCTCGGCGTTGGCGCGTGCTCCTGTAATCGGCCAATACTCTCGTTGCGCTAACAAAGGTTAATTTTGTCCGATTCAATCAAGGTCACGATTCAATATCGTAATTGTTATTGTCGCAGTATTTGTTTGACCGCAGGTCTCGTAGCAGACGATTTTATTCACAAGAGAAAATTTTAGTGTGGGAAAAAAGTACCTTTAGCCGCGCTAGACAATAAGGAGTTCTTGAACAGCCTCCTCCTCCCCCTCCTCCTCCTCTGCCCCCTCCTCTTCCCTCTCCTCCTCCTCCTCCCCCTCCTCCGCCCCCTCCTCATTCTACTCCTCCTCCGTCTGATAGCCCTGTGCTTTCTCAGAGCACTCAGGAGTAAAAATGCATCATGAACCACTTCTGCCGCTGCCTGCTGCTGTGGCTCGCTCAGTGTTCCCGTTTGCGCGTGGGAGCGCGTGCGAGGTGCGTGTGGGAGCGCGTGCGAGGTGCGTGCGCTCGAACTCGCGTCGTCCCGCGCTCGCCCTTCAGGCCTCGGGGCCCGTTGATCCGTCCCCGATCGCCGATGCTCGGCCGAGCTGGCGATTGACGAACGCTCGGCCACTCGTTAAGGGGACGCCCGTAATGGGGAGCAGATGGCCGCTGCCCATTTACCGAGCTGAGAGACCCGGCCACCGGGTGGGCAGCCACTTCACACGGCACGCTTTATTATTGCACCGGTTTCATCATCATCATCATCTTCATCACGAGCAGCAGCAGCAGCAGCTCCCATGATCTATCCACAAAGTATACTCGGCCACCGCTCATCACACCGCATCTAGCACACAACCATGTGTAGACACACACACAGCTAATAATTTAATAACGTGGCGACGTCGCTGATTGAGCCGCGGTTGGGTTTCTCTTGAGCGCCGACACCGACCCGTGCCAGTTCAAAGTCTCGGGGCGGAGACGGGAAAGCTGTGGGGGTGCGTGGCCAGGTGCGAGTCCGCACGGCACGAGACGCTCACCTCGCACGTCCGGGGAAATTTCACGGGAGTTTTCGAGAATTCTGTTAAAAAATCACCCGCTTCGGTTTCGCCCCAGCGAGTGCTTAATTGAGCACGAATGCTCGAGCCTTTGCGCACCGATCGCTCATCAGAGGCGGCCGAAATCAGCGAACGCCCCCGTCCACGAGGTAGCGTCAGGTAAACGAAGCCGTCGCCGGCCGTTACACGGCGCGGGCAACTTTCCGAGACGCAAAATTTTTTTTAGCAGCTGCGAATGCCGATTTCGCCCGCTCCTGGCAGTAAGCGGTTGGCGTCTCTGTCCAGCATGCAGGCGGTGCAACTGCACTGAGGCCCACGGGCCGGAACGACCCAGGTGCCAGGGCTACGCAGAGGCAAGAAAGACAAATCAAGAGGGGAGGGGGCGGGGGTAACATTTGAATCTCTCGTAGCAGGGCCCCTGCCAGCCCCGTACACGCCGCTGGTCGTCGGTGAGCGCTCACTTGGCCGCGGCGGCGAAGCCTCAAATAGAGGCACGGTTCTCATCGGGGTCATATTTTGCGTCGTTGCTTTTTAGTTCTGCGCTGCTTCGTTGGCGTGCCTCTGGCTCGCTGCTTCATGGCCCAGATGGTTTAGTCGTCGCTGCCGAGCGATGAGCGAATTTCCGCGGAGGATTCTCATGAGTGAAGAAGAAGTCCACCCGCCTTGTGCCAGAGAGCGTCTCCGTAGGATGACGTCGCAGACGACTCCTGAAGTCGCTTTTGAATTCGCGACCACGGGGCACGGCTTTATATGGCTTGGTGAAGAATTGACATGGTCATCACGCTGAAGATGTTAATTCTCTGAGCCGCAATTGTCCCGAGTGAATCAAAGGCCACATTTAATATGATGGCGTTTTTGTTGTTGTTGTGCGCAGTCGTAAGTGATCAGACCTTGTGAAGCATCATCTGGCTCCCCTTGAGAACTTGGTTTAATGAAAGGCAGTTGAAACCCAGTATCTCAGCAGTGGCAGTTCAGTGTCTCTCGCAGTCTCATCTCACCGCGAGACGCCTGGGCAACCTTCTGTTCTCATCCTTAAGTTGTCTCACGTGTTGCGGTACAATAGGAATTTGAAATTTCTGGCCCATCCCCTCTGTTCCGTATGATTGTAACGACTCGGAGGGGTGGGGGAGGGGGGTCTTGTGGGCGGGTTGGTCCGAGATGATGGGTGGGGTGGAGGGGGGTGATCGGTCTTTTGCGAGCCCTTTAATTTATCTCGGGGGCAGAGCGGTTAAATTCCCCCGTGACACATTCTTATGACTCCATCCCCTCCAGGTCTCCTGTTTCATTTGCGGTAATTTCCTCGAAGATCGCGTGGGTTGGTTGAAATGTAGTGCCCCTTAGCATTTCAATTCCGAGGGATCACAATGGTTTTACAATTTGATAGCCGGGGGGGGGGGGGTGAGGTTCAGCATTTTTTTTATTATTAGATAGGTTTTATATTGATATATTCAAAGAGGAATGGTCTACTTTTATCAAAAGAATAAAGGTACTTCCTTGGTGGTGGTGGTGCACAAGCATAACTTAGTAAAAATGTATTCACAATATTCATCATTAACGCTTCCCTACAACGGCTAACATCAGTGGCGAGTGGTATCTGAACTGTGTTCTGGGCTCTCATCAGCCCGCACTGACCAACACGGCAAAGTAATGGTCAAACAACAACGCGAGCGAGCGACACGGCATGGGCAAGAGGCCTTCATCCAGCCGAAAATGTCGACCAAAGTGGCTGCACATGCGTAACGGAAAAATATCATCGAGAAAACTGGAAAATGTTTCCTCAACGTCGACTAAGAAATCTGCGAATCCTCCAGTGCTGGCTTTGCGCCAAGCAGCAGCCCCCGGGGCCCGCAGCACGAGGAGACCCCTATTGTGTGCCCCTCCCCCTTGCCAGTCATCATGTTGATCGCGGGCGAGTCTCGTTAGCGGGACGATTCCTCGGCCCGTCCTTTATGCCTGTCCGCCGACCGTGAATGGTCAGCGCGCGGCGAGAGAGAGAGAGCCATTCGTCACGCGTTCCTCGCCGTCCCGGCGGGGTTCCCGAGGATAAGCGCGTGACGCACGCACGTGTTGCCCGCCATAGCATTTCACGAAGCCGGCGGACGAAGAGCCACTCCCGTTGAGCTTTGAAGCGGCTTAACCTCGGTGGCGGCGGCGGTGGAGGTGCGGGGAGCGGGAGGGTAGCGGGGGAGGGGCGGTGAGGAGGGTGGGGGGGGGAGTCCGTTCCACGTGGAATGATTTGTTTATGTAGCCCCAGGGTAATGTGGTTAAGTTCCCATGCCTCGCGCAGGTGTTAGAGTGTGCGCGCCGCCACCGCCGCTGGGGTGTGGTCCGTGAAATGTTTGACAAGGCGCGCGCCGGGGTTCCTGATGCTGCCACGGGTTCCTGATGCTGCCACGGGTTCCTGATGCTGCCACGGGTCCCTGACGCTGCCACGGGTTCCTGATGCTGCCACGGGTTCCTGACGCTGCCACGGGTTCCTGACGCTGCCACGGGTTCCTGACGCTGCCACGGGTTCCTGACGCTGCCACGGGTTCCTGATGCTGCCACGGGTTCCTGACGCTGCCACAGGTCCCTGACGCTGCCACGGGTTCCTGACGCTGCCACGCGAGTCGATCCTGACAGCCAGCGCCACGCTGCCCCCCCCCCTCCAGCTCCACACTGCCCCCCCCCCCAAGTGTCGCGCTGCCCCCCACCTCCAGCTCCAAGCTGCCCCCCAGCTCCACGCTGCCCATCCTCAGGACCACTGTCTCCTGCAAATAATAATCTGGCCTCGTCTCCGTGAAGATGTCTTTAGTGCTTTTCTTTCTCTGATTCTTGCCAATTCGTGAGCTGACTGTCTCTCTCTGGAAGCTGGCATAATTTTTTGCCGGGTTAAAAAAAACATCGAAAGAAGAAACGTTCTTGTGGATATGCGCAACGGAAAAAAATGTCCACAGTGGTATAGGGGAATGGCGGGGGGGCGCTAGGGGGGTCGCGATGGAGGTGTTTGACAGATGCCCGCACGGAGTGCCGCGAGGCGGAGGAGCGGCGCCACGTCGGGAATTAATTAATCGGAGGCGCGGGAGGCGCGTCGTCGTCGTCTGCGTCGCGAGCGTCACGTGTGATGGGCTGCCAGAATCCCAGCTCTGGGCTGGCAGGTGATCGAGCACGCCGGCTCTTCGCAAGGAGCCACGTGGGAGCCCGTGTCCATTGCGTCATCAAATATATCCCATATACAGCGGTGTTGGTGGTGGTAATGGCAAGGACTATGTAAATATAGCTTGTGTCTTTTTTTCTTTAAATTACATTTGAATCGTGATAATGATGATGGCCATCATATGATAGCTCCATATAGCATTTCATAATTTCATTTAAAAAATATTACCTGAAAATACGTTTCAGAAGAGTGTGCTGTACTTTTTAGTATGCGTTTTGAATACTGATTGCTGTGTTAGAGCACAGGGTTATCAGTATGTGAGGGGTAACTATCAATGCTCCGCACAGATGGATTCAATAATCTAAATGTGTTTTTTGTGCTTTTTCTGTATCGCCTTCAGGGATCTGAGTGAGAATGCAATCCGAGGAATCCCAAGGAAAGGCTTCCGAGGCATCCCAGAGGTCAAGAACCTGTGAGTATCTCTCCAGACAACCCATGGGCTGAATTATGTCTCACTCTCTGTCTCTCTCCGATGGGCGCCGCGGTGGCGAGATGTTAACAACATCGCCTGGTATGCAGGAGGTTGTGGTTTCGACCCCGACCCTGACGCCTGCTGTATATTTGAGATTGCATGTTCTCCCCGTGGATTTTTATCCGGGTCCTCTGGTTTTTTCCCCTCCACATTTAGAAACGTGCGTGAAGAATATGGCTGCTATACATTTGCACGCGATAAGCCACTTCGTTGAGCTATCATTTGTGGCCTGGTCGCTTCTGAAAAAGAGCTATGTAGGTCAGTGGGCCTTACCTGATAACATAAGTAGTTGAAAGTGTTTTCTTTTACATGCACGGACAGACACTTTACTGCGTACTGGCATAACAGTAACGTGCCTCAGCAGAGTCACGCCGCTTATAAGAACATTTACGATGCCCTATATCCGGGGAAATCTCACCGTGTCTAAATACTCTTCTTTCAGGAGGGTGTGTCTACATTGGGATGATTGGCCAATTCCGTTGTGAGAATTTTGGCTTCATGCGAGAACAAACCAGGGCACGCGGAGGGGATGTTTACATGAAGCTTTCCACGGAAAGCTTCGAGCATGTTTGCCTTGATGGCATCTCCTGTCCAAGCCTAAGGCACCTGGTATTCCCAGGCAGTCGGCCATCCCGAGTGCTAATCAAGCTCAACTCTGCTAAAGCGCAGGAAGTCTGATGAGATCTGGCATATATTCAGGGTGATTTGATACCAAGGCTAAATCACCCTAGAGCAATGACTAGGGTCAAATCCTGGTCAGGTATCAAACTATGAACTCGTCATCCATTTAGTGTAACTCTTCATGGGCAAGTCAGCTGCGGTCGTTCTATGGAGGGACTGGAAGCCCTCCATGGGAATGTGGAGGATTATTATTTTGGCGTTGTCACGGCTAGCCGAGGTCGGCTAACGGAGGCGAGCGGCCATGTCATGAACTGCCTCTGTTTGAGGAGGGCTGCACTCTGACTCTCTAAGTGGGAAGCTGCGAGCGCTGTCCCCCCCCACCTCCAAACACCACCTCACCTTCAGGCGCGTACGTTTCAAAACCTCAGCTGTTATTAAAAAAAAAATTACTTGAAACCTCAAATGCTCGTTAAGCTTTCCCCGTCTGTTGTGGCAGCCGGTGTTGAGGATGGTACGACAGGGGAATCTCAGAGCAGTTGGGATTTCTTTTTTATTTTTGTTGTTGTCGAGATACGCGTTATCGCGGGGTCGGCGGGTAGCGTGTTTTGTATCGGGGAGGAGTGTGTGCGCGGGGCTTTGAGCGATGATTACATTTTGTGAGAGCAGAGGTCCGGAGATTAATATGCCTGCTGGGACAGCCATCTCGAGAAATTAATCTGTTAAAAACGGCGAATGCGATTGGCTGGAGCGCAGTGTGCGAAGGGCGAGTGTGAAAACGTAAACCGAGAGAGAAAAAATCAAATGTATCCCTGTCGCCAGCACACGGCTCGGAGCTCGCTCAGCGTGATCAAGCGAGGTGCCAAATGATTACCTGGCTTTTAAATTGTCACCTCAAGAAAGGCGCATTTCAAAGTGTGTGCGTGATTGCGAGCGAGTTATGTTGTCAATTTTGTTGCATCTGCATTCGTGCTCCTTTCAGTATGAAAAATATATTATCAGAGCATATTTCTTTGCATGCTCACCACAAGTACTGTGTGGTTAATGCAGACATGGTTCCTTGCCAAAAGTTTCTATTTGGTGTTTTAAACATCTTAACAATTGTTGTATTGCCAGAAAGGGTAAAATCTGTTCTTATTTTTTCATACTTTGATCCTGGCAAAAAAGGTCCCATTTTTGTTTGGTTTATCCCTGCATTTAAGCTAAGACATGAGTCCGCTCGTAAAACAAATATCAGGCCTAAGTGATTTTAAATGTATATTTTTTATAAAAAAAATGTTATTATCTTACTCTTTGGCATTATGTGCATATAATTACAGCTTATTCTCTGGCATTATTACCAACTGATGAGGGTGGTTGGCACAGGGCCAATATGTGTACATGTACCTGCGTGTTGTTTTGTTCGCATGTGCTTGTGTATGCGGTTGCGCGTGTGTGTGTGTGCACGTGTGTGTGCGTGCGTGTGTGCGTGTGTGTGTGTGCGCGTGTGTGTGTGCGCGTATGTGTGCGCGTATGTGTGCGCGTATGTGTGCGTGTGTGCGTGCGTGTGTGCGCGTATGTGTGCGTGTGTGTGCATGTGTGCGTGTGTGTGCATGTGTGTGTGTGTGTGTGCGTGTGTGCGTGTGTGTGCATGTGTGTGTGCGTGTATGTGCACGCGCCTTTACCCTTTGCTTGCATTTGTGTCGTGCACCGGCCGTGTCAAAACATGAGAAATGTGCCCAATAAAGGGGTCACGCGCCTTTCTCACTCTCGGAAAAATGCACCAGGGGGCAAGGCTTGGGCGAGAAACAATAATGAAGTTTAAATAACAGCCTAAACGGTGATAACAGGTGCGACTGTCAGCATAATCAGGGTGGATAAGATTATGTTTCAGTCGAAGACAACCCCGAGAAGTTGTTTTATTTGACTAAACAACAACAACAAATATCGACCTTTTTGTTTAAGCCAACCAAACATTTGGTGTCTCTGCCCTGCCTCCCGGAAAAAAAAATCCTTTAAATTTTGATAAATAAGATTAAGCATGTTTTGGGGCCAGGCCTGAACTATTCTGGCCGTTGTTGATGGCAACGGAGGGCACGGCCTTGCGCGAGGCCTGAGCCACAGGCGCTCCCTCGCTCCCTCGCTCGCCTCACTGCCCGGCAGACGTTCGTGCCGATGTTGATGAATGTTGGGCTGTAGAGTTGCGACGTTTAACATGTTGCAGGTGCTGTGCTCAAGGGTGCGAGTGACCCGGTGAAGGGAGGCGTTTAGGAGATGGACACAGACCCGTGCAGCGGCGGTGGGAGCAGCGCTCTTTGCTGATTGGTCGGCGTGCGGAGTCGACTTGCCTCAGAGCCGTTCCGCTTTTGCATTTGTTTGTTGGGGTGTTTTTTTTTCTTCTTTAGTTTTTTTTATTTGCGCTTTTTACCGCGCTCTAAAATATGGCGAAGGCTCTCCGGCCTTTTGCGGTGACGTGTGCGAGACGAACAAGCCAACAAAAATAGTGATTAGCCTCTGATCCAAGCTCCTCTTGTTTGCGTGAAGAAGAGGCATTACCTGGAAGCGGTGGCAAGTTCAATCTTTTGTCGGAAGCTTCGTACGGATGAGTCATTTGGAATTGGCCGCCCGGAATTGTTAAAGCCATCCCATTATCCGAGTCTTTGCTGGGGTAAGAGGAGGAGCTGGGACGTTGTGCCAAATGCACCCTGTTATCAACATCTGCACGAGTGGCTCAAATTTGGTGGCGGCAAATTTCATACAATCGGTGGCTTGTGCGAATTAACACGGATAGTAAATTTCGTCCCGACAGTGCCAACCGCCCCCCACCCCCCCCTTCCTGCTGAAACGGATAAAGAGGCTAGCTTCACCGCATGCGTGTGCGGTCGTAGACCGGCCCCACGTGTCGCGTCGCTAACGACTCACGCTTGATGGCACCGATTATATTATCAGGTCGAGTGAGCCATCGGCTTCTGAACGACCGATAGCGGCCGGCGGGGGTCCTGGCAGCTTCCAAAGCTTTTTGATAACTTTCAAAGGTTTGGTGCAGTGCGGCTTTACCCTAAACGAGAAAAAAAATAAACCACCCCCTCCCACCACACTCAACCCCGCACTGAGCAGCAACGCCAGACAATCAAATCCCCCAGAAAATGAAAGTGGAGCCCTTGCCCTTCTCTTAAGTGCGAGTGAAAGCGTCAAATGTTGCGAGCGAGGCAAGGCATCGGAATGCAAGATGCCTTCTTGCTGTGTCTGCAGTCTCCGCCGACTCGCGTGTTGGGGTGGGTGGGTAGGTGGTGCAGTTTTGGGCGGTTCTGAGCCACGTTCAGGTTGCTGATGCTGCCTGCTGCTCCGTCAGAACAAAAGCGGAGTGGGGAGAACAAAAAAAATAGAACAAATTAAATAAATAAACCCCGGAGGTGCATTAGCGGAATTGCTTTCTATTGTAGAGGCGTAAAAATGGATTTTATGGGTAGAGTGAATTAAGATAATGAAATGAGCACTGTGGCCAGAGCTGGAATGATTAAGCTCTCCGCTTTACTGAGAAGCAGCAAAGAGGAGTCTGGGTGGGTGGTGGGGGGGGGGAGGGTGGTAGGATGCACAGCTGATTCACGGCCGCTGGTGATGTAGTGCCATGTGACTGGAACGCGATGTTGCAGGAATATAAAACTGATGCGCAATAAAAACGACGGCCGTTCCCGCGCTCAGATAAAAAGGCTGCGCGAGCGCGAGCGTGGCCCTCGTCACGCAGGGGGGCTGCTCACAGCGACGGCGCAGCGAAGCGGAACGATGGGTGGAGGGGGTGACGGGAGTGGCGGCGGCGGACAGTGGGGTGGAGAGGTTCGTGGGTGGAACCGCTCGTCCCGGCTCCGACCTCCGGACCTCACCACCTGGGCCACTGCCGCCGCTTGACGCGGAGACGCTCGCTCGCACGTGCCTGACGCGTGCGTGCTAGCCGGCGTCTGCGCGTGCGCCTGCGCGCACGTATTCCGACCGTGGGCGGGTGAGCGAGCGCGTGAGCGGCGCGCGCGCGAGCGAGCGTGGTGCCGTGCGTGCGATCGACGTGTTTCCGCAGCGTGCATCTCTCTGTCGGCGGCGGTCGCAGTGGCAGCGGTGGCGGTGACGATTGCGGCACAGTGATCTCTCGATTTCAGATTTTTGTTTTCCTGCTTTTAATCTCTCTCTCTCTCCTTCTCATCATTATCTGCTGTCCTCCAGGCATCTGGATAACAACCAGATCAGCTGCATCGAAGATGGGGCGTTCCGAGCGCTGCGAGACCTGGAAGTGCTGTGAGTAGCGGCGCGTTCGTTCCGCGGGCGCACAAGCGCACTTGTTCGCGCGGTCACACGACGCGGTTGTGCTGTCGTCGCGGGTGTGCTGCCGCGGTTGTGCCGTTGCGAAATTTTCCAAAAACGATGTGTGGCGGTGGCACGACCGCTGTGTCTGGCGACGAGGAGCGGGAAGCGCATCGTCGTCCTGCTCTGCCCGTGCTTGAGACACCTTGGTTGCACGTTCACGTTGTATCTGTACGTATTATATCGTTATTCATAACACCGCAATGTGGCAGACGCCTAAGGTGGTATCTTCATCCGGAGTGAAGTCTTTGGCAGAGACGATGGTGGAGGGTGCAGGAGGGCACGTACTGTTGACGTGACTGCTGCGGAAAAAGTGGCCCCTAGATGTTTCGTGAACTCCCACCGAGCGCCATTGCTTGGGTTATGATTATCGTCTGTGTGCTCCACGTTTGTCGAAGTTTGCCGAGCACGGGTATAGAGTGCGACGAGCTCACGGACATTTATTCGGCATCAAAGGCGGCCGCCCGCAAATTACACACGACATGGGCGGGGGTTCGCGGGCGGCAAGGACGTGCTTTAGATCAGCAGACAGATGCGAGCGCACCCCTGCTGCTGTAGGGCCAATTTGCATCGACGACTGGTGAATTCCAAGTGTCCGCTTTGAAAGGTGGAGATATCTCGCACGGAGATATCCAGGAAGGCAACGGTTGTAATGCACCGGGCCCGACGTCGAAGGGACCAGAATGAGGGAGAAGCGTTCGAGCGATCGAGCCAGTGACGGCGCCGGTCGTGAAGAATTGCCAATCGGGATCTTTACTTATCCTGGAGGAATCCGATGAGCTATAAAGCTCTTTTTCACAATTGTGTTCATTTGGTTGGACATTTGAAAGCTACAACAACAAACAGTAGAAAAAACACGATATGAGTGCAAAGTATAGGAAAGGTAAGTAAATCACAATAAAAATGTGAACGAAATTTTTACATTTTTTTATATTTTAGCAGGTGAAGCCCACTGGAGCTATATTAGCTTATTTTTCAGAAGCGACCTGGCCACGATTGATAGCTCAGCAGAGTGGCTGATCGTCATGTGGGAATGTACAGCGGTGGGTGATGAACGTGGAGATGCCCCCTGACTCTGTGTCATCCCTCCACCAACGCAAGCTCAAGTTGTGCCAATGCGGTGGCCCATGGCCACTAAGCGTGGGCCCCCACGCGCTTGTTATTGGCGCCGTGCGGTCGAAAACACAAGCTTCGTGTCGCTCCGAAGCGTGGCGCCTTCATAACCCTTTAAGTGCATTAGTAAATAAGCATTCGGTTAAATGAATAAGTGAACAGGTTTTAAATTAAATTACTCTTTACCCTTGAAACATTACTTGTGGCCGCTGACACGTGTCCACACGGCTTCCTCGTGCGCTGTGCTGGCCCTAATAGGCGCTTGCTAACAACACTCGCCCCCGTACGGTAATTATACCCCGAAATAGGGAGATGTTATAATTTATGTATATAAGTGAAAATGCGTTTCTTACGTACGTATGATTTATTCATCTGGGATTTTAACTCGGTTGGTAGAGCAACAGGGCTCTCGATCATCAATTTGTACATTCACATCCCTGCCAGGGTCATCGCAGCCCATTTTATCGACAAGCATTCACCATTTACATGTTTTAGTCATCATCATAAATTCATCTATATGGCCATCATCTTGTCCATCATTATCATAATCAGAAGCATTGGCTAATTATTATCATAATCATCACTATAATCTGTAAATCATCATAAGCAGCAGCACGATTTGTCAAACATCATCATTGCACTGTCTGGAGAGCACCAATTGATGGGAAATCAGTGGCAGATGTCCCGTGAAATTACCTTTCCTCATCATACGAATGTGGAATTTCCACCGCTGGCTCAGGACCGTGAATGGAGACAAGCGCCAAATGAGCGCTCCAGCTCAGGGCAGACTTACGCTGCTACGCGTTCCGTTGTTATTATTTGTTTATTTATCTTTCTTTCTCCCCGCCACCCCGATCCCTCGTGCCTCTAGCACCCTCAATAACAACAACGTCACGGCGCTCTCCGTGGAGAGCTTCAACAGCATGCCCAAGCTGCGCACCTTGTGAGTACACGCGGGCCGCTCAGTCAACGTGGCTCCATCGCTCTGTGTGGCCTGGCCAGCGTGGCTCTGTCGGTCTATGTGGCCTGCCCAGCGTGATTCTATCGGTCTGTGTGGCTCTGTCGGCCAGCACTGTTCTGTCGATCCGTCCGCGCATGGGGCTCGGCCTGCTCCATCACTCCCCCTCTCTTCCTGCAAATGTCACAAAAAAAAGGAAATTTTATTATTTTGTGGAGTAAGCTGCGCGCGTTTTTTTTTTTTGGCTGATGTGTGATGATGGCGATGATAATGATGATGATATTGTTGATGAATTGACTGATGATGATAATTATTCATTGACTGATGATGATGATGAGGACTGTAAATTCATGATCATTATAATCACGTGGTGGTAATTATGATGATGATGATGATGGTGATGATAATGACGAGATTGTTTTAATCCTGATGAAAATGGTATTAGTGTTGATGATGTTGACTGGTTCATGTAAGTTTTTTTCATGATGATGATCGTGATGAAGATCATGATGATCATGATAAAAATTATGAATGAGATGATGATAGCGGCAATGACTGTCACGACACAGAGACACACCGACCTACTGAAAGGGAAGCGACATCAGTGCATTACAGCACGCTCCTGCACGCTTTCCACATTTGCACACACGCCTCCCACCCCTCCAGCTCGGTGAACCCTTGCACAGGGACGCTCGCTCACGTCGCTCACACAGCTCATGACGGCCGCTTCCAGCGAATCAGAGCCAGGGCCTGGGGGGGGGGGGGGGGCAGGGGGGTAGGAGCAGGCCCGAGGATTTATCCGCCAAACGAATGCAAAGAAACTCAGTGGCATGCCACGATGCACGGGTGGGGCAGGGGGGCGGAGGTGACATTTATCAAGCGGGCACCAACAGGAGATGTCCTTTACCTGTCCGTGGCGTGCGACGCCGCGGTGCCGCTCGCGAGATAAAGCGCCGTCCTCATGACCGCTGGTGCCACGTGATTGGAATTTCCGATGCCGCCTCTCTCTCTCCTCTCTCGAGCTCCTCTCGGAACGTCGCAAATTAAAAGGCAAAGTGACGTAAATTGATTTGACACGCCTAATACGCCGATATGTATTGTGGCCGCGTTGTTCGGCGAGCTTTCGCCGACGGAGGGAGAGGAGCGGGCCCCGCTGTTAAATGAGAACCACCTAGACGCGCCGAACTTCTACACCCGCGCACGCAAAGGTTAGGGAGGCATGTATTATTCATCGCATGTCTTACAATCTCGGGGAAAACATTGGGTGCAAGTGGCAGCAACATATTGTTTTCGCAGCAAGAATTTGGAACAATCCATAACCTGACTTTTAATATCCTAAAAGCCTCGTACAAGGCCCGGGCTGCCTCCCCATTGGCCGCCCTCCACCGATGCGGCCACTTCCATTGCTCGTTGCCACCCCTCATCCGCCCAACCAATCATCCCGCCGTGTCAACATTGTCAGGGTTTGAAAAGCGAGGAATTAAGAGGAACGCGGAATCGTTTTGCAAAACAATGCGTTCGGAAGCCAGAGGCAGTTGAGATTGGATTGCTGGAGATTTGATTTATGATATGGTTCTATCTTGCAAGTCCAATTCACCTCCCTCCTCACGGTCCCACAGAGATCCTAGCCCTGCCCCCACCACCATTGCGCTCCCAAAGACAAATATTCCCTGTGTAGTCTCAACAGACTGTTGGGGCAAGGGCTGTTAGCGAGCACCTATGACAGCTGGAACGGCACACGAGGGGGTGGGTGGCCAGCACCATGCCTGGCCGCCTTTGTCTCCCAAGTGGCGATGTTTACACATCGCACCAGGTACTCATTTGAGGTTTAGTCGACCTAGGACTGGTTCAGATGTTTGTCATCGATGTTGGTCGTGAGTGGGAATTGAACTCGGGTCGCCGGATTTGTAACGCGGCACACTAACTGCAACACTACCCCCACCCACACCACCACCGCGGCCCCCACACGCGCACTGACACACGTCAAAGCCCAGAGCAGAATATTTAAAGCTGCTAAATATATATTAATGCGCGCAGGCGAGTGTTAGCCGCTGAGCTTGATTGGGGAAAATTTAGCGGTGCATTTGCATATAAATTTTGCAATTTAGTTCATGACAACGTTTTGTATTGTGATGAATACTCTGTTAAAATTGCGGATGTTTTAAAAATGTATGCAGACGCACGTTGGCGGTTGAGTAGCTTCATTGCGTGTGAAAAGGTTACAGCCTTAACCCTTTCCCTCACCCCTTCGTCCTTCCCTTTCCCTACCCTCTCCTCCTCCTTCCACCGCCGCCGCCGCCACTCCAGCCGCCTGCACTCAAACAACCTGCACTGCGACTGCCGCCTCTCCTGGCTCTCTGATTGGCTGCGTCTCAGGCCGCGCCTCGGCCTCTTCACCCAGTGCATGGGCCCCGTGCACCTCCGCGGACTCAACGTCGCTGAGGTTCAGAAAAAGGAGTTCACCTGCGCCGGTCAGTTTCCCGCTTCTCTCTATGACCCCCCGACTCCCGCCTCCCACTCCTCGACCCCTGATCTCCGTCGCTCCGTGAACTTCATAACACGTTCCTTTTTGGTCACCGCATCATTGAGCGTCGATCAAAGTGAGGTGTTTCTGGTGAACTTTGATATCGGTGGTCCCAGGAGGAGGCCGGCTGCTTCCAAGGAATTCTGGAGTTTCCACAATTGGCTTCTCAAGGTTGGCAACAGAGATGGCCACTGGCCCATAGTTCAATATTTTTCGTCCCAAAATGTATTCCAATTGTATTCTCTGTGTTACTGTGTGAGACAAGCTATTCCATTCAGAACTCTTACAGAACAGACGCATCGCACCTTGTCAGAGAAGAGCCCTCAGAAGTAGACATCACAGAACTAACCCCTGAGATCCCTTCAATCGCAGTGCTGCACTTTTCCACGAGCCCCTAGAGAAAAAAAAAATCTTACGCGGCAAGCCAAATTGAACGTTGATTATTTTTTTGTGCGGTCATTGCAGGCGAGGCAGAGACCATCAACTCTCCACACTTGGCTTAATCATTTCGCAACTGACCACCAGGATTTGAAACCAGCGCTTAATTTCCTCACTAGACCTGAATGTTATCTAAAAACTCGACACCGTGACCTTGAGACGAAAAATATAGAATCGATGACCTTTCCCCACGGCACATGTGCCCCATGGACCTGTGCATGAGGAAGAACCATTGCCCAGAAACGTCACCTATGACATATTTTTTCCTATTAAGGCCACGGGTGTTGCTGACTGACGTGTTAGGTGTCTCGTTAGTCATGCTCGTGCACCACTGCCAACGCACCGTCGCCCGAGCCGTTTGCGTATTGTCAATCGAGGACCCGTTCAGGCACGAAAACCACAGGGGTCTTTGCGTCGCCCGATTCGCTGCGATGGAGTAGAGATTCGTGTCTTCGTGGAACTCTGCTCGTCTCGATTGAGGTGCAAAGAAGTGCCCGGTGCTGCCTTTGGACCAAGCATGGCGACGGAATCGGGGTATTCGTCTATTGAAACTCTCCGCTGGCAAAGCACAGCGATGCTCAAGTCCCACCCGTCTGTTGGCAATCCCATCAGCCTCGTTCCCTGACGGCCAGAGCATTTAGAAATGTTTGGTAAAAAACCCGCTGAGTCATTTATTGATTACATAATTCTGTCTGCAGTCGTTTGCTGAAATAGAGCTACGTGAGGTGCTTTCGTCCCAGACATTTCCCTGGGACGATGCGACACGCAACTCATGCGCAAATTGATTGCCTGTAAAATTACGGAGCGCGCAGGGAATTTGCGAGAACGTTTTGCTCACTCTGTCTTTGTTCGTTTTGAGATTTTAAGGTTTTTGGGAGTCAGGTGCAGTGTTGGGGGGTATGTGTTGTGAGGAGGAGGTTTGCGTGCACGCGCGTGTGCACGTGTACACATTGAATGACGACCTGATTTAATCCTCCATACTTTCACCCACCCCGTCAATTATTCTCTCGTCACCTTCAGTGTATTTTTGTAACGGCTCCCAAATGCACGTAGTTGCCGTGCCGTGAGTGCAATTTCCGTAGATGCAGATGGCTTAACATCTACAGTGCTGGCAATGCCACATGGGGCAATGTGTTAACATGTTGGTGACATGTTGGGAACGTTTTTGCATTCGTGTCCACGGTAAGCACTGGCACGTCTCAGACAACCGTGTGAATGCCACGTTTTAGTGGCGCAGGGGAAAATAAAGATGCATTGATTGGACGACGCATCTTCGGAGGTGTCACGGTGATGATTAAAGGGTGCGGTCGCGAGACTGAGCCACCAACCACTGACACGCCAGGTTCAACTCTGGGTTTCAGTCACCCAAGCTTAAACCCCGATTCTAAAGTGCGCTGAGTTGATGGTTTCAGCCCAGTTGCCAATTGCTGTGCAAAAAACATTGTAATATGAAATTTGGTTTTGCCACCAAATTTAGCTTATTCTTGCTCTGCAAAATTAATATTCCCTTTTTATGGCCGCGCGATGAATATTCTTTGCAGGGCATGCAAAAATAGTTACCACCGAGCGCGATCAACAATTCCACTGAAGGGAATTCCAGATATATTATCCTGTTGATATAGAAGTAATTCTATAATTGCTGGGCATGCATGCAACGACACATTTAATACGGGCAGAAAAAAATATTGCCACTTAATATACAACCATGTGGTGGGTGGGGGGGGGGTAGTGGGTGGTAAATCCTTACATGCCCGATAATTGGGGTTAAAAACCAACAAATGGAATAATTGATGGCACTGGGGCTCAGAGTTTGGCACCTGCTCGGAGAATACCGCACCCCACGGGTGAGCGGGGGGGGGGTGCGCCGTATCACCGCGTCACCCGCCACGGTGGCACAGGCATATCCGTGTGTTCCTTGGCATGCCCGGTGTTTCACCAGAGGGGATTGAGAGGTCGGGCTTTGCAAGCGAACATCGGGGTGGGTGGTTGACAGTTCTGGAGAGGGGGGGGGGAGGTTGCGGACAGGGCGGGGGGGAGGGGCTGGTAGGTGGGCACGTTTAGTGATCATTTTTCCGTCGTACATTCCGCCCAAGCCTCGGGCTGTTAAAGAGAACAAGGCAGTGAATGAGCGAGCGGGTGAGAAAGCAAGAGCGAAAGACTGGAATTAAACCTCTCCGGGACAGTGTATTATTTTACCCGGGGAAGAATGGGTAGTCATGTACAGCGCAGAACACTAATTTTCCGCCACCGCTACTTATTGAAATGCAGGGTCCGTAACCACCACTCTGCAGCCATCTGCAAGGAGGCTGTAACAGCACTTAACCCTTGCGGGCCCACGGTGCCTCTTTCCTTCCCTCGCATTCGGCGCGCCAACCCGCCCGCTCTCTCCGCCAGCCCCGTGGGTCACGGGACGCCTTTTCGAGCGGCTAGAACGCAAGCGTGCTCTGATTGTGCGAACGCGACGGCCGCTCGATCTCCCTCGGGGAGGGGGGAGGGGGAGGCGGGGTCATCTTGGGAGCGACGGTCGCCGTCGTGGGGGCGTTGGGCGGGCGAGAGACGCGACGGCCTCAGCCGCGCGGGATGGGGTGCGCTCGATGGACGGTTAAACTCTTCCCTCGAGCTGCCGCGCTGCAAATTCGCCGCAGCGAAAAAAAAAACCTTCCCTCCGCGCGCCTCCGTTTGCCGCGCAAGTCCGCGAGAACGGCGCTACGATCATCGTGAGGTTAAAGAGGAAGTATTAAGTTTGGTGACTGAAAAAATTGGGGGGGGGGGGGGGCGAACGGGACAAAAGCGTCCAATTAGGCGTGCGTTAATTAATTCGACAAAATAAGGGAAGCCGGCCCCATTGTGCTCGCAATCCCCCCGCATTTTCGAGTCGATTCATGGAACGCATCGCGTATTCGGCGCACGTGCGGGACGCATAAAGACCGCGTGCCACTTCATCATTTCATCTGCAGCTCTAAAAAAAAGAAACGCCTTTGAAAAGAAGGGAAAAGGTACACACACACAGAGCGAGACAAAACCTCCGCGCGTCGGCAAAGTAAAAAAAAAAGGGGTTATTGAAACCGCGGTTAATGTGCTCCGCAATTAAGCCCCGGGCTAATTTAGCGGGCCCCACACTCTTGCGACGGGTGAAAGATTGCCGTGGAGACTGCGTAATTAAAAGGCTGCTCTTGGAGATAAATACGACGAGATGGAGCGTTGACTTTTGTGTGTTAAACCCCTGCCCTCTCCACGCACAACTCACCCGCTCGACGCACCCCCCCCCCCCACCAACCCACCCACCCCCCATCAGCTCCCATGTTTCTCCCTTTTCATCTTCGTCCGGCTCTCTCTCTCTTGCGTGTGCGTGTGTGCCCTCTCCTTTCACCTCGTTCAAGGAGGCCCACTTGAGCGACGACGGGAGAAAATCGGCTTACTGTTTAGGCATGGGCCTCGCAAGATTCCTCGCCGGTGATTTAACGGGGCCTGCAAATGTTCCACAGTTCCCATGCCCCCCACCCCCCAACTCCCCCCCCACCCCCCCAGCTGGTCGGAGGCCACCCGTCCCTGATCAGTGTGGGGAGGAGACATTTGAGATGCAATGCCCCAGGAACCTCGGAGCTACTTTCACTCCTTGCATTGCCCATCACCTGCGTCATTCAACGCAAGCCGTTGTCCCGAGGAACCTGTGAGCCAGAATTGAATGTCTTTGAAGCACGAGGCTGTTGTGTGTGCGTGCGTGCGTGCGCGAGTGATCTGGGTCCATATTTTCTTCAATTTGAAGGGCGTGGAGTATCCCGCATTGCACCCGAACGCCGTCCCATCTTCCTCCGGGACCCCTCCCCCTGCCCCCCGCCCCCCCCCCCCCTTTCAACTGAATTCTCACTAGAAAAAAATGCGTTAACAAGTTCGAAACGCTGGCGGCGTATATATAACGAATGACGGGTCTCGGCTCTCGTTTAAGTGACTCGAGTATTTGTTTAATCGCCGGCGGAATGTGGCGCAGTTGCAAAGTGAAGGAAATGCCGCTAGTTGTCAGAGCGCGGCCTAATTGGGCATGCACACATATAAATGCAAATCCTCAATCTTACGCAGACACACGAAAGGCGAAGGTCCCCCCCCCCACCCCCCGCCACCCTCGTTTAGACCGCCAGGCCGCACGATGGCACGCAGCGGCAAACGACGGGCGGCACGTCGCACGGCGCGCGCTGCGGACAGCGCCGGCGCTTGGTCGCGTTCATCTCTCATCGCCTGTGCCGATCCGAGCACGCGTATTTAAGGCTGAGTCGACCTAGAGGGGAGGGTGGGGCGTGGGGGGGGGGGGAGCCCCACGACAACTTTCGGATATCGCTTACCGGCGACGTCAGCCACGACTTTAAATCGATCTTCCCCAGACACCCGGACGCGCGCTCACACGCTCGCGCGCTCACACGAAAATCTTTCGCGGCTGTGTTCCGTAATTGGCATAAAATCATCCGTGTCGAGTTGTGGCGCGAATCAATAAAAGCGAGGAGTCTAAAACCGCCTCAGTCCGCTCGCGGAGAGCCTCGGCGAGATGACCACAGAGAGCATGGCCACCTGAACTCCCCCCTAGCCCCCCCCCCCACCGCCCCTGCCCCCACCGTCCACTGATGAGAAAATTAATGCAGCAGTCGACATCGTAACCGCTTGCCTCCCCCAGCTCGCCACCAGCCAGGTGTGTGCGCTAATAGCGGCCGCTCCTCCCTTTATTGCCCGTTAAGCTCGTATTATAATCACCAAGTCTTTGTGCGCTTTTATGGCGTTTAGATTTCCCATGCAGATTCGGTCCCTTCAGACTAATTACGCGTGCACAATTTATTTACTCGCTCTGCCTATTTCTTGGTAATTATTGCGGCCGGGCGTGGCGTGTGGCCCACCCACCCCCTCGTGTGCCGTGCCAGCCTTGGTAGGTACTCAGCACTTGCCCTAACAGTCTGGTAAAGGTTATCTGGGGATCTTTGTATCTGTCTATGTTTTTTAACTGCTTTCACGGACGGCTCTAACCAGAGTGACGTCGCGGCGTCCGGAGGAACGTCCTTTTGCCCGTGCGACTTTGGTCGCACTCTGCTGCCGACTTGAAATGTTGGCGTTTGTCCTGCAATTGCACAGTTGGGCTGAGCGTTCAGCTCGACGATGTGCAAGCAACGTGGTCCACGTGCATCTGCGCACGTGCGCGGGTGTTTGTGGGGAGCGGGCACGTAGTGATGAGCGCACTGCGCTACGAAGCCCTGACGACCCCAGTTTAATCCCGGTCCCGCGACCAATAAATAGCGGTGAATATTTGAACCTGTCCTGGGCCTTCCCTTGGTCGACTTGCCACGGCGCGTGTAAACATCAGCACCGGGGAGACAAAGGTGGTCCGGCCGTTGGTTCTGGCCACACCGTCCCCTCGTGCGCCGTACCGGCCTTATAATAGGTGCTCGCTAACAGCAGCTGCCCCAACAGGCTGCGTAGGCTACTCGCTGCGTCGGGAGATCTTTGTGTGTGTTGGCTTGCACGCCCTGTCGTAGGTGTGTGCTCCAGCACGGTTCGATGGTTCCTTGGCCGGCGTGTGAACACGCGTGTTGTTCCGGGGACCCTTGCCAGGGAGCTTGTCCGGTGCTTAATTTTTGTCAGGTTTGCGTTAAAATCTCCACTAAGGTCAATTAATTCACACGGAGCAGTGAATTCACTCTCACCGCCAACACAGGCCGAAGAGAGAGAGAGAGAGAAAAAACAACCCCGAGATAAAAAAAATAACCGAGTGCAGAAATAATAATGATGATAAGCTCGTTAACTAAAAGCAAAACACAACGTAAAAAACACAAAGAACTCTTATCTTATAGCCACACATTTGGGACTTATATCTTGGGCTGTCCGACGTGCGTTTTCCGCTTTGTGAGCGAGAACTTTGGCTTTAAATGAAAATGTCGCTGCAGCTTGATTGCCGTAATGTTTCAGACGTCACCGTGGCCACGTCTCTGGAGCTTGGCCTGAACGCCAATTCCACTCCTCTTTTTCATTGACGTCGATTTAAAGATGAGTCGGGCGGCTTGAGACACACGGAAGACAACCTGCGTAACCATGATTGTAACTAAGATCTGTACCGTATAACAGCTGTACCATCGCAGTGCGCTCGTGAAAGACAGCCTCGAAGCTTATTGGGCCCTTCCTGCTGGAAATAAATAAAATCTATCTATAGCCATCTGTCTGGATTAGACATCTCGGTTATTCAGATCTCACTTATGCGGTAAAGCTCCGTGCAGTTACCTCTGTAGCGAGAGCATTGAAATAACAGTTCTCGGCTGATCGCCATTCTATATCATGCGAACATGTTCATAGAGTTTATATATAATCTTGTTTTGAATAATTTTTTTTATAAATGTTAAGTTTTTATTACTTTTTTTAATTCATCTTGAGCTTTGTTTTAAAAAGCTGGGCAACGGCAATGGGACGATGCGGCCGATCGCCAGCGGCCGTGCAGCGCGCGCGTCACGGGGAACATTCATCGACGCGCCAACTGCGGATCTGCCCGCGCGAACAACTGAACTTGGCACGCCTCAAATTTCAGATGTTGTGGTTATTACGGTTTGCGATCGAGCACGCTCGGCAAAAAATTGGAACATCCTGTCCCAGGAACGTACTCCGCCGTTCAAGCAAATTTGCTCCGTCGCATTTAATGCACCGCATTAAACCAAACGTGCGTGTGTGTGTGGCATAACAGTAATAACATAAATAAGCAGCTGAACTCGAACATTTAATTTCAAGGCTGTATATTTATTTATTTACAAACTGGGTGCAGTTAAAATTGTAGTCGTGCACTGGTGCACGTGTGGATCCTGTTGACGTTGACACCGTGATCGCTATGTGTGTCATTCATATGGTTTGTGTTTAAACATTGTGGTGGATGCAGAGATGATGGTGAAATCCTTGACACACAAGATCTACACACAATCTGTTCATACTCACGGCGGTTCAACGCACGTATCGCGAGCGTAGGAATCGATCTTAATCGATGGATAGATTAATCATCGTCCGATGCATAAACATCCGTGCCGCGGTGTCTCATTCGCCATCGTGCTAACGCAAAGTAGATCGATGCTCCCTCTTTGGCCATCACTTATCTCACACGGACGTCTCGGGGTCTGCCCTTGCCGGCCAGCGTCTCCATTAACCAGATGCGTCCGTCGCCACGAAAGCCAGCGGGCGTGCAGGGGGCAATTGACGTCGCAATGCGCAGCGGATGTAAGCATCGTCGCCTACGCTCGGATTGAGTGTTCATGCTTGAGTCTCAGAGAACCAGGCTGTGGAGGCCCCTTTAGGATCGTTGGAGTTCACTGTTAATCCTCGAGGCTAGGATAGCCAGGCCTGAGGCACCTTTGTGAGCCTTAAGAGTAGCGAAGGAACCTAAGAGACACAAAGCACTTTCGCGATGTTTAAAGTTCGGCGTTAATTGTCGACGCTCGTGGGGGGATTCACCGATAGAGTTCACTGTCGATGTCCAAGGGTTCACGGGGTCAGGTTCAGGGACGTGAATCCCTGAGTGCCTCTGGAGGGATGTGACCGTGCGTGCGTGTGTGTGTGTGCTGCAGACTACTCACGGGGCCAGTCGTGCAGCGCGTTCGGCAGCTCGTGCCCGTCCGTGTGCACGTGCAGCAACAACGTGGTCGACTGCCGCGGCAAGAGCCTCTCCAGCATCCCCCACAATCTGCCCAACGCCATCACCGAGCTGTGAGCACCGCCGGCCGGGAGGGGTGGGGGGTGGAGAAGGGGGATGCGGGACGGGGGCCTGGGGGTGGGGGGAGAGGGGGGGATGAGCACCCTCCTCTTGCGTGGCTCTCAGATGCGATTGATGCTCCTGACCACCGCACCCCACTGCCACCTCTCTACCAAGTCACCAGCTCCACCACCGTTGCCACCAGCCATCACCACCACCTCTACCAATCACCACCAATTATCAACACTATTATCACCACCGCTATCAATCACCACCACCACCGCCAATCATCGCCACCACAACTGCCACCAATCATTACCACCACCACCGCCATCAATCATCACCACCACCGCCGCCACCCCAATGCCGACTTCATGAGAAGCGTCCGCTGTAAGAGACTGGCCCGTGTCTCGCTGATGCGGCGCCACGTGGCGACGTCAAGCTGAGCTCTCGACGCGATGAACACACGCAGCGGGGATAGTAATCATAATTTACACTTCGACGGACTGGAGCGTGTTTGTGTTGAGACGTCGCATTGCGGCGGCGGAACGCTCTGCGCCTTAAAGGTGTTGTTTGTTTGTTTGTTTTCCATTAATGAACATAACACGCAGATGTTTTGTTTCTGCAAAACAGAGCGCATTCGGTCTAGGAAATTAAAACAGATGAACTAAATTATCCGCTCTAATTAACAACTGCAAAACGACAAACACAAAGCCCTAACGCAGGCAAGAACATTGCTGTAATTTTCCACAGCATCAACAATAAAAAGTAAATATACGCCCGAACATTGTAATAAATATACGTGGAGATAAATCAATAAAATCAAGCGAGATGTTTTCCCCTTGGCAAAGACAAAGCTGTAATTTTCGATTCCACCCTTAAGAGCACGGCAAAGCAGGCGAGGATTTCCTGTCCAATTTTCACGCTCACCCCGTCATTCCTGCCAGAGCCATCCATCGGAACATCGTTGAACCTTTTCCCCGCATAGCCCCCACCCCTCCCTCAATGAACGCACACCCCAGCAGCTGCGTGACAACCCATGCGCTGTGAAATTTTGAAAAAACGTATGAATTGATAACGGTGACAATAATCGTACGGCGTGGTTGTGGGGAAACGTACCGAGTATTTTACGCACTGACGCTGCTGCTGCTGCTGCTGCTGCTGCTCAGAGTTGGGCCGCTCTCGCCGGAGAATTTTTTCCGAACGACTCGAAAGCCAAGCCAGGCGGTCGTCGGCAAAAACGTGGCCAACTCCCGCGGAGAGACGCCACGCTAATGAAACAAACAAATTTGCTTTCAGCTTCATCGTTTTTTTTTTCTTCTTCCAAAGCCGGTGCCGTAGGTGGCCAAGCTCCAAAAAAAAAAACGTAGGAGAGAAACGAATGCCTCGGGTGCAAGGGTTAAGGTAAATGGATTCTGACAGTGTCCCCCGCTTTACCCGAGGAGTAATTAGAAGCATCAGTGGCGGGGATTGCAGGTTCCTCCCTGGGCGATAGCATTTAGCAGATGTGATGTGGCCTCGTTTTCGTACGGATCTTTGGCCAAACCCAGCCAGATGAGACGGATTGACTCGAGGGAGCGCTTAAGCTGCAATTGACCCTGTAATAGAAAGGAATGGAGAGAAAAAATTGACAAAAAATAAGGGTTGATTAAAAGAAACACTGAAAGAAAAAAAGAGGATTATATTATTAAAGCATTTCATAAAAAAGCACATTTATGTTCGAAATCCTCTGGCCGTCAAAGATGCATCTCTGCGTAATTATCTAATCCAATATTCCTCTGAGCCGGGTACATCGCAGATCCTGTTAAGGAAATACGTGGACTTAGGGCCATTCAATCGCGTACGGTTCTCAGCCTTCTCTGTGTGGCAGGGTCTCTACATGGCAGGGTCTCTACGTGGCAGGGTCTCTGTGAGTCTCTACGTGGCAGGGTCGCTGTGAGGAATGGTTTCTATGTGGCCGGGTCTCTACGAGTCTCTGTGAGGCAGGGAAGATGCACATGCACGCGCTATAACCCGCTCAGCCGAGAAGGGGCCACCTGCGCCAGCGCACCGTTAACTTTTCATCGGCCTGAGAGCTTTTTATTAAGTTACCGGCCCCTTCATCATCTCATTTTTAATGCACGTACTGTTTTATTTAAACCGTGCTATAAATAGAGAGAGAGGGGGCAGAGAGGGAGGGAGGGAGGGAGAGAGGCAGGCAGAGGCAGAGAGCCCCCGCAGGGGACTTTGCTTCGACGGGCAGCAGCTTCTCTTTATTCTTGGCCTGGAAGACGAGGTCGTGGGTGGCCGGCACCCCCTTTCCAGGTGACCTTTCCCTTCCTCGGGCGCGCCCAGACGTAGCTCTCATTCGACCGGCGGGAGGTTCACGCCGGCTACGAGAGAACCACGTGGGATGGGGGAGGGGGGGGGGGGCCCGCTCACGACCCAGATCCGATTAACCGGAATGGAATTCGGCTCCGTCGTGCTCAGATGCTCACGGCTCTCTCGCCCGGTGCTGAATGATTAAATGAGTGGGCTCGGAGCAGCGGCTCGGTGGTTAGCGCGCACCGCCGCTTCGAGCCCGGAGGAAAGCCGACTTCGATGCATGGCCGCGGCTCGCCGCATTGGCGTGTGATGTTACGATCGGTCAAGGCCACCTCCGTTCCACGACGGAGGCACGGCCATCATGCTGTGCTACGGTCGAACAACGGCCGTGACTCTGTACAAATGGTAAATAATCGATCATTGCTTGCACGACGGGATCGATTGATCGTGAGAGCGTGTAATTTGTACGAGCTAAATTAGTACTGCGTCGCTCGTCCGCAATTCCGTCCGCTCCACGGCAAATCCTTCAGGAACGGACAAAGCACGGGGCCGAGGGGGCAACTTTTGACGAGACAGCCTTTTGTGACTGGGCGTGGGCTTTGGGAATTTTGCAGGCGAGCGGAGTCGCTGCGAGTGCACCGGGGGGCATGCGCCGCAGGGTCCCAGGCACCAGGCGGCAAAGAGGAGGAGGAGAAGGAATTGAACAAGGGGGAGATGGGGGAAGGGGTGCGGCCCTCACATTTAATTCCTTGCATCAGGGCCAATGCCAACCATGCCCTACCACCACCGCAGCAGCAGCAGCCTCCGTTCCAGCGACACGCATCTGCGATCGAGCGAACGCGGTGACCGCGTGCGTCGTGTTATTTTTTTCCGCATCTCTCCCAGGCGCCTGGAACAGAACTCCATCAAGATGATCCCTCCCGGAGCCTTCAGCCCCTACAAGAAACTGCGCAGGATGTAAGTGCCCGTTGTTTTAACGGTTTGTTTAATCTCTCCGCTCCCGCAGCAGCACAGCGCAGAAATACGCGGTGGCGGTAACAAAGGGGCATCCACCTTTTTAGTTTCACCCCCCCACCCCATACTACCACCCCCCCCCCCGCCCACCGACCGTGAGCATCGATTTTAAGCTTCTGCTTGAACGGCCGCCACGCCGTTAATCACGGGCGCTGGAACGGTGACCCAGCGAGGAGGAGGGAGAAACGGCTGCTGAGCTTGCCGAGCTGTTGAACGTGAAAAAACATCAGGGAACGACTTTTAATGGCCAAGAGGCCGAGGATCGATCATCGCGCCGTCTTTTCCTGCGGTGGATCGCGCCGCAGTCTCCGTGTGCTTTTTTTCATGCTTTGAGAACGAGATGGTTTCAATCGCGCTCGCACGGCTTTCGTAGGACGTCTCAGTTCTTCGCGGCATCGGTTCAGACATTTTATTTATGCTAGGGTGAGGTTTTTAATAGTGCATGCCCTTGCAAGATTTACAAGCAAATAAACATCTTTTACATTTCATGCATCAGGCCAAAATGAAGCTGTTTAATCCCTCCAGAGGGTCAAAATAAATAAACTATAAAGAAGTGTAATACACATGTTTACTGTAATAATTTACGGTGCTTTGTCAGTCCGCTGCTGGATGAGGGCCTCCTCCATGTGGGTTGTGATGGCTGTTTCACCATACCTCATCGGATTGGAGCAGTGCGGGTTGGTGAAGGTGGGGTTGGGGGGTGACTCGTCACTGACGTTAACCCCAGCTGGGAATAGACCTCAGGCTGTCCGGGTTCATCGTCCCCCCCGCCACCTCCCCATGCTCACATCCTCACGCTCACCTTTCGTGTTCATCCGTCGCACCATCACCCCTCCCCCTCGCTCCTCTGTCCCCTAACACCCTGCTTGCATCTCCTCCCGTTTTGTGTTTTTCTTTCCTTTTTTTTTGCTTTGCAGAGATTTGAGCAACAACCAGATCACCGAGATCGCTGCCGACGCCTTCCAGGGCCTGCGGTTCCTCAACTCCCTGTGAGTTACCGCCGACAACGTCTGTCTCGTCGCGTCGTTTGTTTGGTGTGCAAGCACAAAGACAGAGATCCCCCCCCCCCACCGTGTAACCTTTCACACACACAAATGCACACACAAACGCACAGTGCAATACACGCACGGCATGCATACAAACTATCATGAAGACAACAAAAATTCCCCGTGTAGCCTTTAACAGACTGTTGGGGCAAGTGCTGCTAGCGAGCACCTATAAAAGCCGGCACGGCACACGAGGGGGTGGGTGGCCAACACCACTCCCGGCCGCCTTTGTCTCCCCAGTGGCGATGTTTACACTTTTCACCGGGTACTCATTTGAGGCTGAGTCGACGTAGGGGAGGCACAAGACCGGTTCAAAATATCGTCACTGGTGTTCGCTGTGAGCGGGAATCGAACCCGGGTCGCCAAGTTCGTAGCGCAGTGCGTTAATCGCTACACCACCGTTCCCCACACTATATACACATTCAGACATATTGAATACATGGCTGCATGCACACACGCACACATAAGCACACTCAACAAGCATGTGATGCAAGCCACCCGTTTAATTAATAGCTTAAATATTCCGTCTAATTTTTCATGCTTCGAAAAAGTCAGGCCCTTGCCAAGAGCGGAATTATATCCCTCTCGTTTATTGATTAATTTTCTCAGCTGTAAGAAGCCTTTCTGTGAGTGCCTGTAGACACTCTATCCATGTACGCACTGAGTTGGAATGTTGCTACTTCAGCGACCACACAAATAACGCAACTTTTATGTTACCTTTAATATACACGCTTAGAGTAAGAGAGAGAGAGAGAAACATGACATTTTAAGCAGCTGCCATTATTCGGGAAACAACAATTGTATTTTCCTGCATTCGGAAAGGAAATGATTAAATTCCATATTTTTTTTATTTATACTTAACTCCGCTCCTCGGTGTGTGGAATTGAACGTGCCCGAGAGGACGTCCATTGGAGGGAGATGGAGCAACGAAGTTAACTCGCGCGCAGGCAGGCGCTACAGTGGATTTATCACTCTGTCCAGACATTGTGTGATGGTGACGGCTTTGGGGCGGGAATGCCTTCATCCAGCAGCGGATAGGCCACGGCTGACGATGACAACAGCGCTAATCCTTTACCAACGTGTAGAGACACGCGCGTACACAGACGAGCACGCGTGTCGGCATGCGTGCGATGTTGTAATAAAGTCCAGACCGCTCTTTTCCTGATCTAATGTAATTCTCACCGAAAGCAGCATGTGTCTAGGAAAGTGCATTTCTCTCGCCGATGTCTATCAGGCCAGGTCACGTCAATCTTCTGTCGCCGTGTTGCCCACGATTTACATCTCGGCTTTGGTTAGCCTCCTATCGCCCCTGCTGCTGGAGCCGCTGGGTGGTCACGCACCTGAGTTGACGCTGCCTGGCAGGTCCGGGCGGGGGGGGGGGGGGGCCTTATCCCGAGATCACGAGCGGCGAGCGGTTAAACATTCCCTTTTATTATTTATGCCACTTTTCATGGCACGGGGCAGATCAAGGCGATTTGATTTGCTGCCAGTTAGACTGTGAGCTTGGAGAGAATGAACGAAGGAAAGAATATGAAAGGATCATTCTTTTGCCAATGAGGTGCATTTTTACAATTCAAAAAATGGGGTTTTGTTTTTTGTTATTTTACCCCAGAGTTCTCCAGGATCTCTGCGATAGCAAACAGGATTTTATTTTGTCGTGTTGCTCAATCCATGAATATGTTCATCACCATCCGCACACTCTGTAGAACGTGCCAATGTGCGAATCGTCGTGGAGCTGGTCCTTGTTACATTCCTTGGGGCGGCTCCAATCTTTTAACAAGTCTGTGTGTGGGGGGGGGGGGGGGGGGGTGAGGCACGGTTGGGGCATGATACAGAGAAAGAGGTTAGAGGATAGGAGGCGAGGTTGAGGTGACACCTCAGACATTCGTGGGATTAAGCAGAACGCTGTTGCCTCGATGGGAGCAGTGGTTTGGTGGGAGAGCAGTGATTTTGTAGGAGCAGTGGTTTTGTGGGAGCAGTGGTTTTGTGGGAGCTGTGGGTTTGTGGGAGAACAGTGATTTTGTAGGAGCAGTGATTTTGTAGGAGCAGTGGTTTTGTGGGAGCAGTGGTTTGGTGGGAGAGCGGTGGTTTTGTGGGAGCAGTGGTTTTGTGGGAGCAGTGGTTTTGTGGGAGCAGTGGTTTTGTGGGAGATCCAAGCAGCCTCGACCTCCCCGAGGCACATGTCAGCAGTCGTGGCCACGGGGCTCACTGTGCGCCGCGACTCAGACCCCTACAGACCCCCACGCCACTGTTTCTCGATAGTGGGCCATTGTACGCACGTCGGTGCCCTACCCCACGTCTCAGGGCACACCTGAAACCAATAGAGGCCACTTACCGTTAGGGTCACTGGCGTGTCCTACACGAGGGAGGCGTTGTCACTCGGTCAGCCCTCACCTGCGTGCAAGTGGGGGAAATTGAATTAAATGGAATGAAATTGAATGAAATTTAATGATCTTGCATAATTCGGCAACTGCGATGCAGTGGCAGTGGACGTGTCGAGAAGGAGCTGCCGCGCTCTGTCGGATTCCGAGTATCGCCGTGCCCTATGCTAGGCCCCGACGCGGCTACGTGTGTAATTGTTTAAACAAATACAATTGTGATGCTGCGTTGGTAGCAGTGCACAGGGCGTGGTAATGTCAATGACACACGAGGTGGTGCACCGCTCGCTGTTTAAGTGAAAATCCAGTGTTTTATTTGTGCAGTCTCCAGTGACCAGGCTAAGGCTCTCATCTCGCTAGCACTTGCGAGCCTGGTACCATCACGGGTGGCTCGAACCCAGACTCGAACCCAGGGTCTCAGCGGTTCTGGTCTGGTCCAGTGTCCGCTGGCAGCAGCATTAACCTCCTGAGCCACCCGGTCACTTCTCCGCGAATTAAGTTTTGAAATTGTCACCGAATTCCCACATGACCGCCACCGCTAGCAGTGCCACCACCACCGCCACGATAGTTGCTCTCAGTGAGCAGCCGCCCGGAGCTTCGGTTCCGCATGCGCCACGCACATTTTTTTTTTATTTTGACTAATTCCAGACAAATTAGACAATCCTGACTCACGCGGTTCCGATTACATTTACCAGGAGCCAATTGAAGATGGAAGTGGAGTTGAGGGAAGAAAAGGGCAAGGGTGGTGTGGGGGGTGGGGAAGGTTTGGGGTGGGGGGGGGCATGAGGGCATCGTGTGGGAAGTCGGCTCGTGTAGTAGAGAGGTGAAAAGACTGACAACTCCAACTAAGAGTGGGTTTTTTTTGGTGCCAAAGTCAAGTGTTCAATTTTTTGTCCCTTTGGCTCCTTAGCTCATTTCCTACCACCATGGGGTACGGAGTTTGCCGATCGCTGGGCTCCCGGCGAGGCTCGGGTCACGCAAGGAGCAATCCCGAGAGCTACTGCCGTGTATCCCTCGTCGTTAGGCCGCAAAAGAAATGTACAAATCGGTGCGGCGGCAAGCGGAGAAAAGGAGGGAAATTGAGAAAGTGGGAATAAAGAGGGCGGTTAGACTGTTTGTAGACAAACAACAAAAAAGATCGTTTAAAATGCTTAAATTGAATAACGTAAAAATGGGACAAACAGGGAAATGGTGGCGCAATTATGGGAATGAAAGACAAAGCAGCGTAAGAGGAAAAGAAAAGAGAGCTTAGAAGGATAATCGCTAACAAATGAAAAAATAAGAGGACGAATTAAACATTTGCAGAAAAAAACGTGGACGAGCTGAAAGAAGAAAGGGAAGAAAGTGAAGGGGTAGGGGGAGAGGGTGGGGAGGGGAGGGGGGCTGTGGGGAGAAAGGCAAACATAATGAGACGTTGTTATACATCTCATGGCACCCCCACTGAGTGCCAGGCCCCCCCTCGCAAACAAGCGGCGATATACGTTCCAGCTGGCCCCAGGAATGCTAATGCGGCGGTGGCGGCGGGGGCAAGGCCACGTCCCCACCGTTAGCGACGCCGGCACCCAGCGCGGCACGGCCCCGGTCTCCCCGTGGCAGACCGCCGTCTGCCCACGTGTGCACGAGGGTTGACCATCGTGCGTTCTAATTAACTATTGGTTGCGATCATCGTCGCGGTCGTGATTATTATTTTGATTGTTAATAACTTTTTACTTCGACCACGTGGCGAGCGCGGCCTCGCAGTCCGGGGGATTTGAGGGGTTCAAAGCCTGTTTCACGGGGGTTTAGTTAAAAACCATCAACCCCTCTTGGGGTCGATAAAACGAGTACTGCTTTGTGGCGAAGTCAACAGTGGTTTTCCCATTGAGACACGCCGCCCCCTCTCCGCCCCCCCCCTCTGCCCCCGCTATCGGAATTTTGAATTTTCACCACTTGCTTAGGGCCGTAAACAATGCTCATTTAGGCAAGAAATCACTTGTGCTCGACCTTTACCTTATGTTATTGTTATCACCATTCTTATTGTTGTCCTTCGCAGGGTGTAGTGTTACTCGGAGGGAATGTATGCGATTTGTAATTATTGTTGAGTAGGTGTGCCATGACGCATGGGGTTGTAGCCTAAACTCGATTGTAATGCTCATGATGCATGGATGCAATCGCGCTTTTGGGAATCCACTTGTTTATGATTGATGAAAATTGTATGCCGACTTTGCATTGGCATTTAATTTGAATAATGCCTGCTGGCATTGTTTCCCGATGACGACGTTACCGTTGAGAGTATTCGTGGCCTGCACCGGATCGCCGTGTCGAAGGAAGCACTCCAGAAGATGTTACGGATCTACTTCTGAAGCCAGTTCGTTTCTTTCGTTCACAGTGGAGGAACGCCGTTCACACACTCCGCAACGAGTGTCCATTGCATGTCAACGGGACAGATGGTATTAAATCCGAGTCTCAATTGGGACCTTTCAATTAAGCCTCAGTTGGGCGGCCCTGACACCACAGGAGGACACGGAGTTCGATCATCTAAACAGCCGACCCCACGCCAAAATGGAATCAATGATTTGGCGATGCTGCTGCTGCTGCTGCTGCGTTGGCAGTGGTGCACAAGCATAGACTCGACCCCAATTCGTCCACAACACTGTGGCATTAAACGGAAACAAATACATATTTTAGTGGTGGCGTTTCAAACAATTGCCCTTTACTTGTGTGCTATGAAGAATGGCAATTGCTCAAAAATATTTTGGCCACTGATGTATAATTTTTTTAAGGCCGCAGTTTTATTCACGAATGTGATGAGTCATGTTGTTAATTATGCCATTACGAGACTTTTGTCTTCGAAGTATGAAAAAAAATGAAGTCTCGCAACTGCAACGAGTGAAATAAATTCAACACGGTTATATTTTAAGCGGCCATTGGTGACCAGGCTGGCACCGCCAACTTTCTCCGCCTGAGGTCCCATTTTGACGACGTGCAGCTGAAGCCAGGGATTCAAAACCCAGACTCTCATCGGTGCCGGTTCAGCGTCTCTGATGCGGCATCAGCCAACGTCTCCATAATTCACCCTGCGATCCTCCTACTCCTGCCCCCCCTCCTCCTGCTCCTCCTCCCCCCCTCCTCTATGCAGTGCCCATCCCTAACCCTCCCCCCCAACCCCACCGCTGTGCTGGGTGAAGTACAGGGCTTCTGGGCTTCTGCGCCGTGCGAGAGAGGGCATCTCTGCATGGATTGTCCTTGTCACCCACCTGCCGCACGCGGTGACCCCGGTGGCTTCACGCTGGCAACGCGAGCGAGGAGGAGAGGGGCGGTTTACAACACCGCCTGTGACCGGGTCGGTCGCCACCTGGTTCTGTTCCTCTGTGCCGAGATTCACGGTGGCTGGGCTGTTGTCTCCCTCCGCAGGGTCCTGTACGGGAACAAGATCACCGACCTGCCGAAGGGCCTGTTCAGCGGACTCTACTCCCTCCAGCTCCTGTGAGTAGCGGCGCGCTGCATTGATCTCACAGCAGTAAATGGTAACGGAGTGTGAAGAATTGCTGCATCCTGTGAATGCGTATCACGTGCATGTTACAGGACTTTGGAGCCATTGGCCGAAGGAGGCATCCTCATCCTGTGTCAGTTATTGAGGGCTGTTTAATCATACTTCACCACGCTGCTCAGTGTGGGTTGGTGAAGGGGTGGTGGTGGGTGGAGGGCCTCAGGATGCGTTGAGATATTCCCTACTGATGTTAGTCATGATCTGAAATGATATGCAGGCTGCCGAGTCCATAGTGCAGTGCGCTAACCACGGTGCCACCGCTTCACCCAAATACACAATGCGTGACAGGTTCATTGATAATAATATCAGCTGTGGTTTTTTTTCACTGTCACTGAGAAGGAAGAAAGAAAGATCTTGACTTTCTGGCCCACTGGCCCTGTTCAGGGAATTATAAAATAGAAATAAATAATCTAAATTATTACTTATTATTACTACGAACAATGTGAAGTACAATCACGAAGTAATGTTCAAAATTGTATTCTTTGTCTTGAATGTTCCTCCCAGGCTGTAATTATCGTTGTGTTTGTGCAGCAAGGGCTCTCTTCTTGAGTCTCAAGATAAACGCCTGAATTGTAATTGGGCCGCGTGCGCGCGGCACGCAGATTAGAGAGCCAAAGAACAAAAGGAAATGCAGAGGGGGGCATGTGAGTTCATATTTGAAATAACGCGCCTAATTGTTCTGCAAACGCGTGGGTAATCGTACCCCGCGGTCGTTGCGTGGACGACCGTGCTTGCCGCCTCACCCGTATTTGGGACCGGCGAATTTAATATTTTAATATTTTTTAATCAAATTAAATACTTTTTAAAAATGCTTTGACTTGCGGGGCCAAGTGCGTCTGGGGGGGGGGGGGGCATGAGTTGGTTGGGGGGCGAGTGACGAGAGGGCAAAGGTCGCCCTTCGTGGTCACGAGCAACTGTCGTGGGCGACTGCGGGCACCCATTAAAGTTCCGTCGTGAGGCTCGAGAGGGCAGCCGGTGACGTGCCACCTTGACCACCTTTGTCTTCTCAGAATCGCTGTAGCTCGCACTAATGCACGAGGTAGTAACATTAGACTGAGTCGAGCGAGCATTGGCACAGGTCACATTTCAATACCAATTGCCATTGGTGATGTGCAAGGACAGGAATTGAACCCAAAGTTGCTAGAATTATAGTGAAGTGCATAAAGTAGTATACATCCATTTACCACAAAGATAAAGATGCCCTGTATGGCTACAGGGACTGTTGAGGCAAATATTGTTGGTGAGCACCTATAAATACCAAGATGACACGGGTCGGGATGGTGTGCCTCGTACCACCGCTCCGCGTCGTCGTTTTGAGGCCGCGTCGACTTCAGGGAATCTCAGGACCGGTTCAGATATCACTCATCAATCATATTAGCCTTGGCTGCAGATCAGACTTAGGTCGCCTGGCTCGTATCGCAGTGCACTAAGCAATGCACCACCACTCTCTGCATTCCGTTAGCGCACTCGCACAATGCGAACGCGAAAGCACTCACACACGCACAAGCTCTTGCACATGCGCACACAATCCACTGAGATAAACACAGCATACTTTTGCCACACACGAAGTGTAACCGAAGTATAAACACAGAAAACCGATATGTCTCTTTTAACCAATTATTCACGTGTGTATGTTTACATTCATATAAAGCCGCACACATACACACGCCGTGCCGCACCATCAGGAAATTTGAAGAAAAAAATGGCTCTTATCGTCGTATCTAGAACATCGCTGGGACCCAGCACGCATGGGGAATATGTATTTGTTTGCAGAGGGCTTTTTTTAATTTGAAGAAAAAATGAAATGTCATGCAAAAATATGACTTTTTTTCAAGAGTAACATTAAATCAGCTATGTTGTTTTGTTATTGGATGTCCGTTGAAATGATTTTAGCTGCCAAGAGCAGGCAGAAAAAAACTATAGAATTGAATGTTAATGTCGGTTTGGTGACGTCATTATGAACGCCCGTGTTTACGTCTTTGACGGATCAACTTGTGAACGGCCATAGCAACGCTACGAATCTGTTTTCGAACCTTTCATAACCGAACCTTGGCAGTACATGATACACTGATTCACATCGGCCCTTAGCCTCACGACACGTCCCATCAAATTGCACGTGGCTTGAAAGTCAATGAGGTTTGATTTGGTGCACGCGTTGAACGCCACGTGTCCGCAGAGCTCTCTCCAACCGAGGGAAGTTGCTGCAATTCATCACGATGTAAACAAAAGAGAATTGATTCCTGAATTGAATCACAACCTCGAATCATGACAATTATATCGTAGGGATGTCAATCGTGTGAATTGCAATACCCCTAACAAGTAGACCAGGCCCCATGATCAAGCAAGGCAATATATATCAATAGCCAGTTCTCTGTCACTTGTACGAACTGTGCTGTTGGTTAAATAAACACTGCGGCTTTTAGGAGTCCACTATTTTGGCCATTTTACTTGGACAAAACCAGCTGCCTTCACCTTTGCGGGGGGCCAGAAGCCCTTCTGTGGAGCAAGACAAGCCATCGGGTTTGTCAACACGTGAGTGGAGGCTTGGAGATCAAAGCCATCGCATCCTTTCCCAGATCGCGGGGTCACGAGTGGTGTCGACGCACGCACGCACGCACCCACGAACACGCACGCACGTCTCACTTGGCTCGAGGTCTGTAATAGAGTCTTGTTGGGGAACAGCCCGGATGGTCTGTCCCCGCACCCCCCTGCCGGACACTTAGAGGTGCATCACCTCCTGATGAATGCACTCCTGTTTGTTGGGTCTAACTTAAAAATGAATTGTGCTGCGTCCTATTCCAAATGTGTTTCCAACTGCGCTGTCCACGTCATTTCGGAACTTTCATCGAATCGTGTTAGAGAATGGCCCATGGAAGAAGATTTCACAGAACTACTTCTGGGGTCTCGTCTGGTATGAGAACCTATGAGTTGTCGCACATGCCCTTCTACGGAGAAATGATCATCACATGGCAGTCCAACCAATATTTATATTTTTTTTATTTTCAAACCTGAAATTTAGTGGAAAAATTCTGAGAAAAACTAAACTTTTTCCCAGTTCAGACATTGGCAACCAGGTGTAGATCATGAACTCTCCCGCACTTCAGATGGAATACGGTGTAATCACCGGGCATGTAAATCTCACATTCGGTTGGGCGGTTCCACCTGGCTCAGCGCTCCGACCCCTCAGCTGCCCGGCCATCTCTGTGTTTACTTTTTTTTTAATGCTCTGCTCCCCCCCCCCCCCCATTCTTTCGCTGTGAAAGGGGGGGGGGGCACTGGAAGCGCCTGGCGGATGGCACAGTGCCACGCTTCTCGGCTTCGCAGTCCGCCAGCCCGGCGCGTCGTAAGAGCCGGTTCATGTCGCACAACGGCCTTTCATGTCGAGAGAGAGAGAGCGAGCGAGCTGCGTGGAGTGGAGGCTCTGTAGTGACCAGGCCCCACGTGCTCACTCAGCCGCCCCCACCGTGAGCGATAGCATCTCACTTTACAGCTTTGAAGTCCCCTCGGCCACTTCCCCCAAAAGGTCCCCCCTTGCCCCCCCCCCTCTGCCCCCCCCCGCCCCCCTCTCCCCGGCCCCCATCCAGTGTTTCCTCTCCTCCTCCTCTCGACAGCTCGCTCAACGCGCAGCCCAAGCATAGGAACGTAGGGGGTCGTCTCATAATTGAAAGTATTTAGATTAGAGTTGAGGCTCGGTGTTCATTTCATTTTCATTTCTTTCTTTCAGATTTTTTTGTCTCTCTCTAAAGCTTTTTTTTTCTCTTTCGGCTTTAACTTTTTTCCCCCCTCCACGAGCCCGCTCTTGACGAACATGCCTGGAGCTTTTAGCCGCGTTCTGATCCTGCCCCTGGGAAGGCCCTGACCGATACCAAAAGGCGTTCGGCTGCATTATTTGAAGTTGCGAGCGAGCGGGTGGAGAGGTGGGGGGGGGGGGTGGCTGGCGAGAGCCTGGGCCACGCTGCTAATGAACTAATGATCCCCACCCCGGCTGTGTAATTGTCGGTAAGAACGCGCGGCCTCTGCACCCGCGAGGCTTCACGGAGAATGCCCGCGATTAGAGGCGAAGCGGCAGCCAGCGTGGGGGCATCGTTGTTGCGGGCGGCAGCTGCGGATGACCGGCCAGCAGTCTGGCTGCTTGTGTGAGAACGCGCAGTTCCCCGCCCCCCCCCCCCCCCCGGTTCCGTTTTGAAAAAGTAAAAAAAATATCTCTCTCTGAGTTAATCAAATCAGTGCAAGTAAAACAGAAACAATTTTTTTTTCCAACTTTTCCTATCTCCCCATTATTTTACACACATACGCCTCGCTGCTAACCTGGCGGGTTCTGTTTACAGTTCCTGGCCAGTGTTTGCCTTACAGACAGACTGGATCCTGCCCATAGGAATGTGGAATTTCTTCCTGTGGGTCAGATACTTTCCGGCTGGTCGCGCACACGTTAGGTTTCAATGTCGGGCGGCTGTCTAAAGTGGTTGTTCTATGGAGAGACTTGATCCTGCCATCAGAACGTGGAATTTATGCTGCTGTCTCAAGGCTGCCAATGGAAATGGACCCCATTCCAAGACCTCTTTAAGCAGAGAGATTACGCAGAAGCCATCACCAGCTGACCGGCAGTGACTCCTCAAAGTAATGCGGACGGCAAATGGGAGAACATTTAGTGATGACGGGGATGACGACGTTATACCACCGTGGGTTTCAAAGCTCCATTAATGATGCAAAAGACTTTCAAGTCACAGCCAGACACTCTGTCATGGCGCTGTAGGGACATCACTGCATTGATAATTGTATTCATCAGCGTGGGTATGCCGTCACAGTGACATCGCTCGAGCGCCATAAATGATGACCCACCCCACGAACTCTTTGACTCTCCAAGTTGATTTCCTCAATAACGAAGCTTGAGACTAAATTTGGCAGGACACGTCGCTAGACAACGACCCGATGGTCACGGATACCGATGGTTTGGGCAACCGAGCAGTGAGATTGAGCAATGAAATCATCGATACATTGTGAGCGATGGCAACGGTTCATGTAGGGCCACGTCCAGCGGTGGATTGATAACGGCTGATGACGACGACGATGAGAAGAAGCTAAGAAACTCTCGCGAAGCTGCCTAGGACAGGACGTGCAGCCCAGGCATGCATTTACGAGATAAGAGCTGTTTGTTCTGTTGGATTGCGTGTCGCTTTAATCAAACAACATTAATAGGATGGCAGTGGGTGGCACGGAGCAAAGATCTTGGTCAATCTTCGGCCCTAACACCTCATCACGATAAGCAGATAGAGTCAGATTATGCTGCACTGGAGCGGTAATCCCCTGGTTTCCGCAAGCCACTTGCCCGCGTAATTCAATGCACGGAGTTTGTTTAACCAGGTGAGACCCCGTTGAGTGGGAGGCAATCAGATCAAATATTAAGGGGAGCACAATGGGCAGCTGTGCGCATCCACGTAAGCGCAGAGACTCTCTCCACTTTCATCATCAACGCCGCCTTATGCGCACGTGCGGCCCTTTCAGTCAGTCCACTGCTGGCTGGGGGCCTCCCCATGCCGTCCTGCGCCCGGCTTTGGGGGTTGTTTGATCTTGCCGGTTAGTTGGCAGTGGGCAGCGCAGGCCGTGGAGCACAGATGTATACGGTACGACAGTGGAGTCTGCTGTATCCACTCGGCTGTCCATTGCGTGCCTTGCCCACTCACCCCTGGTCAGTGGCGGTTGGAGAAGCGAGGGGTGGACCAACCGTCGTCGTGTGAATAGTCATTGAAGAAACGCACAATGGCGCCAAAGGCGTCTCTGTCGCGCTGTGGACGTTTCGGTGTCACTCGGAGTGGCCGAATTCGAGGTGTTCGCGTTTTTGAGTTCGTCTGCTCGGGCGTCGCTTCATGTGAAGGGGTCCCCCACGATCCGGAAAGCGTGGTCGCCGTGCATTTTCAGTTGGGATCACGCAACATTGAGGCCGAGACCACCACCACCACCACGTAACATCGAGACCACCACCATCACCACCACGTAACATCGAGACCACCACCATCACCACCACGTAACATCGAGACCACCACCATCACCACCACGTAACATCGAGACCACCACCATCACCACCACGTAACATCGAGACCACCACCATCACCACCACGTAACATCGAGACCACCACCATCACCACCACGTATCATCAAGACCACCACCACCACCACGAGTGGATATCACTCGCTACTGATGTTAGTCGTGGCTGGGAATTTAACTCAGACGCATGGGTGCATAGCGCAAAACGTTAATAACTTCAGCACTGCCTCCACGATTTGTAATTAATATCTTGTGTTCCACTTTATGTATGTGAATTTTAATTTATACAGCCGCGGTTTTTAATTTGTATCCCTGTCTAGATTCTGTGTCCGCTGACGTTCAACTCGGCATTTTTTTAATTCGTTGAGCTGAGGAATCTCCCGCTGCGATGGCGTTGGCTGTTGGGTAACGTCTAATGTGGGGTTTTTAATTTGTCCACGAGCACGGCGTCGTCTCTCGCACTCCGGATCGTGTTCGCCGTTCCGTTTGCTGCTCAATTCCGCATTTAGAATTGAACGTGTCTCTTCTCTTCTGAGACGACCATTTGTCCCAGGTGTCTATCTTGAAAAAGAGGATTTCTCTTCTCGACAAGCCCTTCTTACCCCGTGTCGGATTTCACGGCATACAGCAGGAGACCTGACTTACCCCTCCCTTTAAATTGAGGTCGCCCATAGAGCCCAGACAACTTGACACCTTTTCCTTCCCTGCGTGTGTGTATGTGGGCGTACGTGAATGGGGAGCGGTGGCCTAGCGGTTAACGCACTGGGCTACGAACCGGGCGACCCGAGTTTGATTCCCGCTGAACCAGTTCTGGACCTGCCCTATGTCGACTCGGCCTCAAATGACTACCCTGGTGCAGTGTGTAAACATCGCCACGAGGGAGAGAAAGGCAGCCGGGCGTGGTGCTGGTCACCCATCCCCTCGTGCACCATGCCGGCCTTTCTAGGTTCTCGCTAACGGCACTATACGGGGGTCTTTGTCTTTGTGCGGCTCTCAGGCTCCTCAACGCCAACAAGATCACGTGCATCCGCGTCGACGCCTTCCAGGACCTGCAGAACCTGCAGCTGCTGTCGCTCTACGACAACAAGCTGCAGACGCTGGGCAAGGGCACGTTCACACCTCTCCGCCAAGTCAAAACGCTGTGAGTGGTGGCTCAAGAGGCCACGATAACACACATACACGCACACACGCACACACATGCACGCACACACATGCACGCACAGAAGCACGTACGCACGCGCACACACACACGCACAGACACACATACGTGCACATGCATGCACACAAAGACAAAGACGGAGATCCTCTGTATAGCCTTAACAGACTGTTGGGGCAAGTGCTGTTAGCGAGCACCCAATGACGGCCGGCACAGCAGGACCTCGCCCGACCGCCTTTGTCTCCCTGTAGTGCCGATATTTGCACACCACACCAGGGTACTCATTTGAGGCTAAGTCGACCTAGGGGCGGCCCAGGACTGGTTCAGATAATCGTCACTGGTGTTGGCCGTGAGCGGGGATCGTAGCGCAGCGAGCTAACCGCTACACTACCATTCCCCACATACAGACACGCAAGCATTACACACACTAACATACTCTCACACGCACACGTGTGCAGCATAATCACAGGCACACATGTGTAAGTACACACTCATGCGCGCACATACACCAGATGCACACACCCACCCATAAGCAGTTCCAGGAATGACAAACACGCACGTATAGATATGTAAAACGAGCTGTTTTTATCATGGAAAATAATAGCCATATGCATATGATTCTCGTGAATGTTTGCGATCTTCAGCGATAACATGAAACAGCCGCACCGTTTTTATAAACGTTTTTCTGCACAATCTCCGGAGAATCATAATTCTGACTTTCTGCATTTCTGCTCGCTGTGCGCCCCCCCCACCCCCCCCTCGTGAATGCTGTACATGACTGTGGCCTTGCCTACACACACGCACACTCACACGCATGTACCTACTTCCGTACAACCTGCACGCCACGCTTATACACACTCACGCACACTCACGCACGCACAAAACGCACGCACGATCCCCATGCCCGCGGGCTCGCTTCCCCACCACGAAGCCACCTGGCCCAGAACCCCTTCATCTGCGACTGCCACCTCAAGTGGCTGGCCGACTACCTCCACGCCAACCCCATCGAGACGAGCGGCGCCCGTTGCGCCAGCCCCCGCCGCCTCGCCAACAAGCGCATCGGTCAGATCAAGAGCAAGAAGCTGCGCTGCTCCGGTACGCGACCCGCAGACACCCGCGGCACCGGCGGTCTCCCTCACGGTGGATTTCTCTGCCGAGCGCAGTCACGGGGAGGGGGGTGGGGGTGCAGCCATGCGGAGGCCCTCTCCTGTCAGCCGGGCGCGCTCACGCGCGGGGGTGAACGCACGGCACGTTCAACGCCTGGGGGTGAACGCACGGCACGTTCGGCGCACGGGGCTGAACGCACGGCACGTTCGGCGCACGCCATGCTCGGCGGCGTGGCACGTTCTGGAGTGTGGCCATCGAGCAAACAGGCCAGAGCCATTCCCCTGGGTAACGGGCGAATTTGGGAGACCGCCCTGAGCCCCGCACTTTGGGGGGCCCCCTCACTTTGGTATCACACCGTCAAGTGTGATCCTTACGGTTGAGTTTGAAGGCATAGGGCATGGGGGGGGGCCCATGCGGTGTGATTTGCCCTGGGTCCCTGTGCCCCCCCACATGGATGGCCCTGGTGCAGGCGGTGGCAATGTCGCGTGTAGGAATTGAAGCGGCGTCTTATGAAGTGCGACGTGACGTTTTGATGTCCGGGCACCAGAGCTTCGAGGAAATGCGGAGCGAATTTCAGAGATGCAGACTTGCAAAGAGACCCAGAGGACTAGCGTGGAGACCCGTCAACTCGCATATGATAATAATGATGATGTAGACATGAATAGCCGTGGGTTACAGTACAATGTTAAGTTTTGATACCCGGCCAAGATCTTCAGGATATGCGGAATGAATTTCAGGGACATTTTCCAGGGAATGGGTAACAGTGGACAGGTGTTCACTCGCCTCTCGATCGCTGGAAGCTGCTCACCACATTCACACTCGGAAGGTCTCTCCGAGTCTCCTCGAGTGACCGAGGTATCCGCAGCGACCCGTGTGACGTTCCTGGTGCGTGTGCAGGCGGTGCAACTGCACGGGGTGCGTAGATGGCAGGCAATGAAGAGGGAGGCCGACTGGGGTTTGGGGGGTGGAATTGGAACGAGATTGGCGCAGTTTAATTCCTTGCACCAGGGCCCCATACGATGTACGCTGCGCCGTTGTTACGACTCTCGATAGAAAAGTGGCTAAATAAAATTAATGACGCAAAAGTTTTATAAAAGATCCCGACTGTGGACACAGCTGCTCCCTGGCACCTAGCCCTTGCACGTAGGTGATTTCGCATGAGCTGTGCGAAGCGATAAGTTAATCGCTAAACTTAAAAATAATGTAAACGTGTAAGTGCTTTAAGTTTCCTGTTTGTATTGACTGCTGGGAGTAATATTCATAGGTCGTTGTTGTTGTTTTTTTCAGGTTCTTTTTTCCAGTTAGGGTTGCGTTTGGTGCAGGGCCGATCGATTTTAAGGGAATATTAACGCTGAGGGCAGGGCTATGTCGTTTGTTATTCTTGTTAGTACACGGCAGCGCAGTGTCGCGGGATACACAGCAACAGTCCCAGGTTACACAGTCGTATAAGCAGCTGAGGTTACCGGTCATATTTTATTCCTGACCATTTGCAGATTTAACACCGATCAAAGTCGAGTTTAACACTCACGGCCATCTTGGTTGACACAAAAATTTTCAATAGGCATTGGTTGAGTGGACTTCACAGTTATTGCTACTTTTCTAAACATGTGAATGTTTGTTAATGCGATGCTCCTAAATTGGTAATGATCCCTATATGGCAGTGCTTACAAATCTGTTCGATACATTTATAGCCGTTAAGCTTCACCTCAGTTGGGGTGCCTTTCAATGCTACCAAGAGGCCATTTCATACAAGTTAAAATGGAACAAACATTTACAAAGACAACACTCACAGAATAAAAAACACTCATAGAGACGGAACAACGAGAAAAAGGGTAAAATAATTAAACGGTGCCAGAATAAAATCAGGAGGGCTCAAGTATAGAAATAGGCCTCAAGCCTTCATTTTAAAGTAGCCAGTGTGGGCGTAAGTAGCTCTGACGCGATCGGGAAGAGAGTTCCATAATCGCGGAGCCCAAACATAAAAACCCAGCGCTGAGCGTGAACGCATAGCAGGGCCTGCCACCGTCAGCTGACTGCAGTGCACGCCGAGGCTGATGGGGAGGCAATATGCCTCTGGCAAGTGAACGGGTGCCATTCCGTTTTGTGCTTTAAACGTCAGTCGTGGAATAAAAAAAAATCAATTCTAATTAATCTCACGACCCATGCATCAAAACCCGTGGATAAAAATTGATGGGGTTTTTTTTCTTTTATTTGTAGTTGTATGGAGTGGGCTCACAGCAAATTCCCACAGCCACTAGAGGCACTGCTACTTTTCACAATGTTAAAACAAAAAAAAGATCTGTTTAATCGACTCGCGATGCTGAATGCTACAATTCACAGCATCGCCTCGGGGGGGGGGATGGGGGATGGGGGTGTGTGGGCCGGGTGGGTGAGAGTGAATCATTCCCACCACTCCTCCGTCTCACTCTATGTACGTGAGCATTATACCACCGCGCGCGCACGCGTGTGTGTGTGTGTGTGTATGCGAAACCCAAATGATGTACAACCACAGTGGGCAGTAACGCACTTAGGCTCACAACCGGCAATTAGACCGTGGAGTCGGAATTGGAAACACATTGCAGCTCGTGCCTCTGCGCTTTCCGTTCTGATTTTTATTTTAAAGTAAAAAGACGGCCTTTGACTTTGTCCGGCAATAACTCGATGGGAAAAAAAAGCATTACGGTGCGCTAAGAAGAGAAAAAAATATAAATAATTGTCGACTGGGTTTTTTTGTTGTTCTTTTTTAACACAATTTGTCACGTGCATTGGACTCGGAGAGCACGCGAGAGAACCGAAAGAAGGCAGTGCTCTCCCCTCCTAGCCTCCAATCTCAACTGCCGTCTTTGTGTGGCCTCAGCCCCACGACGGGCTGCGTTGAAATCCACGCTGCGTTTGTGTTGCAAAAGAGGCAGGCAAGCTCGAAGCCAATTGATGACAGCTCCACTGAGACAAAGGAAACGTGCGATGCAGGACACGTATAACGTCATGAAGGTGTTACATTGCAGGGCCGTGAGAGACGGCCCTGATGATGATGATGATGTTGGGTGCCATGGTAGCGAAACGTTAACTACCTCGCCTGGTATACAGGAGGTCGTCGTTTCGATCCCGACCCTGGCGATGCCTGCTGCTGTATATTTGGAGATGGCATGTTCTCCCTGGAGTCGCGTGGATTTCTCTCTGGGTCCTCCGGTTTTTCCCTCCACAGTTAGAAACATGCGTTTAGAGTATTTGGCTGCTATAAATTGCCCACATGATAAGCCACTTCATTGGGATATCATTTGTGACCAGGTAACTTCTATAAAGAGCTGTAGAGCTCAGTGGGCCTTACCTGGTAAAATAAAAATAAATGTTCGTAGTTCATGATGTAACTAAATTCAAACTGACATCATACATAATATTAAGTAGAACAGAATGCCTGAAATGAATATGCAACCCAAAAATAACATTTGAAAAAATGTGTTTTAAACAGCAAAAGTACAAGAGAAAGTCTGAGCATTCCATGTATGCCAAGATGATGGCACTTTTGTTGCATATGTTGAGAGCTCACGGAGCCTGTGATGGTGGCAGCTCGAGAGAACAGAAAGGGTAGCCTTTGTAAATCTGAACAACAATAACATTGGAACAATGAGGTTTCACCCTTTTTGTGAATCACTCACACAATATTATGTATCATTGCCTAAACTGCCAGCGGTTATTTGACATAAAGTTAACAGATAAGCGTGTACTAATGTAAGCGTACAAAAAAGCTTACAAAATGAAGGGAGATACCAGTTGGGAACTGAGGTTTGCGCTGGAGTTTAAAAGCACTCTTGTCGAAACATTGTCCTGTACAGCGGCCTGGGAAGGAGTCGTTTTTGAACATAAGGAAGATGCGGTGCTGTTCAATGTGCGTTTGGATGCCGCCTGCTGTTAACGAGTTAACCGCCGTTAACGGGTCATCTCGGTACCAGCTTCAACTCCGCCGCTCTTGCATCTGATCGCCCTTCTCCTCGTGCGCCCTCAACCCGTTCCGGCTGAACACGCCACCGCCACAAACGGGCCCCGCACCCATGGCTACAACCACCGCCGGCCACCGCAGCCGCCGCCACCACCAAATCTGTGCCGCGACTCTTCTCCTGCTCCTCCTGCTCCTCCTGGATCCCCGCGCGGTTTTCCGTTGTGCTTGATCTAACCATGCGATGGGGAGCTACGGTAACACCATGGTTCTGTCAAGCACCACGGGACGCCGCACATGAGAGCTCCGCTAAACCGACCGCCGGCACGGCCACTGCACGTGCCACTGCACGGCACAGCGCACCGCCTCACCCCCGCGCCCTGTCCCCCCCCCCCCCCCCCCCCGCGTGTGTTCCCTCTCCGGCTCCTGCACCCCCGCCTGCCACTGTGCCCACTCTTCCTCCGAAGCCCTGGTTGGCCCAAAAGTGTCCAGCAAGGAGCCTTAGACGTGGCTCACTTGTTGTGGAGCGCCAGGAGGGGGAGGATCGCTTGCCACGTGGTGTCGTGCAGCAAAAGAGTTTTGAAAAACACCGGCAGCTGGCTGATGGCGACTGTTCGTTTGGACTTTCATATTTAGCGCATGATGCCACACCAGATGTTTCACTTGCCGGCACCACCCAGGTGGCGTATCTTAAGTGGTTTCCAATATTCGTGAATTATGTGATTACCTGTGGCATTGAGTTGGGTTATCAGATAATTCACTTGTGTGACTGTGGTGCCAACTTCTGCTGTGGCCCATTGGCTACTTGTTTTTTGACCCAGCCTCATGCGCTGACAACTCGTTTCACAGCTTGGATTTGAGGCCCCTTGCCTTGAGGCGCTGGCTGTCCTGATTAAATAAGAGTTCGTTGTTGTCGAGGTGTCGTGTGAAGAGGTTATAAAGGTTGCTCAAGGATTTACTGTTGACATTCACTGACGATCGATAGCTCTAGACGTGTTCAGATAGCTCGGGGGGGAGGATAATAATACAAGATCGGACGACTGAGCTGGCACTGCTGAGATCCTGGGTTCAATTCCAAGCAGCCGTCCGTGTTTTAATCAAGTTCTCATGCACAGAGCCAGAGGTCTCAGCCCGGTTACTGATGACTGCACAAAAAGTGAATTAAATTAGGTTTAGTTATTAATTTCATGCATCTCTCGGCCAAATATTTTCAGGTTGACACGCGACAAAAAGTTGTGCCCTGAGTGTGCATGTGTGCATCTGTGCATGTGTGTACACCCCGAATTATGGGTATATGTGTGTGTACGTATATGTCTGTATACATGCGGTTATCTCGCAGTTATCTCGCTGTGCTACAAACCCGGCGAGCCGAGTTCAATTCCCGCTCACGGAAATACCTGCAACATTTATCCCAACCATTTATGGGCCTCAAATGAGTACCTGGTGCGTCGTGCTGGCCCCCCACCCCCATCATAGGTGCTGCTTGCAAACAGCACTTGCCCCAACGGCCCTGTTTAGGCTATGCGTGGGATCTTTGTCTTTTGTGTGTGTGTGTGCGTGCGCGTGCGTGCACACGTGCGCAGGCACGGAGGACCACAGGGGCAAGCCCGGCGGGGAGTGCTTCATGGACATGATGTGCCCAGACAAGTGCCGCTGCGACGGCACCGTGGTCGACTGCTCCAACCAGAAGCTGGCGCGCATCCCCGCGCACATCCCGCAGTACGCCACCGAGCTGTACGTGCCCCCCCTTCGTCCCCCCTCCCCCCCTTCCCCCTCCCCCCACCCCGCCGGACACAACGCTGCGCCAGACACGTGCCGCACCACTCGTCGCAAAACCGACGGAGCCTTGAGTGTAATTGGGCGATGATGATGATGATGATACCACACAATGTGTGTGTGTGTGTTGGATAATTTTGGAAAACACCGTGGGGAGTGGTAGTGTAGGGGTTAGCCCGCTGCGATACCAGCCCGGCGACCCGAGTTCGAATCCTGCTCACAGCCAACACCAGTGATGAATATCTGAACTGGTCCTGGGCCTCCTCTAGGTTGACTCAGTCTCAAATGAGTACCTGGTGCGTTGTGTAAACATCACCTTCAGAGGTGCTCGCTAACAGCACTTACCCCAACACTCTGTTTAGGCTATTTGGGGGTTATTTGTCTCTGTTGTATAAGCCAGCTTTGGGAGCCGTGAGACTGGCACATTCAGAAGATTGTGGAGTTCAATTGTTGATCGTGGAATCCTTCAGAGTTATTCATTCCTCAGTCCATCTTCCCTCATGGAATTTCCTCTCACCCGCTCTACGGCTATAAGGAGAGGGCTTTGTGTGTGTGTGTGTATATATTCGTTGTCAACTCTGCCTTGAATGAATACCTGGTATGGCATGTAAACATCAGCACTGGGAGAGCTAAGGCGTGGCGCTGGGCACACCGGGTTTTCTCGGTGCTCCACAAGTCGTATGTGGGCCATACAGAGTATCTTGTGTGAATATATATATAAAGCTCCAGTTCTTCTTGGCCACAGCTATGCTCCCTCTTTTCTCTGCTTGCAAAACATGGACCCCTTTGAGAGGAACATCGGCGCTATTTTTAAACACTCAGGCTGGCCAGATTACGATCCTTCCTGAATTTCAAACCAGACTGGATTGTGCGAGGAGCTCACAGATCCTTGAAAGATCTGGACTCAGTCCCCATCGTCAGTGAGCTCCTGACAAATGTTGGACTTAAAGATGATGTACCCAGATGGGTTCAAATCCTGAGCAAAATGGGCAAAGCTCTTCCGCTCGGCAATATGTCCCACCACTGGTGAAAGAGCCATCGGCCATCGGCTCATTTTTGCCAAAAACGCGAACAAAATGAAACATTCGCCAAGTCAACAAATCAGGCCCTCCGTGTGTACAAAACAAGGTACGCTTCACCACGCGTGTACTCCACAACACATCAAAGCACATTCAGAAGTGTGTGTGCATATATATGTATATAAATACATATTTATATAAAGCTACACGTACATTATAACGGTGTATTCTGGCACACATTACGAAGCCCGTAATATTTTTTTTGCTTCTTTCGCAACTGCCAAGAAAAACGCAACATCCTTCAACGCGCCGCACACGCACGCGCGTCAACGCGGAGCTTGCTCGGGGCTCGCCAGTGAGCTGAGCGTGACCCAGAATTCCCTCGCCTGCCCCCCCCTCCCCGCCCCCCACTCCCCCCGGCTGTTTGCACGATAGTTTGTGCATGACGCCATGCGGGTGATAGAGCGGGCGACCCACCCGTGTGCCAGAGAGGGCAGCGCGAGTGCCCCCCCCTCACCCCCCCTCTGCTCCCCCCCCCCCCCCCCCACTTTTCTTTGGTGCCCTTGGAGTTTGAGCGGCGACCGTGGCCCACGACGCATCGGCGCGACGTGACAACATCGTCGTCGGTGGTTTTTCCCTGAGCACGTCGCGCCCGGGTCCCTGTTGTGCGACGATTTCCCAAAATTCCTCGCTGCAAATTGCGCGGGCAGCCATTTACAGAAAGAGCAAAAACACAAACACGGGGGAAATTATTATTTTATTTTCTCTCTCCGGTTACAGGACACGCCCCCCACCCCACACACGAGATACGAGTCCCAGGTCATGGGGAGTTGAGATTCACATCCTTGGGATTTGAGAATCGGTGGAAAAACAGAGCGCTATTTACCCAGTGCAACCATGCAGGTCAGCTGATGGAGACGCAACCCCAGACGGGTCAGGGTACGACGCAGAGAGGCAGCGGCGTCCAATCCCAGGGCGACCGCCGACGCGCACCCTCCCCCCCCCCTCCCCTCGTCGCGGGAAAGCAAAACTGCTCCGAACTCTCTCAATTTCACGCACTTTACCCACTCGGCGACGTTTGCGCGGTTTTGACGGAGCTGCCTTTTAAAGGCCGGTGATTCGTCACGCGAGTCGGCCCGGGCCATTGGCTAGCGTCGGTCTGGCGATGCTGGGCCTGACAAGCCTCGCGCCCGGACCGCGTGGGGAACCTTTCGTTCACAACGCGGCGGAACGACATCGCGAGCCGTCAGACGCGACGGGAAAATGAATGAACGCGCTGACCGATAGGAATGTTTATTTGTAACCAGGTGAGAGCACCGTTGAGGCAACAGGCATTTTACTTTGGAAGGGAGATCTGGATTTTAGAGAGCGGGTATACGGCAAAGAAAGAGTTCCACTAAATTGCAAAGCAAAACTCCAAACTGTGTCCAGTGCTTTAAATTAACTCTAGGATGTGACACCTGTTCAAGTATTTTAACAGTGAAATATATTTACGCAAATGAGTAATACAAAGAAACGGTAAGACTAGGCGAGGTGCAGTGACGTTTCAAATCAGATTGACCGAGCAACGGATCAAGTTAATCGTGGGAAACCGATTGAGAGAGAAAGCTTGTCACGTGTAGAAGAGACACATCATATTCTTACACGTTTCTTATGCAGCACAATTCAATGTGACTGTATCATCACCATACTCTCTGGTTATTTCGGTAAAGTCACGTAAATCGAAAAAATTATAAAAGAAAACACGATGTTTCGGTCGCAACGCAAGCATCCGTCTTCAGGTGAGAAACGGATCCGCTGTTGTATGGATTCCTGCAGTCACAAAAGCTTTAAATGAAGACTGTATCATCACCGTCATCGTCGGCCATGGTTACTCCGCTGCTCGGTGAAGTCCTGCCCAAGCCATCGCCATCTCTCACGATCCTGTCATGTGATGACCCACCCTACAACTACGCCGATTTCATAGCTCCATCTCCTCGGCGAGCCGTCGCCCCTTCTCCAGGACGCGCTCCGTTCCTTTGGCTGCCACTTTTTCTTGACCCTCGGCCCTGCCCAAGCCCATTTGCCTTTCGTAACGGATTGAGTGATGTAATTTACCTGCGCGTGTTCGCTAATCCAAGATGTTAAGTCGTTCGAGGGGCTTTGCGCGGCATCAATCCGAGCGGTTATTCACGTTCCGCAGTTGAATCGAAGCGAGCGTTGACGGAACTGTTTGGCTTGCTAATTTATCGCATGTGCGCATTTTGGCCTGCACGGCTTTTAGGGAACACCTGGATGCACACTCTCTGCATTTGCAGCAGTATTTGCGTTTCCCCCGACCGCGGTCCATTGACCTGACCGCGGTTCGCACCTCCAATGTGCACGGTCGACTACGTACGGTGTGAAAGAAGTTCAAGATATGTACATACGCACCTGCAATGCGTGGAGAATCAATATTAATTACGTGCCCTGGTCAATAATCCAAATTGGATTTTTGGAACGTTTTAGATTTTAAGTCCTTCTGTTATCGTTGGCCATGACAATTCTAAACGCATTCCTCGGCACTGCTTAACACATTCTCATTACTTTAATTGGCATCTTGGTGGGTTATTTATTTTGACTTCTTGTTATTTCATTCATGTATTTGATCGTGATATATCATCGTCAGCCACGATCAATCCACCGCTAGATGAAGGCCTTCCCCAAGACGTTGCCGTCATACGCGGACCTGAAACGCGACGATCCGTTTAGCACCGTCTCATCCTTCCACCTCATCAGTCGACGTCCTCTTGGGTGCGTTCCCTCCTTTAGCTGCCACTCTATCGTTAGTCTCGACCACCGGCCTTCGTCCCTTCTGGCGAGGCGTCCTCAGCGAGCCCACTTTTATTTTGTGCCTTTTTTCGTTGCCCTTCGCCCCGCACCTCCAATGAGCACGGTTGGCTACGTAGGGTGCAGAAGAAGTTCACCACACATACATACAACGTACCTGGACAGCCCGAGCAATGTATTTAGTCGTGTTGCGTTCACGGTAACAGCAATTGGATTGTGATACAGCAATGTCCACGCCCTTTATTCATTTGTTTTTTGTCTCTTTTCTCAGTTCCTTTAATCGCGCTCAGGTCGAGTAACTTGCTCACTGTATTCTTTACCTGCTCTACTCTTACTGCTCTTACCTGCTCTACTCTTTACCTGCTGTATTTTTATCAGCTGTGCTCTTACTACTCTTACCTGTTGTATTCTTCACCTGCTCTACTCTTAGCTGCTGTACTCTTACCTGCTGTACTCTTAACCTACAGTACTCTTACCTGCTAGGCTAATATTAGTCCCCCTTTCTGTTGCTGGATAATTTGGGCAATGAGACGATGGGCCATGTGCTCAGCACGTGCGATAAACAAAAAAGGAAAGAAAGCTACGCCAATATACAACCGCAAGATGCTTTCTTGTTATCGATGTGCCGAGTCCTGCGCTCTGTTTCCACAGCCGGCTGAACAACAACGAGCTCAGCGTGCTGGAGGCGACGGGAATCTTCAAGAAGCTGCCGCATCTGCAGCGCATGTGAGAGAGAGCGCACGCGTGCACGACCTCGCCTCGACCAAACGTGTCGCGCCCCTGTCACGGACGACGATTGCCCGCGCGGCGCCCCCGATTCGCCGTTAGCCCACTCCGATAAGCACGGTTGGCAACGCACGGTGCGAAAGACGTACGTACGTACGCGCATATTTATTGTCCTCACGATCTCACGATGCCTGGAATCGAGGGGTCGTGCGGATTGGTTATCGGATGATTTCTCCAAATTACGTGTGACTGATGGGGTAATGTCACATGGAGGCTTGCGGAGCGTGTGCAACTTGAGTAATCGAGACGGGGGGTGGGGAGCAATGCTAATGAACCGTGACTCCTGTATGGAGACAATTCGTCAGATTACCGTTGGGTGAATTCATGAATACCGATAAATTAACGTGTTGAACTCTTTACAGGAGCAATCGTGGTGTTAACACGACCATGCCTAGCGACGTGCTCATACCATTCATCGTGACCAACCTCATTATCCACATTGTCTTCATTACACAGCTGCTGTAGTCTATTGGCTGTCTGATGGCAAATTGTATAATCATCATCATCATCAATACTCCCATCATATCACCAGCATTATTAAGCTCCATCATCATCATCCACCAAATGTCCACGAACAACCTCACGTATGTCTTGAAAGAAAACCCAGGCGTCCACCCACTTGCGGTCTCCTCTTCCTGCCCTCGCTCGATGACCGATCGCGACGCCCGGCTCACGGCGACAGCCGGGCCCCCGCACGGTAACTTGGCGAACCCGACCAAGCGGCTCCCCCCCCCTCACCCACCCCCGCGATCTCATCGACATCGTCCCCACTTTCTCGTTTTTCGCCAGAAACCTGAGCAATAACAAGATCGCCGACATCGAGGCGGGCGCCTTCGAGGGCGCCGCGGGCGTCAACGAGCTGCAGCTGAGCGCCAACCGCCTCGAGAACGTGAACGGGGCTATGTTCCGTGGCCTGCAGCACCTCAAGACGCTGTAAGTTACGCGGCCGCTGTCGCCGTGCCAGCCCCCCCCCGCCACCCCGCCCCCCCACCGTGGCCTCCGTGTCCGGCCAAGCGATACCGTTGCCATGCCACGCCCTGCCACATTACACTGCGCCAGATCAGCCGATGCTGCACCGGGGTACATCACGTTATGCCAGGCCAATGTCATGCCATGTGACCGTATGACCGCAACCGCTATGGTACAACTTTGTCTCACGACACTATGCGCCATGCTATGCCACGCTTCTAGATACCACGCGACACACACCTGCTCGATGCCATGCCCAGCCAAACTCTGCCACAAGCTACGGTAGCCCAGGCCGCACCAGGCAATAGCAACGGCAACAAATGCCTCCCCACGCGAGCCCGATCCGCTCTACACAGCACAGCACACCGCGCTGTGTCACGGCGCGCTTCACGGCGTCGCGTTTACTGCGGCTGCGTGCAGCGGTAAACGTGGATTCCCTCACCAAGGCCTCCCTCCCTCCCCCTTCAGTCCCCTCCCCTTCCCCCCTTACCCTGACAGCTGGCTCCCAGATAATTAATGCGACAGGATGATTACACGATGAAGTGCGTGATGAGCGTGCGCGTATTATGAGATAATATGATAATGCAAATTAAAGGCAAGAATTATTGTGTTTAAACATTTATGAAGGTTTCTAAGTGATCGCTTAAATGAAACGCAACATGTAATTTTAAACGCCTCTGAAAGGTCCGCTTTGACGCGCCGCATGCTAAATCATCGCCGTCCGAGCCCTCATTGTCGAATTACAAACGGATGAGAGCGCACCCCGATGTAATTCGGCACTCGCAGAAAAGCCATCGTGTGGATGCGTGCGCACGACTTACAATCTCCAGATAATTTGCGGAACCCCGCCACCGTCCGTGTCTCTCTCTCTGTCGAGCGTCTCTGTGTCACCAGACTCATCATCTCCTAACTCATCTCTCCACCGTCTCCGCCCCGCCCCGCCCCCCCCTCGTGTTGTGTGTAGGATGCTGCGCACCAACAAGTTGACCTGCATCAACAACGAGTCGTTCACGGGCCTGGGCTCCGTGCGCCTCCTCTCGCTCTACGACAACCAGATCACGACCATCTCCCTGGGGGCCTTCGGAACGCTTCACTCCCTGTCCACGCTGTGAGCAGCACCAACGAATGTCACGCTCGGGGGTGGGGGGATGAAATGTTGCGGTGCAGAGGGGGGGGGGGGCAGCATTTTCATCACAAAACCGGCGCATCCTAAGCGGTGGTGGTGCTGTTCTCCGAGTCGCGAAGGGAACTTGGCACGGGCAGGAGAGCAACGCCTGGGACGCCCTTCCCTGTTACGGACAATTCAAGGAATGCGCAGCTTTAGAACTGACTTCCCGTAGATTGCATTCACTGGTCGATCGTTCGATCAACCGAAATCGATTTTCACGCTCGCGATGCACGCGTCGACCTGCGAGAGTGCGAGAGCCGTTTGTTTTAAATCCGTCGGGATGTCGATTGTATCGCACGCTACGACTTCACACGACCCCTGCTGCGGCCGCGAGGGGCGTTAAATTCACCACAGTAGAGCATTCTAATAATTACAACAATCATTTTCATTGATTCTCGAGTTTGAATAGCGACCCCAATATGGCGACATTTCTTGCTTTAGTCGAAATGCTTGGCTGAGCGTCGCCCGCCTTACATAGCGAGCTTTTACAGCCCTTACGGATGAACAGGGGGCAGGGGGGGTGGGGAGTTTTGGTTTAAATTCGAATGATTTCAGTCCTTGCAGGGGCTGTGGTTGCTGGCTGCGTTTGAAGCGTCGCTGCTTCGCGGAGCACGCGATTAATAATGAGCACGCGATGAATAACGAGCGGTTCGCCGTGGTTCGTTGTCTCTGATTGCAGAGACAACAGACAGAGGGAATGGAGGGCGGCACGCCGGGCGAGGTTAAGGGTTGTTTGTTATTTCAGGGCAGAGGTCAGAGCCAGAGGAAAGTCTACGAGCTACCGTTTTTGCGTGACGATTCGACTGGAGCAGGCAGACTTACGCGCGTGACAAAGAAAGTATTTACGCTCACAAAGACACGTTTTGTAAACACGACGTTCTCCGCAAGTTACACAGCATGTATGAAGCTTACATTTTTGTTCCAAGTCTTAATATACAATGTATTTCAAAATAAATATGCCCTTCACACACATATATATGTGTGTGTGGGAGGCATATGGACCTCCATCGTGATGTCCAAAGTTTCCAGGCAATGGCGCGAATTGATGAATGCACATCGTAAGCCTGGAAGATAGGTAGGGTACGGTCAGAGATTGAAATGTAATTATGCGGAGACACCTGGGGTGCTCTCGTCATGTGTACGGTTAGCACGCGGCGTTGTTCTCACAGCACGGCAGTTGAAACGGCAGTGTGCAGGTTTATTTCATCCCGTCCACTCCTCAAGTCCGACCAGGACAATGAATGGGTGACACCGCAGGGTGACACCGCAGTGAGTGAGTGTGGGTACACCCACCTCTCCCAGCATGCTAGAGGAGACCAAGGTACCTTCGGGAATGATCTCTACAGAGATCCCTCGAGCGGAGGCCCTTCCGCCAACAGTGGCATGAGCACGAAATGTTCAGGTCTGCGCCTTTACCCAGAACGTTTGCACTGTGCTGCACACAGAGGTGTTTACGCTGTTGGAAAACTTTTGTCTGGAATGGCCCCCACTGCCCAACCCCCCCTCCCCCACCCAGGTCGCCTGACGGATAGAAATAAAACGTTATTTTTGTTGTTATTTTTGTTGTTTTTCTCTTCACGAGCAACGGTAAACGCTGATAGAAAGCCCCCGCTGCCGTTCACGGGAACGACACGCAAGCGACCACCACAAGCGGTGATGTGATTGGGCTCACCGTAACCCACCCCTCCGCTGTGGCGGCTACGCGTGTGTGTGTGTGTGTGCGTGTATGTGTGCGCGTGTGCGTGTGTGTGCGTGTGCGTGTGTGCGTGTGTGCGTGTGTGCGTGTGCGCGTGTGCAGCAACCTCCTTGCCAACCCCTTCAACTGCAACTGCCACCTGGCGTGGCTGGGCGAGTGGCTGCGGCGGCGGCGCATCGTGACGGGGAACCCGCGCTGCCAGAAGCCGTACTTCCTCAAGGAGATCCCCGTGCTCGACGTCGCCGCCCAGGACTTCTCGTGCGACGGTAACGAGAGAGGCCGCGTGACGGGCACCGGGCAGCCACGACGGCGCGCGACGGTAACGAGAGAGGCCGCGTGACGGGCACCAGGCAGCCACCACGGCGTGGGACGGTAACGAGAGAGGCCGCGTGACGGGCACCGGGCAGCCACCACGGCGCGCGACGCTAACGAGAGAGGCCGCGTGACGGGCACCGGGCAGCCACCACGGCGCGCGACGCTAACGAGAGAGGCAGCATGACGGGCACCGGGCAGCCACCACGGCGCGCGACGCTAACGAGAGAGGCCGCGTGACGGGCACCGGGCAGCCACCACGGCGCGCGACGCTAACGAGAGAGGCCGCGTGACGGGCACCGGGCAGCCACCACGGTGTGCGACGCTAACGAGAGAGCGCGGTTGCGGTGCCGACCGCCAGCACGGCGGCGAGGAGATGTTAACTACCTCGCCTGGTCCCCCTCCCCGTGTACACTTCCATCTTCTCACCCGACGCGGTGTCCTCCTCACGCTTGGATGGGGCAGTGGGGGGCCGGCTCCCTCTCCCCACCTTTGACCCTCCCCCCTCTATCTGGGTTTGGGTGTATCGGGACCTGGTCTCCGTGAGAATTGTGACACCCGGTTATGCGAGCCGTGCGGCGTGCTGTACCGGGCGCACGTTTTGTTACAACAACAACAAAAACTACCTCGTCTGGTATACGGGAGGTCGTGGGTACGATCCCGACCTTGACGCATGTTGTATATTAGGAGTCTATCTCTCTCCGTGGTCGGGTGGATTATTCTACGGGTATTCCGTTTTTTCCCTCCACATTTAGAATCCACGTGCGTTTCCAGTATTTGGCCACTGCTATAAATTTGGACATGATAAGCCACTTTGTTGAACTATCATTTGTGGACGGGTCGCTTCTGAAAAAGAGCTTTTGTTTGTCTTTTTTGTCTATCTGTTGGTCTGTTTCACGTGCCTGGTTGTCTGTGTTTCTGTTTCTCTCCGTGTGTCTATCAACGTCTCTTCTAATTGTCTTCCATCTTAGTATGGATCAGTCTGTCCATCTGTGAGCTTGATTGTTGTTTCTCAATGCAGCAAGCAATATGTCTATCCCTGTCAATTTGTCCGTCCATTCATCATCTTTCTGCCTGTATATATGTATGTGTGTCTGTGTCAGTGTATGGGGAGTGGTGGTGCAGCGGTTAGCGCGCTGCGCTACGAACCCGGCGACCGGAGTTCGATTCCCGCTCACGGCCAACACCAGTGACGATTTTCTGAACCGGTCTTGAGCTTCCCCTGGATCACCATAGTCTCAAAATGAGTACCTGGTGCGGTGTTTAAACGTTGCCACTAGAGAGACAAAGGTGGCCGGGCCGGCCTTCATAGGTGCTTGCTAACAGCACTTGCCCCAACAGTGTATTAAAGGCTATACGGGGGGTCTTTGCCTTTGTTTTTTGTGTAGTTTTTCTCATTCTCAGTTTCTCCCTTTGCCTGCCGTTCTGTCCTGTCCATCTGTCTATCAGCTTTATACATCTCTCTATAATGCTCCCTGTGTCCATCCGTCCTTCTGCCTGTCGATGTGAGTGTATTTGTTTCTTTCTCTCCGTTCCCTTTCAATTGTCTTTATATTCATGTAATCTCTGTGCCATCTATCTGTGTGCACAAACGTTTATCCGTATCAGTCTCCCCTGCCTGTCTGTTTGTCTGTCTGCCTGGCGTCTGCCTCTCCATCTAAACATCCCTCCATCACCCTCCCTGGGTGCGGTCTCTTCGTCTGCGCTCCTTCGCGTATCATTCGTCGCTCAATCCTCCACGAAGCCGGATCGAAGGTTCTCTTGCGGAATCGGAGGTGGGGCGGCGGGGAGGGGCGGTGAGGGGGGCTGGGGGCCAGTGGCTGTGGGCCGGCGGGTTGGGGCGAAGTGATGCCAGACCACGTTTCCACAGTAGCAGCAGAAAGTTCCTTCTGCTGCCGCGTTCACAAGACAAACATCGGGCTCGTAATCCATCCCAATCGCTGGGATGGCGGTGGTGGGGGGGGGGGGGGTGAGCAGCATCGCGGGCGCAGACAGTCCCACGGGGCCGGGTGAAGTCTGCAGACCTCTTCCACCGGGGTCAGCGGCGACGCGCAGAAGAGCGGCGGATCCTGGCTAATGCAAGCCGTGTTTGTCTCCTGCCGAGTTAAAGAACCCAGCCACGCAGCAGGATTTGTGGGGAGGCGGATGGGGGTGGACGGGGTGGGGAGGGAAAAAAAGCTAACAAGCTGGCAAGCCAGCCCGTCAACGGAGCTTCTCCGTTTTGTCACGCGAAGCTGCCGCACGGGGATCGCGTGCGCACGAGCACACGTGCAGGCGGACCGTGCGCGTCGTGCAAGCATTGGTAACCACGGTGCGTCGCGAAGGCTGGAGTTTAGGAAATGGTAAAAAAAACGAATGGACTATCTTGCTCGTAATGTGCGGCATCTAGATCGGGGGAAATGGCATCGGCAAGCTCCGTGCTAAAGCCTTTCGTTGCAATCGCCCGAAAGGGCTTTGTGGAGTGCACGCGATGCCTCCCTCAGCGGACGGACAGACTGATGGACGTAATATTTCCCAGGCACGGCAAATAAGTAGCCTTGTGGCTGCCGTAAAAACAGCGAGAGAGGACGAGATGGAGACGAAGAGAGAGTTAATGGCAGCGCGCAGAGACAGATAAGAAGTGGAATAACACGCAGCATTTATTATTTTCTCCTTGGCCTATTGTGTAAGAAAACAAAGTCGTTTTAAGCCAGGCCCTTGATATTCAGCAGAGCATCCAGCTGTGGAGGAATGCGTAATAAGCCCTGACACACACACACACGAGCCCGCTGCTGTCCACGCCAACGATAGCATCTGCTCGTGTCTGTTTTCTTTTGCTTGAAAGGGTTTATGAGCAGTGCACACCTCTCGTGTGGCTGTTGCTTCTTTTCCTCGGTAGTCGGGGGGTGGGGTCGGGGGGGAGCGGGGGGGCGGGGGGGCTCTTTTCTTGCTGAGACGTCGCCGCGACGGGGGGTCTAAAGGTTCTGACCGGATCTCCAGGGACAGTCGCGTGACGAGCGCCGATTGCGATCGGCTGCTGATTGTCGTGAGGCTGCTGGGGTGGCGGGGGTGGGGGGGAGGATGTGCAAGTTGCAGTCCCCCACTCAGCCGTGGGCCCTAAGTGAGACCTCGAGGGTCGCCCGGTTCACTGCACTCTCAAGGCAGCTCCTCGATGATGAATTACTCAACAGGTTGGCGATAACCTTTTCTCCTTTTGTTTTCGAAAAGACGCGTCGGCGACGCAAGCCGAAGTGGGTCCCCCACGGGAATTGAGCGTGGGACGGTGGGAATTTTCTATTTATACTTTTGAGGGACTGGTGGCGGGAAATTCCACATTGCCTTGGTGGAGACGTGAGACTGCATAATGAGGGAGGACATTTACTGCGGGTTTCCAACAAAGTTGTACCCAGTTTTATCAACCGCAGCGAGATGATTGGCTGGCATGACCCCGTGACCGAGATTTGAACTCGCAGCATTCCGATTCTGAGCAGTGCGCTCACCACTGCAGCGATGGCGGCGGCGCCTGATATATTTATTCGTGGAACAAATATGTGAACTCCGTTAAATAAACTGTAACAATGTAAGACTCGTCTCTCTCTGTATATAACTCTGCTTAGTCAGTTCTCACATTACACCGGAGACAATCGATGACAATGCTGCTTAAAACAGAACAGACGAATATCAGGCAGACACACTAACCAGTACAATCAAGGAGCGTTGACAAAGACGCGTGCGCGTGGAATTAGGCTGAGAGACACGAAGACGGACACGTGAACTCGAACGCAGATTTTTTTTCTCCGGGAACTCCGGTTTTTCTCCTCCGCATTTCGTATCGACGTGCGTTTAGAGTTGTTTGGCTGCTATAAATTGCCACGTGATGATAAGCCACTGCGTTGAGCTAGCATTTGTGCTGGCCGGTCGCTTCTGAAAAACAGTTACATAGCTCAGTGGGCCTAAGCTGGTAAAATAAAGACAGTTTTCGTTTAGTCCGTTGGACCTCTCAGTTGCGTGTCTTCATTTGTCATTGGTCCATCTGTTTGTTTGTCGTTTTACCTGCCTGGTTGATCTGTGTTTCTGTTTCTCTCTTTACCTGTCTGTGTGTCCGTCAAAGTCTCTTCTAATTGTCTTCTATCTACGTGTGCATCGGTCTGTCTGTCTGCGGGTTCGAGTTGCTGTTTCTCTCCGCAGCTAGCTATACGTAAATCCACCTGTCCGTTTGTCCATCCATTCATCTTTCTGTGCATACGTATGCGTGTGTCCGTGTGAGCTATATAGCTCGGTGGGCCTTAGCTGGTGAAATAAAAACATCGTTTGGAGTTTAAAACCCCCCGTTTGTGGACCGTGGTGCAGGCAACGAGGAGAACAGCTGTCTCCCGGCGGCGCGCTGCCCCGCGGAGTGCACCTGCCTGGACACGGTGGTGCGGTGCAGCAACCACGACCTCAACGCCCTGCCCAAGGGCATCCCCCGCGACCTCACCGAGATGTGAGAGCCCTCGCCAACACGCGAGCGGGCAGAGCGCACCGCCGACGCCGTGATTAGCGTCGTCGTCGTCGTCGTCGTCAGCGGAATTGTGATCGTCATCATCATTATCAACGTGATCATTTATGAGTAGCACCAGAACTATAGTCAGCCCTTCAAGCGAGCATGTTCATCATGATTGTAATGATCGTCATCATCATCATTGCAATCAGCCCTTTAATCATCCACTATCACCATCATCTTTGTTCTTTTCTCCTCAGTAAACACGCAGCAATAACAAGAATCACATACCGAAGTAAAGTTTTTCACGCTCAAATACAATCCGATTAAATATATTTACCTTAAAAATCACAACTGTTCTATTATCCCAAGCTGCGCTACTCTGAAGGATTTCTTGTTTTTCTACCATCCGTTGTGACAACATCGAAGGCCTGCTTTCACTTCCCCCCCTATTAGCTCCTGCCATAGAATCAACAGCAGTGAATTGGGCTCAGGCTTTGGACTGATCATGGATCCGGCGTCGCTCGTTTTCCTGCTTCATCACGAACGCAAACAACTCCCTTTCCTGCGATTTTAGGTTTCAAAGCGGAGGTGTTTGTATTTGTTATTGTGTTGTTGAGTAGCCACCAGGCAGCATCGCTGTTTTGTTCACGGTGCATTGCCCGCATGTGCGTGTACACGTCCGTACGTAGGGCCATGCGTGCTCGTTCATTCATTTGAATTGGCCCTGGGCCCACCCCTAGGTCGACTCAGCTTTAAATTAGTACCGAGTGCGCATTAGGGAAAGAGACAGCCGAGCCCTCATGTTGGCCACCAACCGGCCATCGTGTGACGTGCTATCACAGGTGCTCCCTTAACAGCACTTGCCCCAACAGTCTGTTAAAGCTATATGGGGGATCTTTGTATATATATGTATATAGCTTATTTCACACCGTACATAGCCAACTGTGGTCATCGGAGGTGCGCTTGTGTGTGTTCATTTTGTAAACTACCACTGTCGTCAGCGCACTGAAATTGTTTAGGCGCTTTCGCTGTCTCTCCGTTATGTTGCGTAATTATTACAATTAAATGAAATTAATAAAAACTGTCTTAACAATTGTGTGTGCCTGTGCGCGTGCGCATGCTTGTGCGTGTGCCTGCGTGCTTATGTATGTGGATCGTGTGTGCGAGTGTGTTCGTGCGCACGTGTGCGTGTGCACGTGTGTGTGTGTGCATGTGTGTGTGTGCATGCATTTGTGTGTGCATGTGTGTGTGCATGCGTGTGTGTGTGCGTGTGTCTGTGTGCACGTGTGTGTGTGCGTGCGTGTGTGCATGAATTGTGTGTGTGTGCGTATGCATGTGTGTGTGTGCACGTGTGTGTGCACGTGTGTGTGTACGTGTGTGTGTGCATGTGTGTGTGCATGTGTGCGTGTGTGTGTGTGTGTGCGTGTGTGTACGTGTGTGTGTGCGTATGCATGCGTGTGTGTGTGTGTGCGTACATGTGTGTATGTGCATGTGTGTGTGTGCACGTGTGTGTGTACATGTGTGTGTGTGCATTCATGTGTGTGTGTGCGTATGCGTGTGTGTGTGTGCACGTGTGTGTGTGTGCACGTGCCGTCTACAGATACCTTGATGGGAACCAGCTGACCATGGTCCCGCGGGAGCTGGCCAACTTCAAGAACCTGAAACTCATGTGGGTCCTGCTGCACAATCACAGCGGCACTCACAGCTCGCACCCTGCCGCGTCTCTGTCAGCTCCGCTAACCGCCATAGTGGGGGGGCGCTGGAGGGGGTGGTGGTGGAGGCTGTCGGTGCAGTGGATTTATTTGCGATCATTTTTTAAGTGCCATCCGACCAAAACGTTTGACTGAAGCTTCATACCGACGACGCAGGAAAACGCTTCCTACTGATAACACGGTGCACTGTGGGTCATCACCTATACAAAATATATAAATCAATTGTGTCATCAGTCGTCAGTGCGTGGGACAGTTTGACATCAATCCTAGGAATCCTAGGTTTGAGGATAAATGCTTGAGGCTCATAGAGCCACACTAATGCATTGTTCGGATTCCTCGGATTCAGAGTTAATGTCTTAAGGCTCCCCGCAAAACCTGATTAAGGCAAATCTTGACTCAAAGCTTTCGTGACTGCAGGAATTCATATTCTTGGGTCTTTCGGTAAAGTCACGTAGATAGGTTCAACCAATCTACGTGACTTTACTGAAAGACTGATTAATGCAACTTGAGTATTCCTATGGTCCATTATAGTAACGTGTGAAGCTCATAGAGTCTGATTAAGGCATGTTTAGGATTCCTAGGGATCGGTGTTAATCGCTGTCAATACCAGGAGGGAGAATCGCCTAGTTTTGACATTTTGCCTTGTCGCCCACTCTGGTCCTTCCTCCAACCTCGTTACCGTCCCGACATGTGAACACGCACACACGCACACACGCACACACGCACACACGCACACGTCAAGGAGCCACTACCCGTTAGCAACCATGGGAAGTCGTTCTCATAGGCCAGAGTGAAATTCTGCACCCGCTGGAAAACATTAGTTAAACTGTCAGAGTCGATAAATCATTTTATCTCTTAGCAATTGTTTTTTTTCTCTCCATGCTTTCTTATTTTTATTTGTGAGTGGCAGCGAGCAAAATCGTTTATGTGTGAGAGGTGGGGGTGGTGGTAGTGGTGGTCGTGGGTTGGGGTGATGGTGGTGGTGGGTAGTGGTAGTCGTGCTGGAAGTGGTGGTGGTATTGTTGGTGGTAGTGGTGGTAGTAGTGGTGGAAGTGGTGGTGGTGATAGTAGTGGTAGTGTTGGTGGTAGCAGTGGTGGTGGTAGTGTTGGTGGTAGTGGTGGTAGTGGGTTGCTTGCTTTACGAGTCTGAGAGAGAGAGAGAGAAAAAGGCACGCGTCAAGATAAAAATTGTTCCTGACTTCTTTTATTTTACTGTTTCGCACGCATATTTCATGCGGAACGCGCGTTTTAAATATTTCCAAGTACACCTTGGGCTTGTTTAATTCCGAGAAGAAAATAATAATAGCGCTCATAACATTATGAACAAAATGGGTTTACCCGAGTTCCTTGTTTTGTATTTTTCCATTCTTACAGAGACCTGAGTAACAACAGGATCAGCACCATCGCCAACTTCTCATTCGCCAACATGAGTCAGCTGTCTACCCTGTGAGTGAGGCAGCTGTTTCCCTCTTAAATGCACACACACACACGTGCACGCGCGGGCGCGCACTCAGCGCTGTGAATTAAAAATGTGATTAAACCACTCTTGTGTATTAATTCCACCACGTAGACAAATATCCCCCCGATCGCCATATACCGCACATTGTCGTGGCAAGTTATGTTAGTAAGTACCTATTTATATAAATATTTTTACATATGCACTTGGTGATGCTGCTGCTGCGTTGGCAGTGGCGTGCAAACAACTAAAAGAAACTCAACACACATCAAAGTTGCTTGCGACGACGCGTTACGAATCAAGGTGTTGAGTTTTCTATTCCGGCCTGGAATGACACACGCGGGAGTGACAAGGCGAGCGGCAAGCCCCATCCACCTCTGTCACTCCAGTGCTGATGGAAAGTTGTACGCTGCAGCAGCTACTTATTTAGGGTTGAGTCGACTCAGGGGAAGTCCTGGAACATGTTCAGATACCACTTGCCATGAATATTATTTGAGGCCAAGAAATTATTCTACTTTCCTGGGTTGCAGAGCACAGTGCACTATCCACACTGCGCAACTGCTCAATATTTAACACACGCACGCATATGTACAAACTAAATGACAAAGATTCCCCATATAGCCTCTAGCAGGCTGTGGGGGCAAGTGCTATTAGCGATCACACACACACAAAGTTGTGCTTAAACAGACAACAGCAGATGCAGACAGTTGTTCACCTTCACCATTAGCATCTCCTCCTTCTAGCTCAGATAAACAAGCCCCTCACAATTCCATCCATGCTACATACAGTTTTAAGACATTGTATACATTTTCAATCATGATTATAATAATAAAAGCATGTTAAAACAATCATTGCAATTTTAATCCTTACACGAACCACAACTCCTCAAGGCAACTCGACCTTAATACCGTAACGAAATAGCTTTTTCGGAACGGCTAAAAATGTAAAAACAAAATTTAACTGCGACATCCGCAGATTCTTATCGATCTGTGCATAGCCATTGCGGAGGCACCAGGGTTCGCTTTCCAACGTAGCCCGCGACGTGACGCTGATTGCAGGTGGCACCCCATTAAACCGGTGCTGCCGCAGCAGACTCGCGAATAGGAGCCGCTAATGCGTCGGCGTGGTTGCCGAGCGTTGCCTGCCACAGGCTTTAAGTGGTGCCGGCGTGCATGCGGGCGGGAACGGTGAGATGGCAGCGGTGAGCCAGGCACACCAAGTCGACATTTTTCCACAATTATATTTACGACGGTGCTCTCGGTGCGGTGTCATTAGACGATGACATTCCCATTCGGCAATTAGCACCGGTCCGCGGAAGACAACGTCAGAGAACTACTTCCCATAGACGATGTCGCAGAAGACGATGTCGCAGAAGACTATGTCGCAGAACTACTTACCAAAGACGATGTCGCAGAACTACTACTTCCAAAAATCACTTCAAGGGGCCCCTCGTTGTGCGTCGCTTTTATATGTCGCAGCGTTGGAATTGAACCATTACGTTGGGAGAAAAAAAAAACCCCCACATTTAATTGTGATGGGGTTTTTTTGCGTGCGTGTAGCTGTCGGTGACCGGGTCTAAAACCATCAACTTGCTGCGCTCGAGAAGCCAGATTAATCGCAGGTGTCTACCCGGATTCAAACAAACAGATCTCAGTTGGCGCCAGCTGATGTTTAATTTCTCGTGTTTAATGCGTGATTGTCTTTGGCATTTCGCAGGATTCTCAGCTTTAACCGGCTGAGGTGCGTTCCACAAAAGGCCTTCATGGGGCTGAAGTCACTCCGAGTACTGTAAGTTTTAAAAGTATATCTGTCAAATGTCTAAGATATTCAGTGAAAAACGAAATAATTATACGTGTACCTATACAACCATTTATGTCTGTCGACTATCGTATGAGGGCCTCCACACTGTGCATTTGACCATACTTCACCACGCTGGTCAGTGCAGCTTAATGAACGGCGGGGCACACGGGAGCATATAAGTACGGTACAATAATAGATTTTACTGCACTGCCCTCAGCTTTCCACGATGTATCAACTCTGACAGTCAATCTACGAGGTGACCAACATGTTGCAGTACAGCATTGGATTCTCGAATCCATCTGTGCAGAGCTTCGAGTGTGTAGCTACCCTCATCTGTTTGGTGGGTTTTCTCCACGTTCTCTTGGTTCTTCCCAATCGAATTGGAATTGGCCAAGCAGACTCTTAAGGACACCCCCCTCTCTATGGAATCTCATTGCCTTCCCCACGGCACACACGAGGGGGTGGGTGGCCAGCATCATGCCCGGCGGCCTTTGTCTCCCCAGTGGCGAAGTTTTTGCACATTTGAGGTTGAGTCGACCTAGGGGAGGTCCAGGACCAGTTCAGATAATTGTCACTGGTGTTGCCCTGAGCGGGAATCAAACTTGAGTCGGCCGGGTTCTGAGTGAAGTGCGCTAACCACTGCACTGCCGCTCCCCGCACACACACACACACACGTGCACGTGTGCACATGCCATGGCGTGCGATAACGCGCACATGCCTGCGTGTTCTCTGCCACAGATCCCTGCATGGGAACGACATCTCCATGGTGCCGGATGGAGCCTTTGGCGACCTGACCTCGCTCTCACACCTGTGAGTACTGCCACGCCAACCCCCCTGAAGCAGACATTCACACCCTGCGTGTGCGTGCGGGCGTACGTACGTGTGTGTGCGATGAATGATCAGATCCACCTGTGCAGAGCTGTGAGTGTGTTAACCCCTACCCACCCGCCCGGGCCCTCTCCTTCACATGCGTGATAGGTTTTCTCCAGGTATTCCAGATTCTTCCCACATGACAAACGCTCCGAGTCTTGAGGATCCTATAGAATGCAATGGGACACGTGCGTGCATTAGTGTGTGTGTGCATGGGGAGTGGTGGTATAGTGGTCGGCGCACTGCGCGACAAACCTAATGACGCGAGTTCGATTCACCGCCGCCATGCATCGCTCGCCACTGACGTTAGCCATGGCCTGGAATCGAACTCAGGCGGCGTGCTCGTGCCTGCCACTTGCACCGCGTTGCCATTTCTGACGGTGACGTTGGCTCTTCGTTTTCACCGCAGGGCGCTCGGCGCCAACCCGCTGTACTGCGACTGCGCCCTGCGCTGGCTCTCCGACTGGGTCAAGGTGGGGTACAAGGAGCCGGGGATCGCTCAGTGCATCGGCCCCAGCGAGATGGAGGGCAAACTCTTGCTCACGACGCCCTCCAAGCTCTTCGTCTGCCAAGGTATGTCTGTCTGTCTGTCTGTCTGTCTGTATGCTGAGCTTCTTTCGCGCCGCCGTACGTAGCCAACCGCGCTAATCGGAGGTGCGATTGAAGGACGGCGCAAAAAGCAGTTCTCAAGAAATGAGTTTTTCATTTAGCTTTAAAGGTGCATAGCTCCAGTGGCTTCTAAATATGTTGTCCCGTAGTGTGTGAATGTTTGCCGCTTTTTGTTCCTCCGAAAGTGGAGCAACTGTGTGAAACGTAAACGAACCGACGGAATAACGAACGAATGAAAGGAATAGCGCACGGACAAACAAACCAACAATAGTGCCAGCCACGGCAAACAGCCACACCAACATGCAAATAACGAAACCCACAGACACGTGGTAAACACAAACACATGTGGACATACGCAAGCACGCTGCAGAATTAAATTCGTGAACAAATAAGCGTTGGACATGTGTGTGGGTTCGATTTGCCTGCCTTGGTCACCCTGCCGGCAGGAAAACGACTTGGCAAATCCCAGGCAGGGCCATCCTCAAAATCAGTCCTGGATAAGTAAAAAACTTGTTTGGCGATGCTGCGATGGCGATTGTGCAATTTTTTAAAATAATATAATAATAATTACATACAATCTATATATAGGGCCATTTCTAGAAACATCACCTTTTATGTTTCGTGTAAATATGTATTTCCTTTTAAGGCCACAGTGTTATGGACGAATACGTTGAGTTTCTGGGTTCATAAAGGATTATGATGTCACATATAAATGAACAGAAAGGAATTTAATAAAAATGCCACCAACAGAGGCGAGCACACAAACAGACGCACCAACAAATGAACGCGCACGGGCACACGCGGTCCGCCCGGGAATAGGAACGCTCGGCATAACCGGCCGCCCCTGTTATTGAGCGAGGCATTTCGACCACAGGAGGAAGATTGCAGTCCTCATCAGTTCTGAGACTCGCCTCGCTCACTGTTGGCCCAAATAGACCGGCAGTCCATCAGCGGCAGTCGGCTGTGCCTGGAGGCAGGATTGAGGTGGACGGTTGTGTCGACATGTATACGGGCGGAGTGTGCGCCTGTGTATGTGGGTGCGTGACTGTGCATGTTGGGAGAGGCAGTGTAGCGGATAGCGTGCTGTGCTACGAACACAGCGACCCAAGTTCAATTTGCCACTCGTGAACCAGTCCCCCCTCGGTCGACTCAGCCTCAAATGAGTACCTGGTGCAGTGTGCAAAAAACATCGCCACTGGGGAGACAAAGGCGGTCTGGCGTGGTGCTGCTCACCCACCCACTTCGCGTGCTGTGCCGGCCTTCAATGGTTCTCACTAACAGTACTTGCCCCTACAGTGTGTTAAGGCTATACGGGGGATCTTTGTCTTGTGGGCAATGCTAGCAAGGTAGTAACGCCCTGCGCTAAGAACCCGGCTAAGGCTATCATCAGTGGCGAGTGACATCTAAACTTGTTCAGCCTTACATGAGTACCTGGTACGGTGTAAAAACATTGCCACTGGGGATACAGAGGTGGCCGGGCATGGTCCTGGCCACACCACCAGATGTGCCACGCTGAATTCGCAGGACTTACGACTGCAGGGGCATCTTTGTCTCGGTGTGTGGTTTGTCCCTTTCTGGGAACAAACAGGCCGAAAAACAAGGAAATGCTCCTGCAAAAGTGTATTTACCCTTTGTGTGAATTCCTCATTTTGGTAGCCAGCGTTGCCATAGTGAATTGCCGAGCGGGCGAGCGCGTGTGTGTGTGTGTGGCACCGTGCCGGCCAGCCGAAGTATGGACAATCAAAAATGACATCAAGCAAAGTAATTTGCTGTGGGAATGATTATTTTTCTATGATGACACAAAAAACGAAAATACGGGACTGGAAAATAGAATAAAAATGTAGAAACGCAATTGTGTACGCGTGCACGCGCGAGCCAGAGATAGATAGATATTTATTTAAACTGAAATGGGGGATTGGATTTGCTTTCACACACTCAGATCTGTAGCCCACGCTGTGTACAATGTCAGGTCCTCTCGATCAATGCTTTAATCAGGCCCTGCCTCACAGCTCTTGCCAAGGGCCGGTTACGAAGACCGGCTGCTGTGTCCACAGCAGCGCTCTTACAAAGCGCACACCGCTACGTCATGTTTTAGATCATTCTTGAGAGATGGGTTTTATAGCATTGAAGAGATGTAAAGTTAATGAATCTAATTAATGAAACAAAAAAAGAGTTGGGACACGGATTATTATGAATAATGGGACATAGAAATTTGCACTTTTACAGCAATATCTAATTACAGTGCCATTTATTTACAATGGGCACTCCGGTGTTGTGTCTGCATCCGATGCTGTGGTGCGGCGAGCACCACGGCCACACGTGGTGCTCAGCCACATCGCCGCAGTGACGGCCTTAGTCGGCGCTCGCCAGCGGCGCTCGCCCAGATGGTCTCGAGTGGACGCTACGCGCGGCGGTGGGTGGGTGGTGACCTTTGTCTCTGGTGCAGGGCCTCCACCGGACGTGGCCATCCTGGCCAAGTGCAGCCCGTGCCTGTCGGAGCCCTGCAAGAACAAAGGCATGTGCAGCGCAGACCCCGTCGACTACTACCGCTGCACCTGCCCCTACGGATACAAGGTACGGCGGCTCGCCGCAGCCAACGCTCCGTCTTTGCCGGGTGCGTCCGCCCCGGCCGGGGGTCGTGGCGACACGGGAGAGAGAATTCCCACGGCCGGCACACGCGCCGCGTCCGGCGTCGAACGGAAACGCGCGCGTGACGTCGCCTAGCGTCGTTGGGGCGCGATGCAACGAGCGGAGAGGGCAAAACTAAAAAAACTGTCAATGCGTTCGTCGAGATGGGACGCGCACGAGGTGATGGGCGACGCTGCGGGTCAAAGGCCCCTCGTTTCGTAGCAGAGCGGCCGGAGGGGCCGAGTGCGTCACACGTCATCACGCGGCAGTCACGCGGCATCACGTGGCAATCGTGAGCGGTACGAGAGAGACTTGTGGTTCATCACCTCTGGCGTGGCTGTAGCTCAGAGCCACAGCCACGCGCGGTGGCGGCAGGAAGCTCGTGGGGAACCCCCGCAAGTCGACGTCGAGGTGTGCGCGTGCTCCAGCATCGCGCGGCTACGCCGAGTCACCGACTCTCCGTGTAATCCCAGTACCCCCTCACTCGTACCCCTCACTATTACCCCTCACTGTGCTTCTCTCCATGTCAATTGATGCACTGCTCGGATTTTGTTCTGTAGCCGCCACATCGATAAGTTGCCGGCGATTCGGGAATTATTTTTTTCCAAAAAGAACTACATCCTCATCTGAATTTCATTGAACTCTTTTTGCTACCAATATGCACGTGTGTGTTAGGACAGTGTACAGGGACCAGTTGCAGAGTGGTTCGTGCGCCATGCTACGAAACCGAGAGCCCGAGTTTGAGTCCGGGCTATGACTAAAATGCGTAGCTAGTGATATCTGTGGACCGCACTGTGAGCCTGGAGACCTGAGTTCCACTCTTGGCCATGGCAAGCATCAGTGACGAGCAAAGTCTGCACCCTTCCTGGGCCTAAACCTCGCCACCAACCTGCGCTGACCAGCGTGGTGAAGTATGGTCAAACGACCCTCATAAACCAACACGGTGTGAAGAGAACTTTGTCCAACAGTGGATTGACAAAAAGCTGTCAACTATTATTGCTTCGCATCTCGCCACGGTGGCTAGGAGATGTTAACTACCTTGCCTGGTATGCAGGATGTCGTGGATTCGATCCTGATCCTGATGCCTGTATATTTGAAGTCTGAATGTTCTCTCTGCCCGTGGTGGTGTGGATTTTTCTCCGGGTCCTCCTGTTTTTCCCTCCACATTTAGAATCAACATCACGCGTTCAGAGTATTTGGCTGCTATAAATTTCCACTTTGTTGAGCTGTCATTTGTGGCCGGGTCGCTTCTGAAAAAGAGGCGTACAGCTCAGTGAGCCTTACCTGGTTAAATAAAAAATAAATAGTTTAGTTTAGTTTAAAGCATATTACACGTGCGCCCTATGAAGAAACCCAATCTTTGTTTAAAGTAACCCTGTCTGTGTGAGCACCTTTTCGCCTGCTGACCTCATATCCTTCATGAACAAAGAGACCCCCCCCCTCACCCTGCCCCTCCCTCTTTTCAGGTACGGTGCTCACACAGACAGGTACTGAAAAGAGGGAGCAAACACACACACACGCACACAATGCAGGTACATGAAACAACCAAAAACATTCCGGTACACGCAAAATACAAAAGCGAGGGCCAAAAACGCCACCGAGCGACGTGAATGGGGGCTGTTGTCACGCGCGTTTATTATCCGGCAGCGGCGGTGGCGGTAGCGGCGGCCGCCGTGGCATCCTGCGCCGCTCTTTTGATTTACGACGCCTCCCGCGCGTCGTTCCGGTCGGGCCGCTCGCGTTTGGCCGTGTTGGAGCCGCGGGGAACTCCGTGCCGTCGCTGCCGCCCGTTGGCGGTAATGCGGGGAGGAGGAATCCGACTCGCCTGACCCGGCCCGCTCTGAAAGGTGCGGCCGGCTAATGGAGCACCCTGGGAACGCGTTGGGGGCCCCTCGGTGGGTACTGTTGGCCGTGGGGGGTTTTTGTCGCCCCAGGTTTGTTGGGGGGGGGGCGATTTTCGATCGGCCGATTTGAGTTTCACGCGGTCGACGAGGTGTCGGAGGTCTCGCTTGAGCCCAGGAAGCAGTTTTTTCTGTTCGCCCTCCCCCCAGGGAATGGCTCTCCTAAAATAGAAGAAATATTTAAATAATATCATTGCCCATTGATAAGAGGTGTTGGTAACAATCTGCTTGATTTTTTTTTCTGTCCATCTACGTGCGCTTGTTTCCTTGTTTCTCTCTGTGCGCTGTAATGCCTTGGTATCGTACCTTCTTTAGGTTTTGTGTGTCTATCTTATCTGTATGTCGCTGTCTTCATTTGTCTCGCTCGGTGTCTTTCTCTCTCCATGTGTCTCCCTCCCTGTCTGCCTACATCTCTCTCTCTCCATGTCCATCTCTGTCTGTCTCCATGTCTCTCGCTGTTCTGGAGCCCAACTCCATTTTCTTGATAAAGTCACACTCGTTTCTACGTGGCTTCACCGAAAGAACCGAAGAGTGAACCACAATATCTTGCTGTACCTCATCATGGACCATAAACAATCACGCAAACTCCGGTCATCCTTGCAGCAGCAGCTCTTGGCTAGCCATCGAACAAAGATGGTCACCACATCGCACGCTTTCAGATGCGCTTCTGCGGCTGTCTGGAACGATCTTCTTCCGATATTATGAAGCCACTGGAGCTGTGCACTTTTAAATCATCTAGATTTAAAACTAATTTCTATGGAACTGCTTTTTGTGTTTAGTTTGTTGTCCTTCCCCCGCACCTCCGATCAGCACGGTTGACTACGTACGGTGCGACAGAAGTTCAACAGACATACATTAGCCGACCCTGAGCCTAGCACCCATTTTGCCCTGACGTTTTTTCTCATTACCAAAGCCACAAACTCCTGTTTGAAACAAACAGCCCAGAACGTGCAGCCTGGGCACACACAATCCTAGGTACGCATTTAGTGTCTATGAGTTAAGAACTATTTGTGTCGATTACATCTTCTGTTGAGGTGTATTTAAGTAATCTTTTTTTCCCGCTGGCTTTAACGGCCAAAGTGCCATGGCTGAGGAAGCGCACGGCAATCAGTCGCGTCCCGTCGCGGTCTGCGCCGGCACCGTCGGGAGAGGTCAACAGCTGATCGGTGGATAATTGCCTGGTCGCGGTCGCGGACGTGGTTTCGATTGTTGTGTTTCCCTCCCCGGAGTCTTCCCCGGCCACGTTGATGACTCGCACGGGCCGAGGCCTTTAATGACCCAGCCGCCCCGATCCCAGCCTCCCAGCATACCCCGGGACCGCACGCCGTTGCGCCGAAGCGATCGATGCGACAATTAGAATCGGTGCATACTGCTCGTTGAATGCTTGTTCTGCGAACTGCATACACGCTTAGTGTCAATTATTCTTCGATGCGTGCAGATTTTATATTTAGGCTAACGGATGAAGCCAAACCCCATGTATAAAACAAAGGAGACCGAAATGGCCACGAATTTTGCCTCGAGAGTTGGTGGACTAAAACAAGGCTACGTATGGTGACGTCACGAGCCACGCGGATTAGGAGGACTGATCTTCACATTCGTGCCGTTCGCTGCCGATAAATCACCTTTTTGGGTGTAACATTACTCTCACTTTGTAACCGCTGATGTACGCGCACCGTACACACAACACAGGGTTGGGAAAGTTGCTTTTAGCGCTGTGATGATTGATTGCGGGGAGTAGCTGACTTCACCCGGCTCTCCGTTTCCGAGTCTCACTCAGCGCTTTTGACCCGACCGGGTGAATGAGGAGGGTGAGCTGTTTTTCCCGTGAGTTCGGCGGCGTCGAGAGCGCCTCTCTCCCCTTCAGCTGCGAGCATCGTGGATCGCGCAACTTTTGATTCAGCGCTCATTCACACAGCGGCACGGCGACCGGCTCGGGTAAATAAAAAAACACACCGGCGAGCCAGTATGTTGCATTTATTAAATTGTTGAGCCCGCTGGCCAGGATTGGGCAAAAAAAAGTATCACGTGACCATGCTCAAGAAATGTTCACACGTGCAGAAACGCGCGTACACACGTGCGTACAGACGTCTGTGTGTACGCGTTCGGGGCAAGCACGAACACCTGCACTGCTCGTGTTGTAACAAACATGCGGCAGTCACGCTGGTGCGTAGAATTTTCTAATTATAATGTTTTATTAAAAGCGCATTTTCATTGTATTTCAGTGTCAATATTTCCCCGGAATCTTAGCAGATATGGGCATTACCATTAATGAGCTCCGTGGTACTTGTTTGTTTTATCCGGCCAGGTGGCTCAGCGGTAGAGTGAGCGGCTCGCAATCGGATGTTTGCGAGTTCAAGTCCTGCGATTGACAGTTGATTAAGCCCATTAACTCTAATGGGGTTGATAAAAACGACTACCACTTTGTGGAGAATTCGACACTGGTCGTCTTGCGGATGAACTCTCCCCACCGTCACAGGAATGTGGAATTTCCCCCTGACCGGCTCAGGGCTGTAAACAGGAGATGTGCACTGCCTCGATGCGCATTAGAGCAAGAAAATCACCGTGACTCGACTCGTGGGTACGTTTAGGTGGTCATTGGTTTTGGGGGTTTTGTAGTGTCGGCTCGGCCAGACGAACACGTGGACAGACTTGCCGACGTAACATTTCCTGAGTGTAGCAAAAAGGAGCCACCGAGTAACCAATCGACTGCCTTAAGGTGGAATAATAAACTTCTGACTGCAGCACGACTGCGATCATAAAACAAAAAAAAACTCATCACCGCTTTGGAAGTGGCCCTCCAGATGGAAGCGGGTTTGAAAGCGGCAGAAACGTTATCCTGGCGGCCGTAGCGAAGCATCGGTCGCAATTACGGCTCTTATTAGCGAGCGCCAGCGGAAGGATATTGTGTTGCGCTTGCGCCGCATTAGCGTTTAAATGGCCCGGTTGATGGCTGGCAATTTGTTCAACCGTTTCAGGGGTCGCAGATCCTAAAAGGGCACTGATCATCAACGAAACCCTAAACCTATTCATGTCGCGTTACGCGATCCCGGAGCCCCCCTTTGGCTTGGTGTAATTTCCAATGGCGAGGCTCATGGCCGCGCCGGTGCCCCTTTCGTCCTGTAATGCGCGTATGTACATAAGTACGTATGTTGACCTTCTTTTTCACCGTACGTAGCCAACCGTGCTAATTGGAGGTGCATAATGAGGCACCGCGCGTCGCAATCGGGGGATGGGTCATACCCCCGTTTACGTTTTTTTTGTTGTCAAAGTTGTCGCGGGCATTAATGGGACGTTGAAAATCGCCCGACAGCGGACTGCGGTGCGATTCACGTGTCTGCGAGGGTGCCTTCTTGTTGAAGTAATGCTGGTGAACGTGGTTGCAAACATTGGTTGCATATTGCCAAGGTGGTGGTGTGTTTTGGCCATTTAATTAAAAGCCTGGGCCTACATCTGTTTAAGTCTGCGATGATCTCGAGAACTTCGTGTTGAGGGAAACCTCTGCGTGGTCCTACTTTGCATGCCAGCGGTGAGGTTTAGAGTTGCCACCTGTCCTGATTTTCCAGGGATCGTCCTCTTGTTGAGGTAACTGCGGGGGACATGGAGAGTAACAATGTGTGTCAGCTGCGTAGCAATACACACCTCAATACATTGCATTTCACGTGCAGTTCTCCCCCTCTCCTGCTATTGTGAAATATTATCCTGAACTCCGCAATATCCCCCGACGTTTTGCACATCAGAGGTGGCAACGCCAGGCGGGGTGCGTAGGTCCCACCACTAACTGGGGCATCACATGGAGGCCAAAGCTTGGCGGTGGTGGGGGGGATGGGATGGGGTAGAGAGCCGGGGCCAGAGGTCGCGACATGGGAAGTGTTTATTTGACAGCGGGCGGTTGGCGGCACTTCCTCCCACGTTACCACCACTCAAAGGTCGGGGGGGGGGGGGCGCTTTTGTTCCACCAATCAACGCCGACCGCTGAGAGGTTTCTTCTCATTTTTTTTTGTTCAACTAAAAACGATGACGGACAACAAAAATGGTCACGTTCGGGGGCACTAGATCTCGTACGGCGAATCGCGAGCTAGGCAGATCGTACCGGCGTGGAATACGGGCAAGCGATGCTGGACACATGCGCTCGAAACAAGATGCGTGTTTGCATACATAGCCACTCGTGCTTATCGGAGGAAATCCTGTGTCCCCCCCCCCCCCCACTTCGTTTGCCTCACAGGGTCAGGACTGCGACACGCCGATCAACGCGTGCGTCACCGGACCCTGTCACAACGGGGGCACCTGCAACCTGCAGGACGGGCGAGACGACCGATTCTGGTGAGAGACGGGGCCTCACCCGCAGGGAGGACTCCCGCTGCCAGTGGCTTGTCCGTTGCTCGAGAAGTAGGAGGCAAATCTCACCGCTTAATTCGAAAGCGGAATGCAGCCGTGCGTGTTGAGCGGCTTTGCATTTTACCTCAATTTAATTGCAATTTTTTTTATCCTGCGTTAAACTATTAGCATTTCCTTTTTATTTTACCAGGTAAGGCCCACTGAGCTCTTAGCGCTTTTTCAGAAGCGACCTGGCCACAAATTATGGCTCAACCAAGTGTCTTATCGTGTGGACATGTATAGCTGCCAAATGCTCTAAGCACATGTTTATAAATGGGGAGGGAAAAGCCGGAGGACGCGGAGAAAAATCCACCGCGACCACAGGGAGAACATGAAAACTCTATATATACAGGGTGCTTAAAAACAATGTTAACACTTCCGAGAATTTGCAACAATACCACAAGATTTACCACGTTTCTGGGAGGCTCAACTGGACCACGTGTCAGCCCTGCCCACTCCTCACTAGCCACGACCCACACCCAACCACTATTCCTGCCCACACTGCGAATGGCACATTTTTTTTCTTCACACGTGCGAGTCTGATCTATAGTGCCCCATCTGCATATCGTGTGAGCCTCATTTGAATATCGAGCATGGGGAACAGCCAAACCTGTTGTGCAGCTGCTTCTGGGCTGTTCCAGAGCTAGCAGAGAGCCCATTTGGTGGTGGTGGAAACAAGGCATTAACCTCTGGCCCCCGGCACGACCCCGGAATATTGACCCCAACGTCAGCACAGAACCCACCCATAACGCCAATTCTAACCGTAACCCAAACATGAACCCTCGCGATCATCTAAACGCAGCCTAGCCATAGCCCCATGCCTCGCCCTCCTGAGTCTTGCCAAACTTCCAAGTCAAATCGTGTCATGCACAATCGTACTTGTGGCCCCATAACCTTCACTTAGAACTTTGGAAGTGCCATCTAAGTACGCTCCTAACCCCACTCCTAACTCCTAACCCTAGCACCATGCACGGCACTGCATCTAACCCCGGGCTCAAAAGCAATCCCGATTATTTTCCTTCCCTCCCCCCCCAGCCGCCAGCCGTAATCCTAACTCTTACACCAGCAGCTTTCTGTCTCCGGGTAATCCCCCTGCGATTTGTGAGTTCAGCGAGTAGGTGAGGGGGGCACCTATCGAGCGCTGCTGCAAGGGCAGGCGCTCGCGCGCTTTAAATCTGGCAGCCGTGCGCGCAACAAGCGGCGATCCATTCCCATTGTAATTTTTTTTTCACACCTGGCTAAAACCTTTTTTTTTATCGGCAGCGTCGCCCATCGCGGTAAAAACAAATTCCTCGCACGAAAAAAAAATCGACTTTGAAACCCGATAGCAATTGTATCGACTTGCACGTTTGTTGATGTTTACGGAAGAAGCCACTTGAAAGGTCCTCGACGGGGATCGTCGCGGGGGGGGGGGGAGGTGTTGATGCGCCGCCGATTGGCGGCGAGAGTGCCACTATGCTGGTGGCAGTGGAAGCAGCACCTGCCAAGTTAGGCCGGGTACCACGGTGGCGAGATGTTAACTGCCTCGTATACAGGAAGTCGTTGGTTCGATCCTCACCCTGACGTCTGTATTTTTGGAGTCTTCGTGTCTTTCTCACCGTGGTCACGTGGATTTTTCTCCGGGTTCCCCGGTTTTTCCCAGCACATTTCAAAGAATGCATTTAACTTTAAGCAGTATTTTACTGCTTTAAATGTCCACGTGATAATCCACTTAATTGAGCGATCATTTGTAGCCAGGTCGCTTCTGAAAAAGTTCAGTGGGCCTTACCTGACAAAATAGTTTAGTTTAAACTCCCCCCCCAACCCACCACCTGCAGCTCTCCATCCCACCATGACCACTTCCACCACCACTTCCGTATTGCCATCACCATTATCATAATGATCACCGCCACCACCACCAGCATCAGGCACTACAATTCTCATCGTCCCGACCACTGATATGCCACCACCATCACCGCCACTGCTATTATCACCACCAACACCACCACCACAACCGCCACCGCTACAACAACCACCACCTAAAGATATCACCAATGCCACCACAGCCACTATTATCACCACTTTTATCATCATCATCGCGACCGCCACCACTACCACCACCGCCTCCGCCACTCCCCGCAGACTCCCCCTCCTCCGCCCTGACCCGCTTGCCCTCTGCTGCCAGGTGCGCTTGTGCCGACGGCTTTGAGGGAGACCGGTGCGAGGTGAACATCGACGACTGTGAAGACAACGACTGTGAGAACAACTCCACCTGTGTGGACGGCATCAACAACTACACCTGCCTGTGCACGCACGAGTACACAGGTGAGCGTGGGGTGGGGGGGCGGAGGCGGAGAGTGGAGTGACGAGACGTGAATGCGATTGTGCGCGCTAACAATCCCGTGCGAGAGACACAGCAAAGACAAAGTTCCCCCGTGTAGCCTTGACTGACTGTCGGGACAAGTGCTGTCAGCGAGCACCCAGACGTACGCGCACACGGGCGGTGACGCGTTTCGTCGCTTGCTGCAGAGGTTCGCAATGCAATTAATGCTGCGCTGGTGTGGTGTTAGCTGTAAAACAAACACCGCGTGCCGTCCGCTTCGCGCGCAGTGGGACGTTCAAAGATCCCCGCGACGTCACTCGCGCAGGGCAGGCCACTGCGTGTGCCGGCGTCGGAACCCAAACATAGCAAAGTTGATCAATTAAGCGGCAAATCATCCATTGGTAATCTCCGTAGCAACGCAAATGTGGCAGGACCCTCCTTTAAAAAGATTCGCGAGACTCGGTGAGGCTTTTGTGCGTAAACACGTGAAATAAAAAAAAACAACATGTAAATACACAAACACCTATCGCACACGTAAATACATATACTCGCACGTAATTATATACTCTACACACGTAATATGTATAAAATATAAGCGTAAGCACCCTAATGCTGACACAAAAAATACTTAAGCCGTGGAACAAGAACACAGTTGCACTCACACTGGGAGGTGCAGCCCAATGCAATTGCATACATTGCGGGGAGCTTCAGACATGCGGATTGTATCGTCGGTAATTTAAAAAGAAAATCAAATCAGGTCGACAAGCTTTACCGCAAACACACACATCAATCGGTCCACGAGCATCGGCATAATCACGTGAGCTGGCAACTCGTCGCTAGCAGACTAAATTTTATTATTTTAAAAACGAAACTATTTTTATTTTACCAGGTAAGGCCCACTGAGCTATATAGATATTTTTCAGAAGTGACCTGGCGATCACAAATGATGGCGCAACGGAAGTGGCTTACGTGGAAATTTAAAGCAGCCAAATACTGTAAACGCATGTTTCTAATCATGGGAGGGAAAAACCACAGGACCCGGAGAAAAATTCACGTGACAACAGAGAGAGAGACACGCAAACTCCAAATATACAGGCATCCTCCTACATACCAGTTGAGGCGGTATGGGACGCATGGTGGCAGCGGGAAGGAGGTGGGCGATGTCGTGTTATGGCCAGCGCTCGTGACCCCCACGACCGCATGAAAGGACGTGACGTTTTAATGCGCTTACGGAATGCCAATTAGCCCTCGCTCTCGTGCCTCGCGGTCAAGACGGGGCCGGCATCTTGAGCCGCGTCGAGATTTTCCTGAGCGTGTGAGCGGGAGGGACTTGTTTCCCCTGATCCCTTCGGCGTGAGTTGCGGGGGCTAGTGGCGGGGTGCGGTGGGTGGGTGTCATTCGTGATAGCTGAGATTATCGGCATAATTTTTTTTAATCATTTAAATTGTTGCGATTGTGCAATTGGCGCTATGGCTCGAGACGAAGAGTCTATTCGGAACTTTTACAGAAGGGTGGATAGAGAATGACCTGTGGAATAATATACGGTGGAACTAATTAGTAGATCCCTTTTAAGTTTTATTCGCAACTCAGGAGCGCATTTTCCCATGCACCGTGTTAGAGAATCGTCCGTCGCCTGGCAGTAAATCCAATACATGTTTTTTTTATTCTCAATGCTGGATTTTTGCCAGACAAAGTGAAAAAACTAATTTAACGTGAGACACATGTCTTTTTTACAGTCACCATCGGTGACCAGGCCGAGACCGACCATCAACGCACTTGAGAACCCGGTTTAAAGACAAGGAGCCGAAACATGGATCCCAATCCAGGCTCAGTTTTTCCTCTGTACACGTCCGGTTAGCGCGGTTGGCTACGTGCGGTGCGAAAGAAGTTCAACGCACGTACGTGCGTAACACCGAGCCGCCCGTTCACCTCGCGTTTTACAGCTTTCGTTTAGTCAGCGTTCGACACCTTATTCTGGAAACGAGGTGGACCCCTTGCTGGGCTGTTATGACGAAACGCATTAGCAGCTTGTTTAGCGAGTCGCTCCTGTTCGCCCGACGCTTATTTACGCGCCGATGTATGAACTTAACCTTCAGATTTTTTGCGGGGGGGGGGGGGGTAGTGGATTTCGCATTTTTTTTTCTCTCCCCTCTCTTTTCATGCGTGAAAAAAAACATCGTTTTCCTCACGTCCGAAATCGTCGCGCTGGGCTTGCACCTGCCATGGTTTCCGAGCGGGACGTAAAACAATTTTTTATTGTGAGGTAACAAAAAAAATCTTCACGGGACTTCCCCCCCCCCCCCCCGTGGATTTGGCCGCTTGCGCCGTTCCGTTTAGCCTCGAGGCTGTGCGAGCAAAAGGTGCTCCAAGCGGGCACCAGGGGTGGGCGAATGTTTAGCCAAAACACACAGTTTAACAAAACACAACAATTAAAATGTTTCTTTTTAGAACCTTTCCACTGCACGCAGCTGTTTCGAGTGCGGTGGTTTGCGAGTCTAAAGACGTTTGTAATGCAAAAAATGCGCGCGCCCCGAATGCGTGCACGCGGGTATTTGTTTAGAATATTATACACGAGACGTAACCTCATTATCGTATCGGATTGGCTTTAAAGAAGTCTCAGGGCGGCTCAATCGTTGCTCGAATGTATTTTAGATATCAAATGAAGGGACTGTCAAGCGAGTGTATCTTGAGAAAGCGTAATTATGGCAAATTTAGCGCAGATTCATGAAATTTCATGCCTTGGTTGTCAGGTGCCACGGCACATTGCGCACCATTCCCATACTGCCAGGAACCGCCGCCGGGAGGAGGCGTTCGCTATCACGCTCTTTCTCCACCCACTCTCTCTCCACCCACTCTCTCTCAACCCGCTCTCTCCCCACCCGCTCTCTCTCCCACCCGCTCTCTCTCCCACCCGCTCTCTCTCCACCCGCTCTCTCTCCCACCCGCTCTCTCTCCACCCGCTCTCTCTCCACCCGCTCTCTCCACCCGCTCTCTCTCCACCCACTCTCTCTCCACCCGCTCTCTCTCCACCCGTTCTCTCCCCACCCGCTCTCTCTCCACCCGTTCTCTGTCCACCCGCTCTCTCTCCCACCCGCTCTCTCTCCACCCGCTCTCTCTCCCACCCGCTCTCTCTCCCACCCGCTCTCTCCACCCGCTCTCTCTCCACCCGCTCTCTCTCCCACCCGCTCTCTCTCCACCCACTCTCTCCCCACCCGCTCTCTCCACCCGCTCTCTCCACCCACTCTCTCTCCACCCGCTCTCTCTCCCACCCGCTCTCTCTCCACCCGTTCTCTGTCCACCCGCTCTCTCTCCCACCCGCTCTCTCTCCACCCGCTCTCTCTCCACCCGCTCTCTCTCACCCGCTCTTCTCCCACCGCTCTCTCACCCGCTCTCTCCACCCACTCTCTCCACCGCTCTCTCTCCACCCGCTCTCCCCACCCGCTCTCTCTCCCACGCTCTCTCTCCCACCGCTCTCTCTCCACCCGCTCTCTCTCCCACCCGCTCTCTCTCCACCCACTCTCTCCACCCGCTCTCTCTCCACCCGCTCTCTCTCCCACCCGCTCTCCTCCACCCGCTCTCTCTCCACCCGTCTCTCTCCCCACCCGCTCTCTCCACCCACTCTCTCTACCCGCTCTTCTCCACCGCTCTCTCTCCACCGCTCTCTCTCCCACCCGCTCTCTCTCCCGCTCTCTCTCCACCCGCTCTCTCTCCACCCGCTCTCTCCCACCCGCTCTCTCTCCCACCCGCTCTCTTCCCCACCCGCTCTCTCCCACCCACTCTCTTCCCACCCGCTCTCCCCACCCGCTCTCTCCCCACCCGCTCTCTCCCCACCCGCTCTCTCCCCACCCGCTCACTCCCCACCCGCTCTCTCTCCACCCGCTCTCTCTCCACCCGCTCTCTCTCCACCCGCTCTCTCTCTCCCGCTCTCTCTCCACCCGCTCTCTCTCCACCCGCTCTCTCTCCACCCGCTCTATTTTTTTTACGATCAGTGGAAACAAGAAGATGCTCGGTGTATTCGGCACTCTGTTTCGTTCATCATTTCGTAAAATGTTTTTTTTTATAATAAACGGGGCTTTATGTAACCCTCGCTCTCGCTCGCCCGCCCGCTCTCTTTCCCACTCAGCCGCCCGCTCTCTCTCCCACTCGCTCGCCTGCCCACCCACTCTCTCCAACTCTCCCACTCGGCTGCTCACTCTCTCCCGCTCGCCCACTCTCTCCCACTCGGCCGCCCGCTCTCTCTCCCACTCGCTCGACTGCCCACCCACTCTCTCCCACTCTCCCACTCGGCTGCTCACTCTCTCCCACTCGGCTGCCCGCTCTCTCTCCTACCCGCTCACTCGCCCACCCGCTAACTCACTCACGCACGATTGCTGGCTGCTCAGCTGTATCAACACAATCGTCGTGCATGGGCTATTGGACTATTGGACTCGCATGCGCGCCGTCTTTGCTGCCGCTGCTTCCGCACACACGCACGCACGCACAGCCCACGGCGCATGCAGCGCACGTGGGGGGGCCGCATCGCGCCCCAAGATGTTTCTGTTCATCCGCGTTCCGCGCTCCTATTTCTAGACCTAACAGCTGTCGGTTCACGATAATATTTGTTTTACGGTCAAAGGTGCCTTCGCCGCCAAGTGCGTAAATTTATTGACGCATTAAACCGGATTGGAGCTCCCTTAGAAACGTCGATCCGCATTTTTACGCTACCCCTCTAGAAACGGTTAATGGCAGTGATTTTTTAAACAAACATGAATAGTGTAAAGTTTTTTGTGCTTATAACTTGGCCAAACCCCCCCCCCCCCCCCCTCCATTTAGATGTTTTTGTAACATTTTTTCAATCAGGAGATGAAATAAACTGCACGGAGGTGCGTGAAACGGCATTGCCTCTTTTGCAAAGGCGATGTTTTAAAAACACTTCAAATATAGACAAAAAAAATGTGCGATTCATACAATGCAGCGTGAATAAGGCAGGAAAAAGAAAAAGCTTAAATATCTTAAAATTAGACATCTATGAAACGTGCAATATAACTTTAGGAATTAGAAAGTGACCAAATTAAGCAAGTAGAGGAAATAGTAGAAAATTGTACAAATTGTGGGATAGAAATAACCCACTGGCTGTGGCCATCGGGAAACCTTAAAGCAAACAGAGCCAATCAAAACATTTACAGACGTTGACACGGAGCTTGGGCATGGTCGGGGATACATTCACTCTGTACCTCGTAAATTTAGTGACGTTTGCTACTTTGCCGCGAGAAAAAGTCGTCCCCAACGGTCCCTGAATCCTGCTGCTTGAACTGCATGAGGCGGCCAGCGTGGCCGCCGCTGCATCCAGAGCTGCTGCCTTGAACTGTGCAAGTTCGATTCCCGACCACACTTAAGATCTGCTGCCAAGTGATATCTGAAGCTGTCTCTAAAATCCTCCCTTCATCAGCAGCCACTGCCCAGAATGCCAAAGTATTGTCAAAGAATAACCGCTCGTGACTGACACCACGTGGGAGGTTCTCCATCCAGCAGTGGATTGACGTGGGTGTTAATCATTATTATGATTATAATGAAGTATACGATGTAGACGCACATCATTACCACACGCGTCATCGTTCATCTTTTCCCCGTGCAGTCACGATCCCTCTGCTGTGCGTCGCTGACGCGGCTGACGCGATGCACGCCGTGGTGGTTTGTGTGTAGCGTAAGTATCGCGGATTCCTACGCACGTGATTCTGCGCTAAATGCAGTGGTTGTTTTCCTTCTTTATCCCAAGCCAGCCAGGCCGTGCGATCGCCACGAGTGGAATGTACAAACGTTCGTAAAATGTATTTAGACCAGGTGAGGGCTCACTGAGACGACAACACATGTCTTTTTTTAAATATTTTTTCGCGAAGGGAGAGAGAAATATGGTGGGGGATGGGGGGATGGGTGGACATGCATGGAGGATTGCTGGTGCTGAGACACCGAGGGAATCGATCTGACCACGGTGTAGATCGTAACCCCGCGTATGGCACAAAGCTCTCGTCGCGTTCATCATCTCCCCGTGACCTCCCTGGTGAACCCAAATCACGTGCAGATTAAAAAATGCGTCCCGCGTTTGCCATTGGCGCTGCATCAAAACATAAGAAATGCGTGCGTTGGCCAAGAGTTTTGGCAGTGGCGTTTCACATTGTGTCTCGTTAATTAGCAGAGTAAGGGTAGCCAGCCAGCCGGGCTGCTAGCTGTCAATATGCAATTGGATTTTGCATATTTTCAAAAAAGTAATTTTTCCTCCGATTTGGTCCAACAAGTTTTGGGGCAACCCTGAGATGAATTTGGCCTGGCTTTCAATAGGGTGAGTCCCTTATAGCAACGCCACTAAAGTCCCATTCATATTGCGTCATCTTCGCGGCGAGAGGGAGTGCATTTCAGGCGGACGGACGGACAGCGCTAACGCATTATTGCCTTCAACCTGGGCTGAAAAGCGTTAATAAAAGAGATACACCTCCACCCCTCCTCCCCAACCCCCCCCCGCCCCGCTCCACTTCGCTCCAAACTCATCGGCTCATCACGGGAGCGGAACAGGGGCCTCGGGAGGGCCTGGCGTGGTGAAGCGACCGGTCAGCGGTGAAACGGGTGGGGTTGAGCGGAGGTTGCCGGCGCATTAGCGGGTGTCAGCAGGTGCTTGCCTCCCACGTGAGTGCCCAGCCACGCCAGAGCTTAATTGGCTAAGCCTGAGTGATGAAATCCTGGCAGGGGGGCCTCGCCGTTTCAGCCCCTCCCTCCCTACCTCAATGGCTTCCTTGTCCAAAACACGGGGGGGCCGAGTTGCCGATGGCGGGAGGGAGGGGGCGGCGGTGGTCGTTGGCAAGCCCAGGGATTTGAGCGAGAGTAACGGCGGGAGGTGGAACGGAGTGGTGGGGGGGGGGGACGAGCTGGTGTGGAGAGGACGTTGGTGGGCTGTGGGACGGGGGGGGGGGCAGCAGAAATTGCAGAGAAATTGGAAGGGGGTGGGAGGGGGGCACGGTGCGGAGTGGGGTCCGCCGCCCCTGAGTCTCGGCACATTTTCCCAGCGCGTGGCCTCGATGCTCTTGCTATACCCACTGAGTACCATTTAGTCGCCACTGCTCCGGCAGCCCGTTCTAATTTGCCATTTATTTTTCTTTCGGGTTCTCAATCCTTACGGTTAGACCATCTTGACCCGCGGCCCTGTTTTTTGTAACGGAAAGCGGCAGAAATAATTCGGGCAGCCTGCGCGCTTCGCACGCATGCACGCACGCATACACAAAGACAAAGATCCCCCATGCAGCCTTTAACAGACTGCTGGTGCAAGGGCTGTTAGTGTGCACCTCTGAAAGCCATTACCACTTCCCGAGTGGTGATGTTTACACATCACGCCAGGTACTCAGTTGAGACTTAGCCGGCCCGGTGGAGGTCCAGGACCGGCTTAGATAATTGTCACTGTTGGTGGTCGTGAGCGGGAATCGAACTCGGGTTGACGGTTTTGCAGCACCGCGTGCTAACCACTACACCACCGCACATGCACACACGTGCACAGAGACGCACACACACACCCACACACATACACGTGCACACACACACAGGAGCACAACCACTCCAGGCATCTGCAATCTCACTGCAATTGCTCTAAACGTCTTGCCTTGTTGTTTATTGTTTGTGTTTCTCTCCCCGCTGCAAACGGCAGACATAAATGAGGTGGAGGAAGGTCAGTGTGCCGCCGTCGTGTTTCCGTGCGATGTGGATGTTAAACGCGAGTTTTGTATTCGAAGGGACACAAATAAGAATTTGTCATTGTTGCTCCAGCTGAAAGCGTGGAGTTGCTGCGCCGTGCACCCTGCATGCGCGTTGTCACAGGATCCGTCTGCTGTGTACGACCGTGTGCATGTGTGTGTATGCGTGTGCGCACTTGCCCCAAAAGTCGGTTAAGGCTATACGGGGGATCTTTGTCTTTGGTGTATGCATGCACGTGTGTGTGTGTACGTGTGCGCATGTTGCACGCATGTTGTGCCATGTTTGTATGTGTGTAAACTTGGCATGTGCACACACACGCCAGGTTATAAAAGGTGAATTCTTTAATTTGCACCTCCGTTTAACACGGTTGGGTACATACGTTGTGAAAGAAGTTCAACGTGCATACCATGCGTACGTATGTACGTACAAATAAACGAATCGATCCCCGAATCAAATTTGCAACCCTGGATTGTGCGAAATCGTCGAATCGCTCTGTGGGCGAATCTTTACAGCCCCAACCGATGGCGCGCTCACCTTAAACGTAATCCCTCCCACGTCCATCACCGCGTCTAATCCTCCTTCCCCATGATCCCTCTGGGTGAGCAATAAGCTCGAGTAAACAGGGGAGACCGGCGAGGTGGCGTGGCGGTCAGCGAGTGCCCTCACCATCTTGGCAACTTCACGAGAGTTCAAATCCCGGTCGTAGATCGACTTGGGCCCCCCCCCCCATCATTCCTCCGAGGAGGGACGCTAAAGAATTAAGCGGCGCTCCATGAGGAAACCAACAGCGGCTGGTTCGACAGATCGACTCACTCGCCCCACCGTGGCAATGGGACGTTTGTACCACATTTTCAAAGGGGGCTATTGATCAATTGAAATGGAGCACCGCCTTGACCTTGCTCACTTGAGCCGGCACAGCCGCGAGCCCTCTCCCCGTGGGAACATCTTCTGCGGCGTGGCACGCGAGGGCTGCATCACCTTCCCTCGAGGCACGTGTGAGGAGTTGTCGCCGCTTGTCGTCGTTTTTCATTTTGTCGCTCGCTAGCTCGCCACCGCAGGGGGGGGGGCCGCTTTTCTTCACTGCGATGTGGCGCTCACAGGTGCAGCCCCTCGCTCGCCACGTGGCAGGCCTCCCCTGTCGATATTTTGTACCCACAACTCCTACCCCCGCCCCTCCCCCCCCCCAAATTATTTACAGTTCGTGTCATTCTCAATTTGTGGGGTCGTTCAGGCATCACGTCTCCGCAGTTCCCCGAGTATTTGGTTATTTTGTCGAGGACGCCCCTTTGCGTAATCATTTGTATCTTGTTTCACGCGCTCGTTGTGAGCTGATCGTCGTTTATTCGGAGGCAGAGAGACAACCCTGTTAGTCGGCGTGTACCGTGCGCCGTGTTTAAGTGGCGGGTAAGCTCTCTCTGTTCGTATATTTGCTGAGCGGACGTGGTTGGTGGGAACTGCACTCTGGTGGCACGCTTCAACTGTAATGTTTATTACAGCCAGACGTGTGCAGCTTACTAAGGCCCCGCACTGTGGCACCGTCAGATTAATGTGTTTGCTTTACGGACCTCTTTAAACATTTTTTTTTATGAGGCACCAGAAAAATTAAAACGTTTTTAAAAAGATAAACACACTCGTGTCAGTGCCGCTTAGAACCCACCAGAAATGAAAAACTCCCAAAAACCCTCGCTAAGAATTTTTCAAAAAAATGTGTAATCTGATGCTAGGCCGACTTGTTCTCCCTTGCGCTGTCTGTCCGTGTCTGTCTCTCTCTCTCTCTCTGTGTAATTGTGAGGCAAAATAACTCGGAGCAATGTGCGCAGCTGCCGAGGTGCAAGGGTCTATTACGATCTTTGACCCCGAACACCTAAACTGCAGCTGTGGCAGCGCTGCCGTGGCGGCTATGAGAGTGTAAACTCAAAGTGTAAACTTGGGAGGGAGAAGGTACGAGCCACCCCAAGCACCCCAGTGTGACTCGTTTCTTCTCACACATCTGACCGCCAGTGAGACGGCGACGTCACTGGGCCTCTGGCATACAAGTGCCGCCCCCCCCCGCTCCCATGCCTCGCAAATCTAAAGCTCGCTGGATTTTATTTCGTGGTCCAGTTGCTTTCTCCGTACGTTTGCTTTAGGTTTTTTTTTTTCAGACGGCCGTGGAGTGAGGTTTTACAGATTTTTTGGTTTGCGTTCTATCATCGCAGAAGTTTTTCGTCGGACTTGGCTTTGTTTTTGTTCCATGCCTTGCCGACGAAAATGATTAAATGGATTTTTGTAAAATGGAGAGAAAGAAAATAATTGTGCCAGCTATATCAAAGGGCTTATTCAGTACCGGGTCACTAGCACAGCTGCGTTTTTTGTTGTTGCGGTATGCTGGAAGCATGCCCTGGAATACTTTATTGTTTTAAGACTACATCTGTGTGACTTTACAAGTGTAAAGGCACACAGATGGGTGCAATGGCACAGCAGTGGTGGAAAATGTAATATATCTGAACCTTGCCTGGGCTTCCCTTAGATCAAGACGGCCAAATAATGAGTACCCGGCTCATCAGCATTGGCAGCTGGGGTGTGCATGGTGCTGGCCACGCCGCCGCTCCTTCTGTACTCATTGGAGTTGTTTGGCAGGCGTGTAACCATTAATCTATTCGGCGATTTAAATCGGTCTTAATGCTCACGATACGTGCATAGAATCGTGTGTGTGTGTGTTCGCGTGTAAGCAGCAAAGATTGACAACAAGTACAATTCGTACGCAAATGTTACCGTTGCTCTCATGGCCACGACATACGAAACAAACCCTCGTCGGCGACAATTTAAATATAAAGGAGGCAGAACAAACGAGACCAAAGAGAATTAACTATTCTACTCTGACCCCAGAATTCGTGCCAAATCATGGGAGAGTAGAGGTTGAACCTGTCATTTCATAATCAATAGGCGCTCGCTAACAACAGTCGCCCCAACAGTCTACAGCAACTAAACTTGGCCTTGGCGTGTTAGCGTGTGCGCGCGCGTGTGTGTGCGCGTGTGTGGGTGTGTGCGGGTGTGTGTGTGTGCGTGTGTGTGCATGCGTGTGTGTGTGTGTGCATGCGTGTGTTTGCACGCCTTCAACTCCGTTCTCACCTCGCCTTTGTCTCCCTCCCGACGTTGCAGGTGACCTCTGCGAAGACCGCGTGAACTTCTGCACGCCCGACTTGAACCCGTGCCAGCACGACTCCAAGTGCATCATGACACTTAAGGGATACAAGTGAGTGTTAGTGTGGGTGCCATGTCTTTGTGTGCGTGTTTGGAAGCTGTAGCGTAGCGGTTGGCGGACCGCACTACGAACCCGGCGAGCCGCGTTCGATTCCCACTCTTGACAGCATCAGTGATGCGTATCTTAACTGGTCCAGGGCCTTCCCTAGGTCGACTCGACCATAACCGTGTACCTGGTGCGGTGTGTAAAACATCAGCATTGGGGAGACGAAGCCGGCCGGGCGTGGTACTGGCCACCCACCCCCTCGTGCGATGTGCCGGTCTTAATAGGTGCTCGCTAACAGAGCTTGCCCCAACAGTCAGTTCGGGGCTGTGTGGCGGTTCTGCTTTCTAGCGGGGGGCCATAAACCCCCAGCGCTATCACCCGTGGCTACAATCGTGGCCACAGTAGGTCGGATCTGATCCAGAGCAAGCGGTCCTACGACCCCACGCCACCGTAAATTCATTATCTGTGACCCCGGCAGAGGTTTCAGGGAGGCCCCTAATGCTAAACTAATTGGTGATTTATACGAAACTGACTGCACGGGTGCCTTTGGGGGGTTCGCTCTGTGCATGTCAGGATGTTCCGTCATCTCCGCAGCTGAAAAGTTGCACTGTTGGGATTTCCCATTCAGTGACTTATGTTTTGCAATTAGCAATTTGTGTTTATTGATTTGCATTTTCGTTGAGCCGTTTGTCATGAGCCGCGATTCCTTGTTTGCGGATTAGGATTCAGCATCGTGTGACGTTGCGTTCTAAAGTTCGCAAATTTGCATTCGACGTTTTTTTGTCACGCGCTCGCTTAGCACTTTTGCGGCATATTGTGCACTGCCCGTATATAAAGATTTCTCCGCTGGTGCGTGCTCGTTTTGCACGCACCGTGCGCCGGTCGGCACGGCAATGTCCGACGTTTCCCCTTCCGCCGCACTGCGGCAGCTTCCACCGTGAAACGTTGGACTTTTATTGCAATTTCATCCTCGTGATTCTACCCCCGCCCCCTCCCCCGGCCTCGCCACTCGAGGTGCGAGTGCGCCCCGGGCTACGTGGGCGACCACTGCGAGGTCGACTACGACGACTGCCAGGGCAGCAAGTGCCAGAACGGTGCTCCCTGCGTGGACGCCGTCAACGGCTACACCTGCAACTGCCCGCAAGCCTACAGGTGTGCCACGGCGTGTCCCTTCATCATCACGGTGCCTCGGAGATGTTAACTACCTCGCCTGGTCTACAGGAGATTGTGGGTTCGATCAGGACCCTGACGCCTGCTGTATATTTGGAGTTTGAGTGTTTTCTCTCTCTCCTCTCTCCCTGTGGTCGTGTGGATCAGTCTCCGGGTCCTCCAGTTTTTCCCTCCACATTTATAGTATTTGGCGATTATTATAAATGTCCACGTGGCCAGGTCACACGTGAAAAAGAGCTATATAGATCAGTGGGCCTTACCTGGTAAAATAAAAAAAAATAGTTTCATGGTTTTAGTTTGAGTTTGAATGCCCAGACAGTCTGCTTCCTTGTAAAGTTAAGGATTGCTTGCGGTCGGGCGTGGGAAGAGTTTGCTACGAGGGTTCATGAGCGCCGGCTTTCTCGACTGCCCCAGACTCCATCCTCCTCATAGCCCAGCGGTTTAGCAGTTTGACAGTCCTCAATGTATACTGGCTGTATTACTGCCAGCGCGTGACACCTGAAGCATGAACGTCTAGTTTGTTCTCCTTCCCCCCGCACCTCCGACTAGCACGCTTGGCTACGTACGGCGTGAAATAAGTTCAACGTACACGAACACGCTTGGTAAAAGCACTTTGGGTGCCGCGAGACGCCCTGTAAATAACGACGACGATTTAAACGTTTCTCTCTGAACACCGCCGCACTCCCTCCTCTCTGCCCCTTCTCCTGTGCCCGTCCCCCCCACGCCCCCCACCCCCCCCGGTAACCCCCCTCACACCCCCCCCCCCCCGCTTGCCGTCGTCCGGCACTGCCTCCCCAGCGGCCTGTTCTGCGAGGTGCCCCCGATGGTGCTTCCCCGCGCCAGCGTGTGCCTGCAGCACGACTGCCAGAACGGCGCCGAGTGCATCGAGCAGCACGCGTCGCCCGTGTGCCAGTGCCTGCCGGGCTTCGAGGGCGAGCGCTGCGAGAAGCTCGTGGGCGTCAACTTCGTGCAGCGCGACGCCTACCTGCAGCTGCCCTCGCCGCGCAACCGCCTGCACACCAACATCAGCCTGCAGGTGAGGCGGGGGCGGCGGGCGGGCGGGCGCCGATGAGGCCGCCGCGGTACGGACGACGGCGCGGACTCGTTGTCCGACAGCGACGTATCGTCTTTGCGTGTGACGCCGGTGTACTCCACGTGGGAGTTTGCCCGTCAAGAAGAACGAATGCTGTAGTTAGGTGCGTGGTGTTTGAGGAGGAGGAGGAAGGTGGAAGGGCGGAGGTTGCTCTTTTTCGCGCTTCCCCCTTACGCTGTTCCCAAGCTCCACAAAACGTCCTTCGTCATAGCGGCGTAGTGACATCACTTGCATTGAAGTATTAAAGCATAATGTTCTACGAAATGTCATCGCTAAAATCACGTTTCCCGTCCCTGTCCCACTGCCCCACTCCGCTCAGGTGGCGACGGACGAGGATAACGGGATGCTGCTGTACAACGGGGAGGGAGACCACGTGGCCGTGGAGCTGTACAGGGGCCGCGTGCGAGTCACCTACGACGGGGGCAGCTCCCCCACCAGCACGCTGTACAGGTGAGGGTGATGGTGTCCAGGTGAGGGAGATGATGTCCAGGTGAGGGCAGGGGCGGGCAGGCAGGGCCGGGACGTTGGAGGTTTGTGGCAGCCCTCAGAAGGAACGGTAGCGGTGATCGCAGCAGACGGCGCTCGTCTGCTCGAGGAAAGAGAAACGGCTCACAGAGAGGGAGGGGGGGGGGCGGTGGACGGGTTCTGGCTCACCGTCAAGCCAGATTATGATTTTTGAACACGTGGCCACGTTTAGTCACGTAGCGCTGCATTACATCAAACTCCGTGCAGGATACAAAATATTCAGTTTAGAAATTACTGCCTACGTCTGGCCCCCCCTGCCACCACCCCCCCCCCCCCCCCCCCACATGGCTCTCCGCGCAAAGAAGTACGGGAGACGAGGCGCACGCACGCTCTGAGTTAAACTGAGAGGCAGGAGGAGGAGCGCGAGGATCAGGGAACAAACGCAAGTCAGAGAGAGAGAGAGAAAGACGTCAAATTGACTGGAGAGAGAGAGTAATGATGGCTTGGGCAGCATCCACCACGAGAGGGACTGATGGCCACTGGACGGGACTGACGCGTTAGCCAATGGAAAAAGGAGAGAATTCGCCAAAGAGGACGACCATCGCAAGAGATGGAGCGACGAGATCGGTTCATGTGCAGGAATGAGACGGATCGTAGCATCCGAGGAACGTGAGGGAAGCAGCAGCATGGGGAGCCCTCCATCCAGCAGTGGATAAACCATGGCTCGTGGTGATGACGAATGCGAGCATTGCATGCGATGTAAGGACATTCTCTGATTATTTATATATATATAAAGGCACGCAAATTAAAAGGGCCGAACATGTGTTAATAAGATTTTAGCAATTTCCATCTGCACACCACTTAGAACATTGCATGCGGGGCATTTATCTTTTTAAATTCAAATTCCCCAATCTCACCGGGTAGAGCTTTTTTGTGCGACGTACCAACCGGCTGCTGCCGTGTGTTGCCCCCGCCGAGCGAGCCACACCAGGGCACTCCTCTTACATTCACTTCAAAGGGTCCTTTCATTTATGCCCTGCCATTTTTGTAATGGAGCTCTTTTTCGTGGCCATCAGAATTCTCGGTCGGATTGTTAGATCTCATTTAAGCACCCCCCCCCCCCCCCCCGCGTTTTACGTCTGTAATTTGCATACTCATTGATTTCATTGTAATCTTTACGTAGATATATATAGAGATAGATGGATGGCCCTTTATACTAAACTAAACAATTTTTTTATTTTACCAGGCAAGGTGCACCGAGCTATACAACTCTTTTTCAGAAGCGACCGGGTCACAAATGATAGCTTAAAGAAGTGGTGTATCACGTGGACATTTATAGCAGCCAAATACTCCAAACGCGTGTTGATTTTTAATGTGGAGGGAAAACCGGAGGACCCGGAGAAAAATTCACGTGACCACGGGGAGAATCGAATCCACGACCTCCTGTATACCAGGCGAAGTAGTTAACATATCCTAGCCACCATGATGATGATGAGAAAGAGACACGCAAACTCCCAATGTACAATAGGCGTCAAAGGTCAGGATCGAACCCACCATATCATGCGAGGTAGTTTTATATTCCCTAGCCACCGTGATGAAGATGATGAGAGACATGCAAACTCAAAATATACAGAAGTCAGGGTTGGGGTTGGGATCGAACCCTCGATGTCCTGCATTCCAGGCAAGGTAGTTAACATCTCTCCACTGTGTAACCCAGCCATGGTGAAGTATGGTCAAACACACCCCTTACCAGTCTAGTGGGTGGAGATCTCCATCCAGCAGTGGTTTGACAAGGGCTGAAATAAATAACAATTGAAAACTGGAAATCTCATTTTTAGGGGAGACGTAGGATTAAACAATTACAGAAAAACTACATCACTCAAACACTTTTATTTTCCGTGGCTGTACAAAACACAAATAATGATCATTAGAGTCATTGTGGAGAAAATAAGTAACTAAATAAATAAAGAGACAATATTCCTCCGTCAGTACGTCTCTCCATGTATTTTTTCTTTACCCAACCCAGTATGTGAGCATGTATATTTGTACATTATATAAGTTATGTTTTACTATGTAATTTTGCGTCAAACCAGGACACATATCTTAAAAAGAGAGGGCCCTTGCCTGTAATATTGGCAGTTTACCAGCATGGATTCAAGCAAGGCTGTCTCTGCTGATGAGACACCGTGTCAAAACTAACCCAGAGTTTGCTGGTTATGGATCAGTGCCATTGAAATCATACACTTCCAGAAGGCCGTAGGGTTATTGAGTTGGATAAAAAAAAGCTTATTTTTGTGTGGAGACAGATACATGGAGACATTGTCTGCTTAGATAATTTATAGTTTTAAATAAACTTGTATAGATGCCTCTCTACGCTAAAACAGAAACTCTTAGACTTACATGAAGATACCAGCTCTTAAATTAACTTCCATAGAGTGCCATTGATTTACGTACAATCTCATTACATTCATCGAGTCCCTTATGTGCTATCTAGCCAGGGAGAGTTCAGGAGACCATTGAAGGATCTCAGGATTAGTTCTCTCATATCCACTTTCACGGACCGTTGTCAAACACAGGGTGAAAACCACTTCACCGGGAGAGTTCCTAAATAATGTTTCGTCTTTTCAGACGAACGTGTGTTGAACTTATTTCGCACCGTTCGTAGCCAACTGTGTGAATTGGAGGTTTAGAGAGCTCAGTGGGGACCAAATCGCGTGAAAGCAAACAAAGGATTGCACCGTCAAAAGCACGCAAGAGTGAGCGCGGCTAAACTGTCTCGTGCCGTCCCAGCCTGGAGACGATAAACGACGGGCAGTTCCACACGGTGGAGCTGGTGACGCTGGATCAGAGCCTGAAGCTGTCGGTGGACGGAGGAGTCCCCAAGAGCATCCCCGGGGCCAGCAAGCCGTCGCCCATCGCCATGCACAGCCCCCTCTACCTGGGCGGTGAGCTTTCGCTACGTCGGTAGCGCCGTCACGGCCGGCCTTTACGCGACGGCGCGGCAGCGGCGTCATAGTGGCGTTGGTCCCCTGTTGGGATCAACGCTTTGACAAAGGGGCTTGTGAATGCGAACCATCGTCCAGCATCATCGCCATCGTTGTTATCGGCCCATGACCTTTCCTGGTGGCTCCACGATGCCACGATCTAATTTGGCTCCTGCGCACGAGCGGCTTTCCTCGCTCCATCTCCGTGGCGATCGTGCTCTTCGGGGGAGCGTTCACACCTCTGGGTGCCCATTCCATTACTGGTTTTGTCCATTGCCCATGTTGCGCACTGAATAATCTGAAATTGTAATGAAGTTACTTTAAGCACGAATAATCATAGAATGAAATCATCTGAATTTCTGTTTGTGTGACTTCACACCTCTCATGCTTACACACTCGCACTCACATGCACACACACGCTCATACACACCCACCCACTCACACACCCACCCACCTACCCACACACTCGCACACCCACCCACACACTCACACACACCCACCCACTCACACACCCACCCACACACCCACCCACTCACATACCCACCCATCCACACACACCCGCACCCACCCACCCACCCACACACTCGCACACCCACTCACACTCACAACAGGCATGCCCAACGACATCGCGGTGGCGGCCCTCATGCAGTCGGCGGTGCACAACGGCACCGGCAGCTTCCGCGGCTGCCTGCGCCGCCTCTACATCAACAGCGAGCTGCAGGACCTGGGCGAGGGGCGCGCCGGGGGCAGCGGGGGCGGCGTGCTGCCCGGCTGCCAGGCGTGCCAGCGTGCCGCCTGCCAGCACGGCACGTGCCGCCCATCCGAGGCGCACCCGCTGGGCTACGTGTGCGACTGCCAGCCCGGCTGGGCGAGCGAGCGGTGCGACCGGCGCGTTTCGGAGCCCTGCGCGGGACACAAGTGAGAGTTCCCGTCACTGCCCCCCCGTCCGTCTGTCTGTACGCTCGTTCCGTCCATCCAAGTGTGTCTGTGTCCGCCCAGCTGCCTGTCTGTTCTCACCGTTTTGTCCGTCTGCTGATTGTTTCAGATCCCTTTGCAGGGGTTACCCGCAGATCAATAAATTATAATATAAACATACGCAATGCTGATTGGGCTAGCCCACGGAACGATCTGGTCATTAGTTGTGATGATCGTTCTCACCAACTTACCAGTGGGCGAGCGGAAACGGCAATAACTGGCACGTAGTTCAACGCTTGTACACCGCGTGCCAATATAAGTAATTTGGCTATGTCGGCTGGTGGAGGGTTACACAACGAACACATTTGGACGGCCTCACCCCACACACACACACAACAACAAAAACAATCCTCAATCACGACTTTGCCTTCTTGAGACAGACATTAACTCTGCCCCCCCCCCCCATCTCCGCACACCTCTCGGCACGCGGACACACAGGTGCGTGCACGGGACGTGCGTGCCCACCGACACGCACTCCTACAGCTGCCGCTGCGAGCCGGGATACTCCGGGGTCCTGTGCTCGCAGCCCGACCCCGAAGAGGGCGGCGTCGTCGTCGTCGCCGGGGTCGGGGTGGCGGGGGACGAGCTGCACAACCCGTGCCGCGCGCTGCGCTGCAAGCACGGCCGCTGCCGCCTCTCCCCGCCCGGCAAGCCGGTCTGCGAGTGCGCCAGCGGCTACACGGGCGAGCACTGTGACCGAGGTACGCGCCGCCGTCGGCCGGTACCGTGGTGCGGCCGTGCCGTGCTTGACGTGTAACTCGTACGGTGGGGGGGAGGGGGTGGGGGGGGTGTGAGGAGAGGGTGGGGTTTGGTTAATGTTCTTATGAGTTGACTTTTTTTTTTTAAATCGTCCGCATGGAAAAAAATGCACAAATGCTTGCGGGAGTGTTGTTTGCAGCATGCGTCTGCGTGAATGTGACTGCATGTGTGTGAATACGTGAGTCGCAACTGGGGCGACAAAGGCGGCCGGGCGTGGCGCTGCAACCCACCCCCCTCCTGTTGCCGTGCTGGCCTTCGTAGGTGCTCACCAACAGCACTTGCCCCAACAGTCTGTTAAGGCTACGCGGGGGATCTTTGTTTGTGCTGGTGCGCATGTGTGTGTTCGTTTCGGAAAACGGCAGCTGTGGTCAGCGCACTGGAATATAGTTGGCTCTTCTCGTTGTCGCTACGTTATGTAAGGCACAACTGTTGTTCGTTTATTGCAATAATAGTTTCAGGGTATTTTTCTTAACAACAAAGGGTAACCAGTGGAACTTTTTGCGTGCCTGGTTTGCGATGGGCTCCATCTGATCAGACAAAACCCTCTTGGATTTGCTGGGGGCATTCGCTGTGCTTGACTCAAATCCACCTTTATTTGCATGGAAGCCTCTGATTGTCTGTCTCTCTGTTTTGTTTCTGTTTGTTTGTTTTTGTTGTTATTTCTTTTGTTCTCCCCCCTGTTTTGTTTATACGTGTTTCCTTGCACTGTTATTTTGTTGTCTACGCCTCTCCTTCCTGAAGCCAAAGTGAATAAGAGCCAGGCTAACAGCACGGACGGTCTCTCTGCCGCTAACGCCACCGCTAGCGCTAGGCCTGACACTAACCGTAGCTCTGCCTCCCTACAGGTGAGATGGGGTGGAGGGGGCCGCGGCAGCGTCGGTCGCAAAAGCTCGCGACGGTTTCCCATCAGCGTAGACAGAAGGAGAAACGGATAACAAAAAAATAAGATAATCGACACCAAACTTGTTCCGCCACTCAAAGCGAGCGTTTAGGCTCAGCTCGTTCCCATCAGCGGGGGCCCTAAACAAGCGGTGGAATTTCCATATTCTCATGGCCGAGTGCAGTATCACCATAGGAGAACCGATTGTCGACTTTAAACAAAATGGTGTATACATATTTATCGGCCCCAGGAGAAGCACTGATTGGATGAGGTTACCACCGACCTGGATGTTTGAACGGTGTCTTTCCGGCTCGATATAAACCACATTTAAAATGCGTTCCCGTTAACCCCTTCTCTTACGCTCCGTTTGTCGCTTCTTTCGTGGCTGTATTCGTGTATCTTCTGAGACACGGTCAGCTCGGAAAGTTGAGCTGGGAACTAAGATTGTGCTCGCGTTTGGATGATCGGCCATGATGCAGGGTCACAGTTCTATTGCGACCTTTAGAATCGACCTTAATCGAATCCTTATGCTCGCCGTGTGTATTTTTTTTTACCTGCGGAAACCGTCGTCAGTTTTTGCTGCAAGCGTCTCACTTTTAACATTTGAACTCTGTCCACTAACAGCATAAACCTCTAACCCCCCCCCCCCCCGGATGTGTTTTCCCCGATTCTCTTTGCCCCCATTGCTTGCGTAGGTTTCATTCCCCCCTTTAGCACTAACGCACGCTAGTGGTGTTAGACCCTACCGTTGAGTCGGAGGCCGGCATGTTTCACGAAATGCATGATTTATTTCAAAAGTAGCAGGAGCTCATATTCCCTTGAGCGAGCCAGCGCACGTTCATTATTCATGCTGTGATGTCACACCGCATCGTGAACTTTCTGAAAGGTCAACAATGTTTTAATTTTAATTTGCATATTTAGAACTGAAGTGTTTTCATGCTCGCTCTGAAGTGACCCTTTGCAGGAATTAAAAGCTCAAATTCTAAAGCCGCTCTTGTAAATTGGGTGGGGAATTGACAACGAGAAGGGAGCGATGGCAAGGCGTGGGGGCATGCTGACCTCTTGACCTTGATTGCAAAAGCACGTCATGGTCTATGAAATAAATAAATGTCAGAGACCATGCAGTGATGAGTCATGGAAGTGGCCAACCATCCCAGTTGAAGGGTCCTCCCGATGAAGTCTTGAGACTCAATGAGGCTTTCCTGGAAAGGTTAATGACGAGAACACATGATGACACGCAGTATGTACAAGTCACATATCCTCAAATGTCAACTGTTTTTTTGTATTAATGTCATATAAGTTTGGGTTACCCAGGTCTCCAATGCAAAGCTCAGTAGGATCTCAACGTGTCCATTACTGGGCATACCAATGGCACCGAGTTGGATTTAAATAGAATAGTAATCCAATGGAATAGTAATCCAGTGGAATAGTAATCCAACGGAATAATAATCCAACGGAATAGTAATCCAGTGGAATAGTAATTCAATTGAATAGTAATCCAGTGGAATAGTAATCCAAAGAGGGGTCATTGCCTGACACATTGGACTGTCACACAAAGGGTGTTTTAATAACTAAGAGACTAATGAGACATATGTTATTTTTCAGAGAACATTTCTTAGCATCATTATCAAGACAGACTCTATTTATGACCCTAGTCAACCCCACTAAACACACACACACACACGCACACCCGCACACACGTGTCCCATTGTTCCCCGGAGCTTTGTATGGCCAGCAGCACAATTTTCCTTTTCCTAGTCTTTAAAGCTACGATGATGTCACCACTGCTTTCACAGCCTCATCACTATCGACTGCCTGCCACGTAGGGGCTTCTCTCAGAGGTCTGCGCAGATGAGTCCCAAGGGGCAGGGCTCTCTGGGCTGGATTATCGAATAATCCACTGAATAAATTAATTTTCTATGAACACACTTAATCTCTATGACCGCTAACATGTGCTTCAACTATATTATGAACTCAACTATTTTTATTTTAGCAGGTAAGGCCCACACTGAGCCATATAGTTCTTTTTCAGAAGCCACCTGGCCACAGATGATAACTCAACAAAGCAGCTTATCACGTGTTAATGTATAGCAGCACAATACTCAAGAATATGTTAATTCGAAATTTGGAGGGTAAAACAGGAGGACACGGAGAAAAAAATCCACACGATCACGGACAGAGAGAAACGTAAACTCCAAATTATACAGCAACCGTCAGGATCGGAATCAAACACACGACGTCCCATATACCAGGCGAGGTAGTTAACATCTCACCACAGTGGCGCCCAGTAGCCCAAATTCCTCATTCGTGTGGCTTTCGAGCGACACTGAGCTTGGCTTCCCGCCTCAGAATCGTGGGCATTTATGTCCATGAAGCATTGTGTGCATTATCAATTGCATTAAAACTTTTAATTACGACTCGCCTCTCGTAAAAAAAAATCTGCCTTTCAATATGCGCGACCTTGGCTGGAGTGAAAGCGACAAATCTCCTCCTACTTCTGTCATCATCATAAACATGCTTACGCTCTGATTTATGGCTTTCCATCCATTTTGTGATTGTTGACATGCTTCATACTGTCGTAACTGTAATACATTTTCATTATGTAATACACTTCAGTGGTATGTACACCCCTAGAGGAAAAACACGTGAATAACAGCTCTGTGCTCTTCTAAAGTGCAGTCGTGCAAGGGTGCCACTGTTTGATCGTGCAATACATCTGCCATCTAGTGGTAAGATCTGGAAAGAAAAAAGATGCACTTGAGTATCACGCGGCTATCGGAGCCGTGCCCAATTTCTTACGACAAACGTTACAGAACTATTAGAAGTCCCTTCACTTACTGAAACTCTCTCCTACGTTCCGTTACGATCTAGCGTGAACAAGCCCTTTACATTCGCCATTTGCGGGTGCGCTCCCTCGACCTCCCCCCTCACCCGCCGCCGCTCTCTCCCTTTCTTTCACCGTCACCTCCGCAGAGAGCCCTTGCAAGGAGGAGCGAGTCCGAGACTACATCCAGAAACAGCGGGGCTACGCAGCCTGCCGCTCCGAGCGCAAGGTCGGGCGAATAGAGTGCCGCGGGGCTTGCACGGGTGCCACCGGCGGCGCGCGCTGCTGCAGCGCGCTGCGCGTCAAGCGCCAGAAGTACGCGTTCCACTGCTCCGACGGCTCCTCCTTCCTCGACGAGGTCGAGAGGGTCCTCAAGTGCGGCTGCGCGCCGTGCGGGGCGTAGGTGCCGGGCGCCGGGCGATCCACGCGTGCCCCCCCCCCCCACCCGCCCCCCCCCCTCGTTCGTCATCGCCGCCACCGCCTCCCCTGCTTCCCCTCGACTCCCACACCCCCCACCGGCCCCGTGCATCACCCACCACCCGCCCGGTAGCCTGCCTGCCGCCACCGATCTGACCCCCGTGACCCCACGTGTGACCCAGCTGTACCGGCGCAGAGAAGTCCGGTCGAGATTGCGGCGCCCGTCCGCGGGTCCGTCCGTTTGTCCTCCTGGGAGCCCGGCGATGCCACGCACGCCCCCATCACCACCACCCCTCCCCGCCCCCCAACGGGAGCCACGGGGAGGATCTGCCGTCGCCGGTCACCGTAAAAAAAAAAAGTTTTTGTCGTGCTGTTCCTCGTCGTCAGCCTCGTCCCTGCGCCTCCCCGCACCCGACCACCCTGCCTCTCGAACCCTTCCTTCGTCGTTTGTGTCATAGAAATATATATTTTAAATTGTATTGTGAGATTATTTTTTAAGGACTTGTTCTCAGTATGGTAGTCGCATAGCAAAAAAACAAACGGCAGCAGCAGCAGCAGTGGCGGCGGCGGTAAAGAGGAGTGCTGTGACGACGACCCTGGAGACAGAAGGCAGTGAAATTGTGAGCCAGCAGGTGTTTCCTCGACATGTCAAATATAAGTTTAACGGTTGGCTATAACAATAATATTAATAACATTAATAATAATAACACGGTTAAGAGTACGAAGAAGAAAGGAATAAATGCTTGGAAATGTTCATCAATTTTTTTCGTAATTCTTTTTGGTATGCCCCCCCGCCTGCCCGCCCGCCCGCCCGCCCGCCTGCCCCATCAACCCCGTTCCTCCTGCTTCAAGATGTCGTCGTTTCGTGACGTCCTTTCACTTCGAAGTGTTTTGGCGTTTTGAGCATCTCGGGCCCTGGGGGCATGCGTATCGGAGGGGGGGGGGAATGTGTGCCGCCGTTGTCCTTGAGTCGCGTGTGCCGTAGTTTCTTCCCTCGATGTCGGCGCGACCGCCGTGCGCTGTTTTGCTGCTGCCTCGCTGGCGGTGAGGACATTGGGCCCTGTGGAAGCGAAGCGGGGGGGGGGAGGGGGGTAAGGTGGGGGGGGGGACCCAGGCAGCCACACGCGAGTATTCTCAACGATTGTGGGGGGTGGATTTGACGTGGGGTGAGGTGGGGAGTTCGTTTAATTTTACATGTACGACATTTTATTTTATGTTAACATTTTGGCTATTAAAGTGAACTCGTTGCATTAGACATGCGTTAATGATACAGCAAGAACAAATTAGCAAGGAAAGTTCTGGTTTGTTGCCAAAATAACGTTAAGTGACATTTGAGTCGATGAGGCAACGAGGCTCCTGGATGATGGCTTTCCTGCTGCGTTTGTTGAAGCAGGAAAACCACGGCTCGGGTTTGACCTCTCTGAGTCTCATCAGCATGCTGCGGCTTTTTGAGCGTGTTGCTGGACAACGGTGGTCCGTGAGCCATTGGTTCACAAGGCTAATTGGTTGGCAGGCTTGAATTGTATTTCATAATAAAGACAGACGCAGTTACATCGAATTGATATTTTGATATGGAAGTGGAAATTGTTCATTCAACCCACAAAGAATTCTAAAGTAGAAGGAAACTTCCCCCCGATGCATACATTATCACTGCCTTAAAAGTATAGAATGGGCTAATACTTCATGACATGCTTCTCCTTCAGGGTTACCGAGAGGCCCTTAAAAGCTTTGAAGAAGGTTGACCTAAACAGTTTAGAAGTCACATTTATGAACAATGTATCTGATCGCAGATCTAGAGCAGCACAACCACGTTTCACAACAACTTTCTGCACAGTTGTTTTTTATTGTATGCGACACCGCCGTGTAAACGCGATCTCCAGCTACAGGTTAGACCAGGGGTCGGCAACCAAAATAACAAGAAGGGGCATCTTTCGAATTTGGTAAAACACTCACTATTTCAAGAGCCGCCGCAGTGCATACGAGAGCCGGTGATGCTCCTTAACGAATGACGTCACGAAGCAGCTCCTGAAGAGGAGCCGCACGCGGCCAGTGCCGGATTAAGCTAGTGCGGGGCCTGCAGTATATGATGTTATAAAGGGGCCCTAAATAAAATAAAAACACATAAATATTAAAACACAATTTTTTTACTTGCATAGTAAAGTAAGTGTATTTTTTCATTTGTCATACAGCCGGATAATACGACAAATCGCTAACCTTAAACACCCAGTCGTTTATAAAACTTGAAGGCGGTATAGTACTATAGTAATAGAGCAAGCGCAGAATCACTGAACCTGAATTGACAGCTTGAAAGCATTTAGCGCGGGGCCCTTGAAAGTGCGGGGCCCGTAGCTACTACATATGTAGCAACTACATAGCATATGATGTTATAAATGTTGTAGCAGCTACATGTGTAGCTACTTTTGCTACGAGGATAATCCGGCACTGCGTGTGACTCTAGAGCAGCAGTTTGCCGACCCCCGGGTGGTTAGAGGATGCCTGCCAAGCCTTGGCTCTGAAGAAGGGGCCAACCCTTGTCAATGTTTGTCTGTGCTAAGGCGGTGTTTGTGTCGAATGCGCTGGAGCCTCTGATTTGCGTACCGCTGCCAAAGCAGTTGCCGATTATTCAAAAATGCAATGCGGACAATTGACCCCCCGGAAAGCCTCATTGGGCCTCGAGACTTTCTGTCGAGAGGGTTCCGCTCGCTGTTTTTTGGAGAGTTTGGCCAAATCTGTCCCACGAGTGTGCGTGCATTCGTGCGGGAGGAAATTTCAGAAGCTGCGACGAACCCCCCTTCCCCCCCGCAGTTCTCCATACTCAGGGGGTGACACTCGGCAGCGTCACACCATCGCCTGGTCACAGCCCGAAGAGCCGCGCTGAGAACATCGTCCGGCAACGTCCCTGGGCTGGTGCACACCAAATCTAAAGCAGCTCGCCCAGCTTTACAAAAACCCCCGTTAGGGCTGGGTGCACGGCAGGGTGGCCGAGTTGGTTGCGTTTGAAAATGAAGAATGCTCTCGCATGTAGGGGCTGCCTGCTGGTCGATCCACAGGGCTCCCAAAGGTTTATCCTCTGCGCCAGCGACGATCTGCATTCATATCCTCGACATGCTTACAGTTGTACCATAGGTTAAAGAAGTAACACTGTTTTCAGTATTAATTTTGTAATATATATTTTTTTGGGGGAATTAAATGTTGTTAGAGATAATTAACAAAAAAATATCAAAATACACGAACAAAAAAAACGAAAAAAAAGAAAATACTTAACCTTTGTTATCGTCGACGATATTTGATATAATTGCTCTATATTGTGGGGGAAAATATACAGTACATGAGTTCAGTATTCAGAATATTATTACGTGCTAAACAAAAAAATATTTATTTACAGTAAGTGCTTGTATCTAACTGTGCTAATCCTTCTTCTACTCTGGCCCATTTGCCTTGTGTTGTAAAATATAATTTATTTCATGTCCGTATTGTTTTAGACTGGCTAGTGCCGTATTTAGGACATTTGGGATTAACTAACACAGTGCATGGACCTCATTAAATTTCCTTCTTTCCTTAGCCACGGACTCCCATCTCCTCCCTCGTTTCTTGTTTTCTCAGTGTCGTTGTTTGTGCACACACGCACACACACGCACACACACATACACGCACACACGCACACAGAAGATACACACACACGCACACACGCACACACGCGCGCACACACACACACAGAAGATCCCCCGTGTAGCATTTAACAGACTGTTGGGGCGTTTGCTGTTAGCGAGCACCGATGAAGGCCGGCACGGCACACGGGTGGTCAACGCCACGCCCGGCCACCTTTGTCTCCCCAGTGACGATGTTTACACACTGCACCAGGTACTCATTTGATGCTGAGTCGACCTAGATAAGGCCCAGGACCGATTGAGATAATAGTCACTGGTGTTGGCCTTGAGCAGAAATCGAACTCGAGTCATCGGGTTTGTAGCGCCGCGCGCTAACCGCTGCACCACCGCTCCACACACACGCACTATTAATTGACTCACGCTGCTAAATATAAAAGGTTTCTATCAGAGATGCATTTCGGATTCAGAGTTGTAGGACTTTCAGATTTTTGAATTCCGAATAAATAATGTAGGATTTTTAAAAAAGGACAAATTTGTATATTTTTTCAGATTTTCGTATACTTTACGTACGATGCAATCATTTAACGTGGTCTTCGTGCCACCAAAATGAGAAACGTGCAGACTGTGTAAAAAAAAATACCTTCTGATTGGTCCGAAACGAGAAATATTTTCTTCCAATATCTTTATAATCTTTGGCTAGATTATCATATTATAATAAAAAAAAAATCAGATTCATCTTAAGGTCAGGAACGCATCCCTCGTGTGATTCACGTCTCTGGCTGGGTCGCCTGTTTGTGCCCTCCCCCCCCCCCCCGTGACCGCTGCAGCTACCATCTGCTGCCAAGTCGAGGTCCTACAGTTGACCCTCTCTCCCGCGCTGGTAACGGCCACGCTTTTGTCGCAATCCGGGATCACGATTGGGTTCGGGAATTATAAAATAATTTATTATCGTGGCGAATGTAGCGCCCACTGGCGCCCGCATGGCATCACACACAACCCATGACATGCAACATGCAACGTGGTGCCTTTTGTCAGTCAACTGCTGGATGCGTGCCGTGCGGGGAATGAGGATTATTTGACCGTATTTCGCCATACTGGTCAGTGCAGGTTGGTGAAGTTGGACAACACGAACGTGGGAGCAAAGAAGTAGAGTACAACAATGAATGTTGCAAAGACAACCCCGCCCCAAAAATGTCAAAAGGAACGTGTTGTGTCTGAGGACGACAACTCTGACAACACAACAAGTGGGGCTGACCACGTGGTTTACTGAAGCAAACAACGAGTGCAAGACTGGGGAGGCATTGCATCCCTAGACTCACAGAGTGGCCACCTCTGAGACACAAAAAGAACTGTGGCATACCATGGGAAGAATAGGCAGCCTGATATCGCACAATACAGGAAGAGTGGAGAACTGCATGCACATTCGTGATATTGAGTGGGTGTGTTCCTGTAGTGCAACATGGGACCTTTCCTGTCAGTATCAAGGTCGAAGAATAGGTTTCATCCTTTCTGGCAATAAAACAGGTGTGACGATGTTCAAACACCAAACAGCACACTTTTGCAAGAAACCGTGTCTGCGTTAGCCACACATACTTCTTGGTTTTTTCGGTAAAGTCACGTAGAATGGAAATAATAAAATAATACAAGTAAAACATAATAAAATAATTCTCACGACGTTTCGGCCACAACGCCTTGACAAAATAATTTGCATGCGCCCTTCCCCCCTCCATCCCAACTTAAATAGTCGCTCCAAGCCTGGAGTGTGTCATTCATACTCTGTCTTCTCGACAGACCTGTTCTTCACCTGAGGACGGCTGCTTGCGTTGTGGCCGAAACGTCGTGAGAATTATTTTATTATGTTTTATTTTTATTATTTTATTATTTCCATTCTACGTGACTTTACCGAAAGAACCAAGAAGATGAATCCCTGCAGTCACGAAAGCTTTAAATTGAAACCACACATAGTTGTGGTGAACATGTATACAAAAACATGCTCTGGTAATATATACATTGTCAGTGAATCCGTTTCAATGTACACATTACCAGAGCATGTTTTTGTTTGCATGTTCGCCGCAAGCACGTGTGGTTAATGCAGTACGTGATTCCTTCCAAAAGGTTTCTGCTTGGTGTTTGATCATCTTAACACAACTGTTTTATTGCCAGAAAGGGCAAACCCTATTCTTAGTCCTGTATTACATAACTAACCAAAACCCCGGGTCTGTTCATGTTCCTTTGGAAGATTTACATATTTCCCAGGCCAGCCACGATTCGGGCATCGGCCGTCTTGATAACGGCAGGACAGGTGGCAACCCGACTCACAGACGAGACGCGGCCTGTCGCTCACACGCGTGATATTTGTATCCAGCGGATCTCTGCTGGCACAGTGAATAATAATGGCATTACACATTACACACGTAATGCAGACAACGCAGACACACGCACAGTTTTCGCCAGAGCACACGACTAGTTGGCACAAGGTTGCGAATTCAAAAGCCCTCTAGGTGATTCATTCGGAGCACATCGAATGAATACCAATCAGTGGGAAGCCAATCGTTGGTAGTCCCGTGAATGTAACTCGCCGCCTGTTATAGGAAAATGGAATTTCCACCACTCGCTTGATGACTGTGAGCGTGAGATGAGAACCACTGAAAACCCACGTTTATGCGGTAAAAGCACCTCGGAATCACTCCACACAATGGATATCACCACCGGCCACGCTCTATCTACTGCTAAGTGAGAGACTAGCCAAGCCGTCGTGATCCCGCTTTCTAATTATAATCATTAATTATCGAACCTTGCATCTGTGACGTGGCCCAGCGGTTGCGCGTTCTCCCATTCGGAATCGTTATTTAGACTCCCAGGTGACCGCCAATCAGCAAGTTGCATTCTCCGCTTGTTGTCGCATAGGGTTCACGGTTCGAACTCAAGAGGCCGCCCTGATTAATACCACGGTGGGCTGTTAAACCACAGCGCGCCTTGAATATCCCGTGACGTCGCTCACAAGAGTGAGGCCACTGAGCCGCCGTCACGGTCCAACATTTTGCAACTTCGAAACTGACCCTCAGATTACTCAGTGGGGTCATACATCGCAATCGTCGCGCCCAATTGCGAAAACTTGGCAAGACCCTCCTAAAATACATATAAAAAAACATATTCAGTGAAAAAGAGCTTCATAGCTCATCGGATTGCTCCAGTCTAAATACAGATTCTGAACTCAAATCAGAGTATTGAGACTTGGTGAAGCGTGTTCTGGGTAAACGAGCAGAATAATCGGCACTTCGGGAGCTGACTAAATAGCTCCGTGTGCTGGACGGACGTCCTCTCTCTCTCAGATGCCTTCCTCAGATGCCTTCCTCAAATGCGATGAGCATCCACAGCTTGATGGAGTTTCTGTGGACGTGTCCGAGTGTACGAACAATGTCGCGTCGCTGCTCACGTTCCCTGTGGTCGTCCACGGATCACGCGGGTGTGGTGCCGCACGAGTTTATTAAAAGTAAAAGAAAATGGTGAAAAACGCGGACCTGGAAGACTGTGGCCAAAGTAGATGTTTTTAGACCTCTAAAATTAGAAGCTTAAACGACTATATAACTATAATACAGTATTGTATGTGCTTTATCTCACAGTAAACGTTTGTATGAAGGGGACATTAAAATCCCAATTTGAATAGAACCAGTCAAACATTAAATTCAGGACCCTCCCGATAAAGAAAATTGAGGTTCCTTGATTCAATTGTGACCCTTACATTTCAGGTGTTTCCACCCAGTCCTCAGGCCAATTGCATCTTAATCAATTGGTTATTATTTTTACGAACGTTCGATGCAGATTTTCACAGTAACTCTTGACGTTTGTTTAAACCTGGTATCTGTGGACTATATGCAGTTCTGTAGATCTGGCAATAAAAATATTCTTGGTTTAAAACGCACTCAAAATACGTGGCGTCCCAGTTTTCGCCTTCGAGTAAACGACTCGACTTCTATACTTGGTAGAAGTAAATTAACTGAGACATTTCTCTCCACGTAATGTTTTGGTCGGGCAGTCTCTTAGGCCTGCGGATTTCTATAATCCTGTTATTGATCAACATTTCCGACTTGAACTCCGAGCCGGGAGGAATAACTCCGCTTATATCGGAAGAGGTGAGTGTTTCTATAATCAATGGTGAAGTCCGTCATTACTTTCATTTAGGTGGAGAGAGGAGTGAACGATTGCCCGCGCGTCGAGGTGTCCGCAGTAATAACAACAATACGCGATCAATTAGAATGATCAATCCACTGCTGGGCAAAGGCTTCCCTCCTCCCACGCCGTGTCGGTCATGAGGCTAAATTGGCCATACTTCACGACGCTGCTCAATGTTTTCGTGAAGTGGGTGAGAGGCCAGGACCGGTTTGGATATCACTCACCACGGATGTGAGCCGTGGCCGGGAATGGAACTTTAGCCGCCGGCCGAATTAATCGAGTGGAGTGCGCTCTTCGCTGCAGCCCAGAGGCGTTCTCTCTGCAAGGAGCTGACCGCCCACAGACGCTGGGATTGAGAGCGAGGTAAGCAGAGGCACGGAATGAACAGCTGCAGAACGACTCATTTCATTATCTGCCTCCTTCATGATTGAACCTTCCTCGGGCATGTAATGCGTTCTTCATGTATACTATGTTCCTGCTGCTCATATTTTTGCGTTTGCTGATGTTGATGCTGCTGATGGTGGTGAAGAATTTGGGATATTGCAGGCGACAACGTTCTTAATCGTGATTATTTCTGCTGCTGATTATTCGGTGATGCTGATGCCCGGCCTCCGTTGTTCCCCACGTGCTGGTATTTAAACAACGGCACCACGTCCTCATTTAAGAGCTCGCCTAGCGGAGACACACGACCGCTTAATATATTCGTTGCTGATGCGTGCCGCGCCTGTGAATAAAATTCTACTTAGTGGGCACGTCGAGGATTGACGCTAACCGCTCGGCCACCACTCCCGGTG